GATGCCGAGGCCAGCCGCGTCGAGTCGTGGGAGAAGGCCACCGACCTGACCCAATCGTTATGGCCCTCGAGCGTCCGCAAGCACGCGCTCCAGCTGTCGCTCATTCCTGGCTTAATCTTGATGCCTTCCGGCTCTTCGTGCTGAAATTGCTGTCTAATCAGACTTGCTGTCGGACTAAATAACAGCGCAGATGCATATGTCTGAAGTGGGAAGCTCTCGATCGCTCTTTGGTGGTACATGATAAACCGCCGTGCATCATGAACAAGCTGGGTAAGCCCATCTTGATCTTGTGTATCCTAGTTATGTCAGCGCATAGATCATTCAACCTTCACTATACAAGTAAACACTTTCTATATACCATACCTGCACGAGTGACCACAGCTTTTCCATCAACACTATACCTTTTCCTACGCTTTTGCATAGACTAAGCCCTTCAAGCCAATAGATGTACTTCTTCTTGAGAAACTCGGCAACAACACCTCTAGCCTGCAGGCTACTAATTCGACTAGCCAAAGACATGGTCTTTGAGTCGCATAAGTGGTCGATCCAGTAGATGCATGGGTAGCGTGACTCTGCTAACGGATCTGGATCCGGCGGTTCGGCATTCTTGATGGGAGATCCTGGAGCTTTTAGGCTGTACAAATCTCTGTGTAATGTCCTGGAGAGAATTGCTAGCGACTTCGAACAGATTTTCCAATGAACTTGTTCAATACTGTCTGGGAAGATCTTATCAAATGCCTTTGCGATAAGAAAGTCCTGTGCAGATTGATGTACAAAGTAGACCGTGTCTTCTCGCAGAGTAAGGAACGATCCACAGAGGCCGATAATCTCCTGCGTAGACGCTAAGTCGTCGACGTCCTCTAGCTGCTGAACGAGTGTGACTAATTCGACGATTGTAGCAGGTCGATACAAAACCGCAGTCACTGCTAGGACTCGCAGACAGATGTTGGCGCTGTCGGACGCGCTAATCTGGTTCATCATCCGCTCATATAAAGTGTCTAGCCCAGGTGGGAGATGGGCTAACTTCTTAAGCACGTTCCATTTCGGCGTCCCTTGGAGGTTTTGGCACACCAACGCTACCCAGAGGAAGGTATCGTTCGCATTTGACATCAAGTGCTGGAGTACGGCGTCTTTGATATCCGGCTTGTAGCGCTTCTCCTGCGCCAGCCGCTGTACTTTCTGCTGAATGAAGACCTTGACCGCCGCCGCCACCGACTCGGCGTTGAGCTCAAGGCTCAGCCTTGTTTTATATTCTGCTCGCTCTAGCTCTTCTTCAATCGCTGGCCAGTTGCGACTAGAGACAATCCACTTGACACGGGACGAGGCGCAAGATTGCTTTGCAATAAAGCCAAGCAGCTTTGGCAAATCAGTAACACACTCATCTAGCGCATCGATGATTAGATACGTAGTTCTTAGCTGTGGGTCTCGTAGCACGTCAGCAAAGATCTTCGTCAAGGCGACCCAGGCATTTGCATCTTCGAATAAGGCTTTGCCTGCGCGATCGTACGCATTACGGATGTGAGATGCAAGCGACGGTTCCTGGCTCACGAGCATGTACAATAGTCCACGCAGCACGGTCGTGGCGCTGTTGATGCGCGAGTCCGTCGCTTGGCAGAAGAAGTACGACAGAAGGGCAGTCCGAGGCATAAGGCCTTGGAGCTCGTTAATAACCCCGCAGAGCAGCATCGTCTTTCCTTTGCCAGGGTCACCTTTCACCCACAGTAGATGGCTGTGTTGGTCCTCTTGCCACTGCCTGAATGTGGTATTTCCCAGGACCCAGCGGTAGGAGTCTGCAAGAAGTCCGCCTTTGGTGTCCTCAATGCGTTTTTTGTCGTCGCGCGGATCTGTCTGCCGTAGGTCTTGGATACATTTCTCCAGCTTGTTAATCTCACCCCTGAGGCGCTCGAAAGCGCCGACTACCCCTTCGCCATACACCGGCGCTAGCTCAATATCGAGGATGCCTTGCAGCGAGTATGCTCGATCCTCATCGTGTTTGGTTATCCGGCCTTCTGCCCATCGCAATCGCTCGTTGACGCTAAAACGAGAGAGTGGAGCTCCGTTGAGCACTTCGAGCGGAATACCTGTAGCCTTGTAAATCAACGATTGCAGCGATTTCTTGTCGCCAAGCTTTTTCCCTTCTTGCGAGAAGAACTCGACTGTGATTGGGCCAATAAGCTCCTGGAGCGTCCAACCGCGCTTGAACCACCGAGTCGACCTGAAAGCCGGCTCCCAGCTAGATGTAGATGTACTGCCGGCTTTCCTTTTCCTTGTTGACACATCTGACAAGTAGACGTAGCATTTGGCTGCAGAACAGTACCAACGAAACATAGACCGTATCGCCCACGAGTGCTCAGCCTTGTCCGCTGTATCGATACAGCATGTGTCAACCCAGAAGTGCTGCAGTCCATCGTCCCGGGCCTGTTTTCCGCAAAACACTATCTTCTCGTAGCCCGGTTTGATTTTGCCATCGCCTGTCTCGAGGTCTGCAAATGTTACCTCGTCTCCATCTGCTCCCCAGGTGTGTGAAAGTATTGCGTAGGGAGGTATCGCGCCGTCGTCGAAGCTATGGATACTGAGCTCTCCGCTTTCGCTGTATTGCAAGAGCCGCATAGGGCAATGCAGGTGTGGTAGACACAGGTGATGAGAACGGGACTTGTGAGGCTGAAGTTTGAGCCTGATCGCGTAGGCGCTCGCTGTTTGCTAGCTGTTGCCGTGCTACTAATGGATGGTCAGCATACAGAGAATGACGAATAGGTGCACCAGAAGACGCTGTGACTAGATGACGGGAGCTGAGGCTGCTGGCTGTCGCTAAGGTTGGTTCGATGATGAAGCCTGTATGAGCCCCGTATGGAGCCTCGGGCGGGGCAAGACGTGGCTCCGTGCATGCGCAGTGCATCGCTCGCAAGGCTGCACCGTCTGTATCGAAAGTTGCACTCAGCGCTATTGATAGGCCAAAGCACTGACGCGCTCTTGGCTAACTACGAGCTATTTCCATTTCCGTTAAAGCCAGTTCCTAACATAGAGCTAGCGAGAGTTCGTGCTCAGCCTAGCTTTTGTGGAACCGTGTCCTTGTTGCCTGACACTCCCGCAACTGTAGCAGCTGTACCCCTTACCCACACCACCATAGCAGCACCAATCGAGCATGTGCGACAAAGAAAGCCTAACGTTAATTCTAGCACAGGATGTTCCTCCTGGTATACCTAACTCTTACCGTGCTCGTGCAGACCATGGCGAAATTGCTGCCTCGACACCTCAACCACCGGGCGCTGGGCCGGCTGTCGTGGAAGGCAAAGGCACAAAGCCAACAGTACCTCACTCCGTGGGAGGAGGAAGTCCTGGTGAAGTTTCTTCTTCAAATGTCTAGACTTGGATTCCCTATTCGAGTGAAGTTTATCCCGTTCCTAGCTTACCGCCTCACCCTCCACAGACCGGAATTAGCCAGACCGTCGAAGCCGCCGCATCGAAATTGGACGCTAGCGTTTAGGAAGAGGAATCCACAGATAGAGGCAAGAATGGTCAGAGCGCTAGACTGGAATCGCCACGATAAGAACATATACTTGAAAATCACACACTGGTTTGAGGTGATCAGGGAGGTACTTAAGGACCCAGAGATCCTACCTGGGAACGTCTACAACATGGACGAGACCGGGGTAATACTTTCTATGCTAGGCTCTATTAAAGTTCTCGTAGGCAAGGATGATAGCCGAAAGTATAGAGGTGCGCGGGTCAAGCGCACCACCATAACAGCGATCAAGTGCATTAGTGGCGACGGTAGGTATCTGAACCCTATGATTATCTGGCCAGCCAAAACCCACAGGAATAACTGGACAATATTTTCCACGCCAGGTTGGCAATATGCGTGCTCTAAATCTGGATACACTAACTCCTACATCAGCCTACAGTGGCTCAAGCGAATATTTGATCCGGAGACTAAGGAACGAGCTGACGGTGAACCACGTGTTCTAATCTGCGACGGCTTCGGCAGCCATGAGACCCTTGAGGCTCTCGAGTTCTGTCTAGACAACAAAATTAATCTGTGCCGGCTCGCTTCCTATACTTCCCATAAGACGCAGCCTTGCGACGTCTCTGTGTTCGGCCCGCTCAAATCAGCGTATCGCGAAGAAGTCGAGTGACTAGAGAGAGGCGGCGTGAACGCTATTGGCAAGGAGCACTTCACCAGCTTATATAGCCGCGCAAGATGCATAGCCGCGCAAGAAGCAGAGCCTTCACACCGAGAAACATCAGAGCCGGGTTCTCAGCGTGTGGGTTGTTCCCATTCAATTCAGATAGAGTCCTTCAAGGAATACCGGAACCCCCAGATGAGTTGACAATCTTGGTGAGTCAGGGAATGCCAGGGAGTGCGTCGAATGCCGGTGAAACCGTACGGTCGCCTCTTACGCTAGTGACGCCAGTGACGCTAGTGACTACGCAGGGGTTGGTATCGCTGCAAACCATTATAATTAATCGGGACGCCCACACCCTTGATGGAAGAAGCAAGCGTAGTCTAGAAAGGCACTTAGACAAACTCTCTAAAGGCGCCCATTTGGCGTTCTCCCAGGGAATCCTCCAGCGCGATCAGATTAATTTCCTCATGAAATTCAACAACGAAGCCAAGGTTCGACGCTCTGCCAGTAGAGGAGTTCTCGGGAACGCGAAGGTTATGGGTGATGACGAACTCGAGGCAGCGCGAGCCAAGCGTGCTGAAAAGGCGGCGATTGAAGAGGCGAAGAGCAAGGCAAAGCGTGGCCGCAAGAGGAAAGCTTCCTCAGGAGTGGTAGAAGAGGAAGGACAATAGGAACAGCGAGCGGCAACTACAACCAAGGTAAAACGTGGACGTACACGCAAGAATATGACGAGCTCTGGAAAGTTCTATGGTGGCGATGGTAGGGCAGAGCGAAGCGCAGGTAGTGGACATCAGTGGCAGACAAGGGGAGCATGACCACGCATTAGGATGGAGAGCGCCCGTGGCGCCCATGCTGCATACCGTAACTTCGTAGACTTACTTTGGCGTTGCCTTAGACTGTAATCGAATAATAATTATGCTTGGTGATGTTATGGATCAACTAAGCAGCTGACCATCACTGAACGTAAAGAGTAATAGAGAACGTCAATGAGTCTGACAAAGATATTATCTAAGATAGAATACCAATTTACTACTAATGCCTCGGCTGATCATCTCTCACTTGTGATTCAAGGTACCGACCAGGGTGGCAATAATATAAAACTCCGCATGACACAGTAGCTGCAGGGCTAGCGGAAGCTAGCCAGTACTATTTTGAGATTCAGTGTTGGTAATCTATCGTATAGACGTCGTTGGAAGACCGATTAAGCTATTCTGTGGACCTGCGCTTTTGATAGTATGTATCCTTGGCTTTAGTATTACTGATTAGAATTAGTCCAAGAGGATTCGAAAGCTCTGTAATTTTGGGTTTGCAAGATTGGAGCATGTCACGAAGATAGCAAAGTTAATCATTCCGCCATAAGGATGTAGATCTCAGGCATGTGGGGAGTTGCAGGCTACATAAAGTTGGAAGTATCCATGATTTGTCTCGCTAGTGTGTGCGTCTCGTGACGCCGTGCAAGACATTAGGATTATCTAACGGTGGGAGCATCTCGTCCCCTTTTGAAGTCCTCCGAAGCAGTCGCAAGTCCTCATATTATCGTTCAATTTTGCTTGCCAGAGACTCTCTCTACGGCAACACCACCATGCCTCAAGAATGTCTCGCAGCTTTGCTAGTTGACACTGATATGTGTCTCAAGTTTGAATTTCCAGCTTTGGAAATCGTATCAGAAGGAAACTCTTTGCTGAGGATTATAATTCTCAGACCGCTTCCACTTTGCTAGCTTCAACCAACGTAGTTCATCAGTAGAATATGCTAGGTTTGCCAGCAAACATAGTTCAATGGCTATCTTTTCTTTTACTGATTATAGATAATGTTCCATTTTACTGACAAAAGTATGCATAATTCTCGCTACAATGTGAAAGTGTCGAGGAGGTTGAACCCACTGTTCCTACTGCGTTTGAAATCGATGCTTGTAGCCCAGCAAGGGCGGATAGAAAGTTGAGCGCTGAGACTGTGAGAAGTTCAGTTCTTCAATTCCTTTCGCACGCAGAACTCCAACTATCTCGCCTACCACGATGAGAGGAAGATCCGCGATCTGACTACATACAGTACTTTTTCCATCTTCGAGCTCCCAGCCACCATCTATGTCTTCATGTGTGGAATTTCTTTGAGATGAATCCATCTCCTCAAAACTTGTTTCAACGTATCAATTCGAAGATTCTACTTCGACATCAACCACTTCCCCTGTAGTACGTTCGTAGTTTAATAAGCTGGCGTCCTATCTCACAGCTTCCAACAGAAGTATACCAATCAAGGATTAGAACCATTACTTTCAGATTCCCTACCGAGGAAGCTGAATCCACGGAAAGGTCGCATGGCAGAATAACGGAGCAGGTTAGGACTGATAAGTAACAGCGCCCCGCATCTCTACCCGTTTGATCACACCACCGTTCTCGAACCTGCTTCATAAATCTGTTTACTGTTACCACGTTCTTGCCCCGCCCATGCCCTCAGCCCAATCCGCCCTTCATCCCCCGCTCCCTCCCCTCGCACCCTTGCACTGTCTCCACGCTAACACCGTCCCTTTTCCGCACCCGTATCCGCCCTCCCTCTCAACCCCCTCACGTAGCAACTCAGACCTCCTTCCTGTATACATATCCGTGTCCGTCTCCGCACGCAAGTCCGACAACTCCAGCGCCGCCCACGCACACAGGGAGGTAGTGTGCTGTAACTCCGGTAACGCCGCTTAGAAAACGGGCATGAGAGATCTTGGCGGGCGGAAAAGGGGTGGAAAAGCAGGTGGACGTAGGCTCTCACTGCCTGATGGGCAAGGAAGGTGTGGGAAACGGTGTGCCTAGAATGATAGTATGCGTATATATACTGTGCAAACCAACCTGGCATCACAGCCCAAGAAGCCTCAGCTCATCTTCACTTCCTCGCCATCGATCTGCTCGTCGAACAATACGAAACGAGTATCATCATCAATATGTCTTCCCTCCCCGCTACGCACCGCGCTCTCGTCCTAGCCGACAAATCGCAACCCCTGGCCGTACAGTCGTACGTCACACCTTCCCCCATCCACGGCAGTGCAGTCGTCGAAATACTCTCCGCAGGCGTAGTTTCCTACCAGCGCGAGATCTATGCCGGCGCTGCGACGCACGCGCACTACTCGCTCCCTACGCCACTGGTGACGGGTATGTCAGGTACGCCAGTCTGCTTCCCACCATCCCACCTTGCTTCGCCCTCCATTCGCATTCTTTTCGCTGACACCGCGGTCAAAAAGGAATCGGCCGCATCGCCGCGCTAGGACCCGACGCAACGTCCCTGCAGCCGGGCCAACTCGTCTTCGTCGACTGCATGATCCGCGCGCGGGACGACCCCGCCACCGCTTTCCTGCTTGCAATACATGACAGCGGGACACCAGGGAGCCAAAAGTTGGCGAGGAACGTGTGGCGCGACGGGACGTTTGCCGAATATGCACGTGTGCCGCTGGAAAACTGCATACCATTGGACGAAAAGAGGCTGTGCGGCGAGCTGGGGTATGAGGTGCATGATCTGATGTACATGGACTACATGCTGGTGCCGTATGGCGGGTTGCGGGATATCGGATTGCAACCTGGGGATGCGGTGGTGATAAGTCCTGCGACGGGAGGGTATGGTGGGGCGGCAGTGCTGGTTGCGGTTGCGATGGGTGCGAGGGTGATAGCTATGGGCAGGAACGAGGCTGAGCTTGTGCGGCTGAAGAAACATGTGTTGAGCAGCTCGCCGAGCGCTGGCATCGAGACGGTGAAGATGACGGGCGATGAGACGGCCGATGCGGAGAGCTTGAAGGTATTCGGTACCATCGATGCGGCGATTGACTTCACGCCACCGAAGGGGGCGAGCTCGAGCCATGTGAGGAGCATCGTCCGTGCTATTCGGAAAGGAGGACGTATCAGCCTGATGGGGTTGAATGACAATCCCGTGGTACCTTGGTTGGTGGTATCGAAAGAGATTTCTCTCAGAGGTAAGCTGATGTACGAAAGAGAAGACATGGTCTATTTCACCAAGATGCTGGAGGGGGGCCTGTTTCCGAGCGGCAAGCATCTCGTGGATACCAAGGTTTTCAGCCTGGGGGATTGGAAGGAGTGCCTGGACGCGGCAGCTAGGCACACTGGAATCGGCAAGCACGTCGTGTTCTCTCCCAGGTCGAGGGTTCATGATAGCTCCCGGGTGTGATTGTGTAGGTTAGGTGCTTTTGCCTAGCTTTCAACCATCAGGCTTCGCTATGATCTTTTTTGGCCGTCCCCTTTTCCTTGGTGCTACAGATTCGACTGTGACATCTCCAATTCTGTCATTTTCCTTCGAAATCTTCTTCGGCTTGCGTCCTGGCCTTCGCTTTGGTGGGATCGGTTTGGCCAGAATTTGTCCATTTCCATCGTCGCCCCAAACATCCCTCAATACCTTGGGTGGTCTACCTCTACCCCTTCTTGGTGTAACTGCGGCCACCGTCGTGGCCTTGACATTGACATTGTTTTTGACCACAGGTGCGTGGACGGATATGGGCTTGTTCTTGGAGCCGAGCGGTCGCCCTGGCTTTCTTTTTGCCTCGGACGACTTCTCCAACTTCGATCGGGCGATATCAGCCAAGCGCCTCGCCGTCTCCCTCGCGACTTGTGCACTGTCAGGAAAGATAGGCGTCCCCATCCACGTAAGTTGAATGTCCGATACGACAGTACGAGAGGCACCTTTCTTCCGTAGTTTGGCATAAGGATCAGTTATGAACCGTCCGTTGGCATCTCGAGGACGGTCCTCGGGTTTGTAGGTCTCAATCTCCAGATCCGTCTCGTTCGTCTCCGGTGGAAGCACAGTATATCTTGGCGTCACTCCAACGCCCTCTAAGCCACGATCCGTAGCTGCTCGATTCCAAACAAATTGCGTGATAGTACCGCTCTTGCCGATCTGCAGGAAGCCCAACGGGCGTGGGCAGAGGTACATTTGTCTCCGCAAGCCTTCGGTGGCTTTCTGATTAGAGATGAGCAAGCCCAATACATCCTTGTTTCGCCACTCGTGCGGCACGCTCCGAAAGGCCCCTTCCAGCTCTCGAATCGCTTCGGGCGAGCACGTCTTCATCCTCGCCTTGCACTGAACGATGATGGGCATGGGTTCGCGCAAAAACGACAGCATCCAGTGTCCGATCAGATCAATGCCAGCATCGTTCTTCATTCCGGTGCGGATGAGCGAGAACCCCAAGCGCTGCAACGCCTCCGCTGCTGTGTATTCGTAGTGGGTCCCAATGTACACGGTACGGTCAGAGCGAAGTTTCGTGCGCGCTGCATATTCCAGGTACGTGGATAGGGAGTTGTGATTGGGCGATCCTGGCTTCACCAGAAGTCTAGGAATCTCAACGGGAGCTACATTGGTGGCGGAGGTATGGTGCACGGCGCCGTGCGGAGTCGCTTGGAGGAGCCGCGAAAGGGGAATTCGTCGTGTGAGCCATGTTGGGCGGGAGAGAAGACGCATTACGGTTCGGTCGGTAGTTTTAGGACGCGTAGAACCATGTTTACAAGGCAAAGTAGCGACAAGAAGCGAAATACGGCCACGTTCAGGAGTGAGGTGGAGAGCGCGACAGTCGCGTAACTTTTTGGAAGGCGCCAAGCGAGGGTGACGCGCTAGTCAGCCCTACGAGCGGCAGCTACGGTCCTTGTTCCTGACTCCAGCCGCCGACTCTCTCACCCCCACAAAACCGCGACCAAATTCCAAGAGTACGATTCGACGCAGAATTTCCGGCTTGTTGGGACTCTAGAATATTCCCACAGCTGTCGATTTCACCCACAGAACACCATCTCCAGGCACACAAGCTCCACAATGGGCGACATCCTCACCCAAATCCAAGACGAGCTGGACATGGTACGTCCCTCGACATCCCAGTCAACGCCTTCCACCCAAACACACACCTACTAACCTCCCCAGCTCCTCAACCAAATGCAAGCCTCCTTCGCGTACATCCGCAACCGCGCCCCGCCCACCCCCATCCCGAACCAACCCACCCTCTCCTCCATGCAAGAATTCGAAGCCCAAAACGCCGCCGCCCTGAACCCGTCCGCCGCGCCCCCAGCCCCCCCGCCCCCGCCCCCGCGCGAAGAATTCCTCAAGGACATCGCCGAGCTGAGCCGCGACATGGTGCTCAAAGAGCAACAATTGGAAGTGCTTGTTGCGAGCTTGCCGGGGCTGGATAAGAGCGAGGCGGAGCAGGTGGCGCGGATGAAGGAGTTGGAGAGGGAGCTGGAGGGGCTGGAGGGGGAGAGGCTGAGGGCGGTCGAGGAAAAGGAGGCGTTGCTGAGGAGGGTGGAGGGGAAGATTGTGAAGGCGGGGAAGATGGGGTCGTGAAAGGATCGAGCTGGCGCGTTATTGCGTCCGTTTTTTCCCTGAGGCTGATCTCTATCGCATGCATCACCAACACCACAGCGCACACTTCGCCGCGCCTGATTCCCGATCATAGAGGCTTACCGCTAGCAGCTGGCGACACTTAATCGTCAAGCACGACACCGAAGTCTACGAGCATCGTCTTACACAACATGTTGCTCAAAAGGGCAACTGGCCGCGGTTACTCGTCGACCGGCAACCGCGATCCTGAAGCTCAAGGGTGCATATCATGTACTAGTCGGTCCACTGGTAGATACGTTGAGTCGTTGGATGAAGCTTGCTGAGTCGTCGACATTGATAGGCGTATAGCCTTTTGATCCGGCTTCAAACTGAGTCCCGTGGCTGTGCAATACTGCATGTAGTAGGTCGTACAAAGCACCAGCACTCGTTGGTCTTTCACCTTCACGTGTCACAACATTCGGATGCTGTCGGGAAGTACATGTTCAGAATGCCAATAGGTTTGATATTCAAGACTTTGCAGAGGATTTTGTGATGCAACCTTGTATGAACTGAGGGTGTTGTGACCCGGGCCCATTAAAACCTTAAGCCTATATACAACCCTATTCCACCGAGCATCATCGTGGCTAAATCTACATCGTGGCTAAATCTACATCGTGAGGAAGCGATCATCACCTGTGGCAGGTCTACATCCAATGCAAGCACAAACATGAATGCCGCGTCGGAAAGTTGCATTTGGTGGTTGTCGCGCTGGTCCGTGTTGCGTGGGTATAGCGTCACACATAATGACATCACGCGAACATCAGAGATACGTAACCAAGAAATGGGTAGAAGAGTTCCATCGTTCCAGTTGCCGATGGTCGTGCAATGGGCCTCGGTCGGATAATCGGCTGTGTGCAAGGGACTTGTTCGCCTGTGGGTTGTCCGAGGGCTGTCCAGTGGTAATCGAGACATTGCTTCGGGTGCAGGCGGTGGTTGTCAAGATATTGCTTTCGGATGGAGCTTGCCCTGGTTTGATGTCGATGTGTCGCGTCGATACCTCACTCGCCATCACCAATCACCTGTAGCTGGCATCGTGAGGCTTCGGCAGCTAGTCTGCTGTGCTGCAATTGCTGCAACTACTCGTACACGTTCTGCGGGTGTATTCACCCACGAACAAATTAGCTCTAATTAGAGGGGAAAGCATATACCTTGTAATTTGGTTTGCGTCAATGCTCGCTGAAATGCGTCAAGAACTTTTGTGAAGCAGCGGAACCTGTAGATCACAATGTCCACAAACCCGAGCGTTTCTTGCCCAACGGGTAGACGAGAAGTGCGGACATGAACAGTCCGACCGTGATACCGATGGCGATCTGGATCATTTGCGCGGCAACGTTGAAACTGATGGCGTTGAGGGAGTTGGAGTTATCCTAGCTATTGTTAGCATGGTACAGGGGCCACCATCAGATTCCGAATAGCTTACGCCAGTGGTGTCTCCACCCTTGATGAGGGAAGAAGCAGTCTGCAAAGCAGTCGTGATAGCTCCACTCGCGGCAAGAGAGCCTGGAACTTGAACGTAGACAGCAGGCAAAAGTACGGCAGCCGCCACACCGTGTCGTAGGCGGCTATACAGATTCGCCAACACTCCCACGGCGAATGCTCCGAAGGTATAAGCAATCGGAGCGCTAGAGCTAAACTTCATGTTGGCATAGAAGTTGACAATGTAGCCCGAGAATGCGATGGCAATCATGACCGGCATCTGTTTGTACTTGGCTTGTACGGTGTGGCAGGCGAAGAGGATGTACAAAGGTACGAGGAGGAAGTTCCAGTACGAATTCAGTGGAGCCTGGCAGGTTGTTGCATTGGTGGCGTTGGGGTCCATCGCGCCGTAAAGCGCCGTACCAACGGTAATGCCATAGCCGAGGAAGAGCGAATAGATGATAGCGTAAACCAGTCGAATCGAACCTGGCACAATAGCGCGTGATTGCAGCTCGAGTGCAGAGCTTAGCACGAGCTACAAAAGGTCAGCAGGATTTCCATAGAGAAAAAGCAGAACGTGGATGACGTACCCAGCCGGGAAGGATCATTGCAATCGAGCTTTGTGTCAGAGCAGAAAAACAGAACAGATTCCCACCACGTATACTCCCAAGAGCTCGAGAAATGCAAGTCATTAAAATGGCAGCGCTAATCTCGAAGACCGTATTGTATGTCTTCGACATTGGAGCCACCACCAGTTGCAGGAATCCAAGGACGGTGCCCATGATGAAGATTGGGCCCATATCGATCCATCGTGCTTTGAAGAAGCCTGAAACTGCAACGCTCGCGAGTCCATACATGATAACGTTGAGCCAGACGGGGTGTTGATCGGGCCTGTTGATGAGCTCATCCAGTGCCACAAGCGCATCGTCCAGACTAATCACATCGTGAAGAACCTCTTTGTAGATTTCGTGACAATCTTTGAGCTTGCCTAGGTTGACACCTTGTGTAGTTCGAACGATCTTGACTTCGGCGGTATGGGTGACTGGGAGATGGTCAGCTACTATCAGTCTACAACGCACAAGTGAGCTTACGAGAGTCATCGAAGGATATGATCATGCAACCCGGTATATAGAGAAACTGGCTGTTCACCTCCAACACCTTTGCTGTCGTTGCTAGATATTCCTCGAGGCGATGAGTGGGTGCGCCAACTACCATCAGCGCGCGGCACATCTTGATGATGTACTGCTGGCGTTTGAGAATGCTCGCAACGTGGATCTTGATCTTTGCGTCCTGCTCTTCTTTGGCTTTCCATATTTTGGAAAGTAGAGGATTGCTATTGTTCCGTTTGTGCTGTGGGCGATATTGCACTTTGCTCTCCGCTTTGGGATTTGCTAGTTCGGCCGCCGCTCCGATCAACGTGGCGAGCGTCTCCTGCGACTGGTTGCTCTTCTCTTGGCTGTACCACTTCTTTCTTGGGGTCGCGTTGCCCGAAGACCCGGGACGGCTCACTGACTCGGGCAGGCGAGGAGGCGATTGACCTGTGCTCTCGGCAGAATAGTTGGCGGCCGTTGTGGGCGTCTTGTAGGCCTGGAGGAGGTGGTAGAAGACACCGCCTTGGTTGTTTCCAGAGTAGGTGTAAACGTCTTCGTCCTCGGGCTGGGTTGCCGCACCGGCAGATTGGTGCTCTGAATGACCCAGATGGGCGCCATTATGGTGGGCGTGCCATAGATCATTGACTTCGGCAGTGGTATCGTCTACGGGCTGAAGGCTTTCGACGCTGCCTGAATTCTGCGCCTCAAGATCATTGACGCGGCTGTAGCTGGGTGCGCCTCCGGGTATTTCAGCGGCGGAGCTGTTGATTCGTACCCGCCGCCGCTCGGCATTTTGCGGAGGGCTCACTGTTGGCGAGTCCTGAGAGAGTTCCTGCATCTCGTGCGATTGTGCAGACCATCGATTTTGATGATTGTCGTCAGCGGACATGATGGGAGTGATGGACGATCTCGGGAGGTCGGGTGTGCAGCTGGCTGAATGGTGGAGGGCAAGCGCTTTTAAAGCCAAGTTGGGGCCCGTGGAAAGAGCATGTGGAGGCAATCCAGACCAAGCAAGAGCCGATGGCCAAGCGAGGCATTTGACTACCCAGTGCCGAACCACGAGTTTTTTTCCATCCACGTTGTGCTTCTGCGCGTCGCGCAATGACGCAAGCGCATACCACTCCGGAAGTCCTGCACGAAAAGAACATTGCTATGTGTCAACGCCAGCCTATCATAGCTAGCCAATGCCGAATGAGGATTCGATTGCCGTTGTAGCTCCCGCGGCGATCTTGGGGTCCCCTTTCTCAACAGAGCGGACCTGCATGTCCCCGCGGTCCTAGCCAATCCACAGTGACTCCCGCTTGAACCGCTGGGGACCCATTATGAAACGTCTCCAGAGCGACGCGCGGTGCTTCGTGAGCAAGGCAGAAGCTGCGCGATTCACGATGAGACTAGAGGATCAAGAGTCACAAAGTTTGTATAAGAAATTTCAACGGGCCGATGCCGCGATTCTCAGGATTCTATTTTAGGGCTAATCCCTTGCTTCCGGGAGCCGGCTAGCTACGGTTAGCGTGGGCGGATGCAGGGCAAGAACGCTTGTGCGCCAACATCTAGAACATCGCAGTATCTTCTACAGCACGCATTATTGTTGTACTTGATCATGCCTGACTCAAAGACTTGTTTACCACCCACTTGGTTCGTACCCCTTCCCACGGACCCCACCAAAAGCACATAATGCCGTTTGCATCCCCGCAGGCACAACTCCAGGATCGCACCCCTTTGCGGAAGAATATCAAATTATATAATAAGAACAACAGAGCATTTATAAATACGAAATAGGATTGAAAGCTCCCACTCGAAGTGTCTACCAAACATCGTGAGCTTCCTAGTCAACCTCCGACCGAACCGAACACGCAGCGCACCGAAGATTCATCGATTCTGACTGGAACAGTCCGTCTATAGGTCCTCGAACACATATGCGCCGCTAGTCCGCAAGTGTGGGCATATGTACACATCGGCTTGGACGAGAGCTTTCTAGGGACTTTGTTGTCCAAATGATGGCCTGATACGCCTCTCGCTTCGGGTATTCCCTGGAAAGTGACTGCTCGTAGCTATCCGTTACCGAAACGGTAACCCTGGCTACTCTTGAACCCTAGTACCTCGATTTGGTGGGAACCCTTCGTAGGAGCGGTCGGCGATTGCTGAGTGGCCGGTCTAGTACCGCTGAGATCGAGTTTGATTGTGCGAATACGGCCGATTCTATCCGTCCCAGGTTCATCAGGGCTTGGCGAAAACGTACCCAGATTGAGCAGCCGTGAATACATCCCCAATTGCTAGCTCGCCTATGCCGCAGCTCGGTTGCGAGTACACAGTCAGACACTTGGAAGTACTACGGCTAACGAACCTGTGAATGGCCAGCTCGCGCTGCAACATTAAGATCCCTAGGAAACTGACTCGCCTTGAGAATGCATATCACCGAGTTCTGGAGTCCTGGAGACACAAGGTCTGTCTGTAGCCTCGCGGACATGCCTCCTCTCTTTTTGCTAGCAAATTATACCCTGGTTAGAGCCTTCTTCCTAAGTAACCTTCTAGCCCACACTGCATCGAATGCCATCACATCGAACAAGGAAAACACCAGACTTCCTCCAAACACCACGCTGTGATACGTCCACGCGTCTCCCGGGTTCAGCGTCGTCACTTGGCACACAATCGCCCAAGGAAGTACGTAGAAAATATTTGACACCAGCGACTGGTAGAGATACCATTCCGGCCGCGTCGCCATCAGTACAGCTGCCAGCTGAGTGGATACCGCATAGCACAGATAGCACCAGTCGATTGTCCGCCACATATGCGCCGCAATACGGGCGACCTCATCCGAGCCGGAGAGATAATGCGCGAATGGACGAGCACCGAGGAAGGACATGAGCAGGCAAAGTGGGACCTCGAACGCGAGCGCGATGGAGACGGAGTATGCAGCCCAACGGGCGATGCCCCATATCTGGTGCCAGCTGGCTTGGTGTTTCGTGCTCGCCGCGGACAAAGAGTTGCGGAACTGGCCCCAAGAATGGCCGACGAAGGTTGATGTTGTGGCCTCGAGGGCCTGTACGGGTACCATGACGAGGCCCCATCGGATGGTACTGAAAACGCCCCAGGCGGTGGCGTAGTTGCTGCCCATAGACACGATTCCATGGACGAGCCAGAGGTAGAGCGCGTTTCGGATAGCGGACTCCCAGAAGAAGACGAAGCCGGGCTTCAACAGTGTTTTGAGAGCGGCAAATGAAGGTTTCAATGATATATCAGATGGATCTCTGCGGGCTGCGGATGTGTTTTTGAGGCTGGTCGCATACACGAAGTATGCGAGGCCTACAAAGGCAGAGGTCAGGTTACAGGCGAGCTGTATACCTGCTTGTATGTTGACTGTAGGCGTTATGCCGCCCACATGAAACTTAGAGATGATGATCAGATCTAAAATGATGTTGATGGCAAACTTGGTCGAGCTGATGATAAGAGGTACGTCTGGTCGATCCAGTGCCCTCGTAGATGTGCCCACCGCGTACTCGATCGCCGAGCTCAAAGCCGAGAACGCTGCGAGTCGGACATATGTCAAGCTTGCGTCCCGGACTTCAACTGGGACGAAGCCTTTTGCGAACGTCGATGCGCCTCCCAAGAAAGCAAAGCTCATGACTAAGCCAAGAGTAGATTGGAAGAGGATGAGCGTATGCGTAAGCTGAAGGCGTTCGCGAAATGACCGGGAGGTGCGATCGCCGATGATAAGGTATGCAGCGCGAGGAAGACCTTCGTTGAGGACTTCAGCAACGACGCCGATGTACGTGTAGGAGTCGGTGGTGACTACCATGGAGGAGTCGAATTCGGCAACCCATAGCTTTGACAGTGTAGAGTAAAGCGCCGGCAGGACGAAGCTACAGACGTTGAAGACTAAAGCACCAGTGTAGCTGTCGAGACCGTTTAGTTACATAGGTTTACCCAGCATTCGTCGAAGGACACTTACGCGTTGCGATGTCTTGATAATTGTAGGTCATGCTTGATCTGATTCTTCCATGGCACAGTTGACCAATCGTCGCCGATATCACTATCGGCTTCTGGCCGCGTTCGCTCTCCAACATCGCCCGCCACGCGCACAGCGCTAACGTCTTTCGAACCCAGCATTGTGTATCTATAACGATTATGAACTGGTGAAAACCTTGAGGCTGACGCCATGGTGTTCATTTATATACCAATCGTTGCCCTACTTGTTAGGGTTGCTGTGGCAAACGCGCATTTGTTGGGTTGCATGGCGCTGCATCTGGTGTGCGGGGCAGAGCTCGCGTTTGCCCCGCAGCTGTGCGGATGGCGCTTTCGGGCAACTGTCCGATTCGGCAACCGGGAAATGTGCCGCACTCCGACCTCAAGTATCGTGGCTTACCTTCGTTCTTGATGGGCAGCGGTGCGGTCGCGGAGAAGTTGCGTTGGAACTTAACTAACCTCCATCTGGCCTGGCTTCAGATGATGGCCCGTAGCAGGACTCACAAGGCTCAGAACGTTGGAAGCAAGCGACTTCTTCTCCAGGCACTCTAAATAAGGCAGTGTTTCAAGATTTATCATGGACGAAGTTTCGCCTTTCACAGATGGTTAACGAAATCATAAAGCTATTCGATTAATTACCACACGTTTTGAACGCGGGTACTATAGAAAGATGCTTCGCTCCCAAGACCTTTGTGCAAAGAGGTCGCGCATCGTCGCACGCAAAAAAATGCATAGGCGCACACGGCTTGCCACGCCTTCAGTTGGTTTTCCTTTGTTTGCCCGCGCTACTGATCTCGAAATTTAGACGAAGACGTGGGGTCCAGATCCGATTTGACGAATGGCAGTAGCGCGCCAACTTTATTGAAGACTAGATTTGGCCGACAATACGGATCCATATTCGAGCTACTCGTTCATTTCAGCGCTCGCTGACCTCCAACACCTTCATCTGCCGCGACCTGCACCAACTGGAAGTTGACAAATGGCAATCTCATACAAGTACGATAAAGTCTCCGAGTCAGACTCCATACCGGAATTAAAAGGTCATCCTTATCCTCGTTCGAAAGCGAAATTGGCTCTCTACCTCGTCACCGCCGCCCTGCTCGGATTCCTCTCCTCGTCAGTCTTGTCGTATATATCGCACCTCCCGCCCACCAAGCTCCACTGTGGTAGTTCCTACGCCGATGCTCAAGCCCTCGGCTGCAAATTCGACCTTCTCTCAAGCGGCTGGATACCACACGAATGCTTCGACGAAGCCTCCGAGACAGAGTACCGCGAATGGATCCTGAACACCAACAACAGCCGCAGAGGCCCCTTTCCCTACTTCAAGGACAAAGAACTCACCCAACCAATTGAAGGCATCGACGCTTTATCGAGATACGAAGATCTGGTTTATACTACGATGGAGGAGCATTTGGCGCATTGCACACAACTCATGCGGAGGACGCATAGGGCGGCGGTCAGCAGGGGCAGAATGGCGGGATTGAATATGGATCAAGATGAAGGAGGGGCGGTCATTGATAGCAGCCACATTGCACATTGCGTCAAGATGATCTGGAGGACGGATGAGTACTTGACGAAGTATAACTATACAACTTTTGGGATCAAATCTTTATCGTGTTGAATAGGAATATCTCGAGTACCTTAAAGATGCAAATGATCAATGTGATTGTTTGTGCACCTCTTGCTTACAAACGAATCTTTGACAGACATCGTGTACGCAAAAACCCGCCAGTTTGGGAGACGTCTTCGGCCCCACGCCTAAGGTTGCGAATGGCTTCTAACAACTGTCGTTAGACTCAGAGGCACAAACTGGCGAGCTGTCATGGAATTGGGATGGATAGTTCTGCGTGTCGAATTTCCATCACTGGGAATGGTGAGGCTCAACAGTACGTGGCATTATCAAGTTTGGTATTTCGTCCCAAAGATGAGAGAAATGAGCACAGGGATCTCTCGACTATTAACACACCGATAAAAGCTCATGAGTGATGAATCGCACGCCAAACCAAACCTTAACACAAAAGCCGTATCACCAAATTCCCATGAAGAAGACCAGCACCATCACCGAAGTTTCGCGAAGGAAGCTTAGCCCATCGACCATGGTGTGATGATGAACATCACCACCATCTGAAAAGGTTGCCGATCTAGATTCCGTCAGTATCACCATCACCAATCTAAAGTGTTCTCATCGTTATAACGTAACCTTTCACTTGATCTCGTGAAAGCGGCTCTCCAACACCTTAGCAACAAAGAGCTTTCCCGTCTTCTTCTCCAGCGCGTTCGCCACCGTGCCCCAGAACTCTTGCTCTGCCGTCGCAACCGCCTCCATCATGAGCTCCGACATGTCGGCCTTCTTGAGGATTTCCATCTGCTCGCTCAGCGTCTCGGAAACGGGCTGACGCAGGTTGTCAGCGAGGTCCTTGGCAGCGTGGTCCTCGTCACGGACGCGCTTGCGACCTCCGCCTGCGCCGAACTGGTAGCCGGAGGGGTTGTTGATCGCGCCCGGGAGCTGGGCGGCTGGGTGGTCCTGGGGGTTGCGGAGATGCATGTCTGTTGGGAGCGTCAGTATCAGATGCACGGCCATTCAAGTTTGTGTTACAAGACTCGGATATCCACTCACAGTCTTGAGCGCGGAATCCATACTCGCCCTTCGCAGCCACAATGCGAGGCGCACTTCGCACAAAGCGCGAATACACCGCCGCGGGTGTCCAGGTCTGAGGCTCGCCGCGCTCCAAACGCTTCTTGTTCAGCTCCACGACGATCGCCTCCCAAGTCATGCTGTGCTCCTGACGCATTTCTTTGATAGCCTGGTTGTCGGGGTCCATCTCGACGGCGCAAGTACTGACGCGCATCGGCTTGGGTGCGAGTATGTGAAGGGTCTTGCCAGTGATCTGATTCTTGATCTCGCACGCGCGCTTGAGACCGTCGAGGGTGGCATCGTGCTTCGGAGCTGACGCGACGTCGGCTTCATCCATAGCTTCGAGCGCGGCGGTCGCGTCGTTGAAAAGATCGTCGTGCTCAGGGTCGGTAGTGTCCATCGGCTCGAAGAGAGGAGACTCGCTGCGGCGGGGTGCAGATTGACCAGGGCGGTAATGATCTTTACATATCAGCCGCTGGAAATGTATTTGAGTGAAACCTGGCGCAATTTTCTTACTCGAAAGTCCGTGGTGAGAGACGTCATCCTGAGAGAACTCGACACCTTCACCCACGTTGACCTCGCGACAATAATCAGCACCCGCAGTGTCATTGTCGGCCTTGCCCATACGAGCTTCGGAACGGTCCTCGACGCCACTGTAACCCAATCAACATTCCTCCATGTAAATTTGCCCGGTGGCTTCGAAAGATGACAACAGACCATCAGGTTGTAGACTTACAGGCGCGGGTCCGCAGCACGCTGTTGATGCGACATCACTGTACAACAAGATTTCTAAGATGTAAGAAGCAGTTGAAGTGGGCGAGATTCAGAAAGTGACTGTGGTGAAGTTGACCACCAGCGAAAGAAGCTGGCGAGCAGCGTGTACGTTCGTCCAATAAACACTCGCTCGGCGCATCGTCCGGTGCACCAACGATCAATAGGGGGATTCAACCCAGCAAACAGCGACTTGAACCGAAACGAAAAGACTGTGAACCTAATTAGCAGCACAAGTTGACACAAGAAATGACGTAATTTGTCAACATGCGGCGCAATGCAAACCCCCCTTTCAGATTGATATCTCTTTACATGAAGAATCCACCGCTCGAATGCCTCCGAAGCCCCTCATGACCCGATTTTCATTATGAAAGTCGAACTTGTGATGTCAAAATCCAGCAGGTCTATCCAATCGTGTACCAGCAACCGTTTGCTCAAACGCTCCACTACCGACTCATCGCCCACGCCGCCCTAGCTTCTGCTTCCCTCAGCTTCCTTTGGGTCTTCTCTTCCGTAGTCTCGGCGGTATGTGACACGGACGAAGTCCGCCTTGACCGCCACATTGACTTAAGGAGCGCCTTCGTTGATGTCATTGTCGATGTTGACCTCGTCGATTGTGCGTCGTACTCGGACATGGTTGTCTGTGTGTTGTTCTCGGTCATATTTGTCTGCTGAGATGATGATGATAATGGTGGCATTGCGGTGTGATGCGGGGATTTTTGTTCGATAGTACGTTGTTGATGTATCGATATGCTTCCGATTTTTGTAATGCTCACGGTAGTGGACAATGTGTTCTTCTAATGCTGTGCGTTTTTCTCGTGTCTGCGAGTCGTGCCGTAATGATATCAGAGTGTCTCGGTGATCAATTAATGGCGTAGTTATTGAGATGAGATTTTAGTGTCCATCATCGGACGACCGCGCTCACCCTCTTATACACCAGACTACCGCTTCCACGAGCCTCCCATCGACTCATCAGCTATCTCGCTCGTCGTTTGGTTTGTCAGTAGTGTCGCATTTGTCGCATCACAACACTGTGAATCCGCGCCCTTCAGTCCAATAGAAGGCCCGACTTGCCAGTTACGCAGCACACTTGTGGGCCGTTTAACCGTCGTGCTGCGCCATTTCGGTTTGACTCAATGGCATATGGTGCAAGGAGACGAGACAATTGCAGCCACACATGGTTCTTGGACCGTCTCTCGGGGTTTGGAAACCAAGAATGAGTGACCAGAGGTGGGGCGCAGCGTGTGCGTGAACGACGCGGAGGTTTGAATTAGGTTAAGCGTCGGACGCTAGCCGTTGTGGGAGCCAACAAGCGAGTCCAGTGCGGGTCATCTTCGTAAGCTGCTCGGATTGCTCGCTTCCAAGTTTTGCATGGTGTCATTCAGCATGTATGCAAGTGACTCATCTTAAGACCAATTCAATCGGTGAATGTCTGCCGGTGAATATCTACCGGTGAAGACTCAGGAATAGCTTGTACCAAGGCAGTTGGCTGATTGCAGGCAGGTCGAAGGGTAAAAAGATGATGTGGTCCACTATACCTAGCGTGCAGTACTTGTAAGATTTCGAAGGGCGCAGACTAGCAAATTGTGGAGCAAGAGTGTCAAACAAATTTTTGTGCCGGGCCAAATACGATTCATAGTTATGAACATTAGTAACACACGCATTCGTAAGCCAGTTACAGGTGTTGCTATTCGCATTTCGCAATTTCAGGTTGTTTTCAAGATATGCGTGTTGCGGGCAGTCCAGCGGGTTTCTCTTGAGCAAATATATAACCGACCTCTGCATCTAGCTGCCACAACCTCTTCGCATTCGACTATCCATGCCGCGGTCTTATATAACGATTTCAGGACCATTTTCATCTTTCATGTACAGCAGTACTCAGCTGGAGTGACTTATATCTACGTTGGTCGTGCTATATGATTGTCTATTGGGCAAACCCCATGGGGTCCAAAATCGCCGACTTTTCAGGAAGAAAAAAAAAACTATTAAAAAACAGGCTGAACACGATGCTGGCACCTCTTCCACACCTCAAGGAGCTGAAACTTCTTCTAGAAGCATACGAAGCCGATCGAGACCAGTAGTATTCGTGGTCAACGTATCAATTGATCTTTGGTCGCTGGCCGCCAATCGTATTACCCTTTCTGGAGACATTGGACGTTTTCAGCTCGCACCTAGAGGAAAATCTGGAAATACTTAGACTGAAGAAGACTACTCGAGTTCTCGAAAGTGCGCGGCCCTTCCGCAGTGGTAGTCTCCGCAATTTCCCGAACCTATATTACCTACGAGCCCCACAAAACGCGTTGATGAGCATGAGATTGCGTCGGGATCAAATGATGGGGCACAAGTACCTTCTGAAAGGCCAAGATGGTATTCCCTTCTTCGTTACTATGGTGGATGTCATTGAAGTGACCGACCTTTTGGGGGGCACCATCTTCGATTGGCGAAATCGAGTCTCGAGTGGAAGGCCCACTGCCAACCTCCTCTTATCCGGCTACATAAGGTGATCTTAAATTGGGATATAACCGGAATGGTAGAGATCGAAAAAGCCAAGAGGTGGGCGCGCAGCGAGTCTGTGTGGTCCGAGCTAAAGAACGTTAGGGTCGAAGTCGAGAACCGATTCTCTGCAAAACCATGGTCCCTTGATTTACAAAAGCAGTTGAGACTTAAGCATCAACTATGAAACTAATTGCAAATAAAATAGATATTAGCAGCCTTTTTAAACAGGTGCAAAAGACATTGGCCAGAGACTTGTAGAAGGCTGATTGCTCAGGAATTGAGCAGACGGAACATATGTGGGGCAGAAGTTGCAAGAAGTAATCATATAGTGTTGATGAAAAGGGGAGACGCGGTTGCACGTCTAACCTGCGATGTGATGGATAGTCAGCTCAGATTACTGAGAGCAAATGCTTCTCTACATGAAGGCAGGAGTGCGCTAGCCTATGTCGTAATCACTTCCTGCTCGAACAACGCACCGATTTTAACCTCCACTTCTGAAAGTTCACCTCAGATGTCACAATGTTGCTTGATAACCAAACCTTTCGTGCGAATATTTGACTGATAATCTTTCGTTCGCGCAATCCTTTTGGCCCCACTAGACTGGCCAATGAAATGCTTCCATTCGTTCCACTCAGTGGTGGAACTCCGCCGTTCTGTACTCTTGACGTTCGCTTACTCCGATTATCTACTGAAGGCCGATGAGTAAACCTTAGATTAGGTCAGCTAGTGGACTTCCACGAGCACGTAACGCAAGACGTCCGTAAGCATACATCCAGAAAACTGTGAAAGAGGTAGCATCCTACAGCGAGGGCCATCACAAAGAATCAAATCCGCTTTGCTGTCCGCCATCATTCCTTCATCAACATGAAACTCAGCACCCTTGCTCTATCCTTCGTCTTCCTGCTCATCACAGTAATGGCAACTAACTCCACTGTCCCCGGAGCAACGAACGGCACAACATCGCACTATATCACTGTCCGCAACCAGACCTACCACTACCTGCACGCCCTCCCAAGCCCCGGCATCACCCCCAAAGGCACCATCCTCCTCTTCCACGGCCTGCCCGACTTCTCATATGGCTGGCGCCACGCTATCTCCTTCCTCTCCTCCCTCGGCTATCGTCTTCTCGTCCCCGACATGCTCGGCGCAGCTCGCACGTCTGCCCCCTGCCCTATCTCCCGCTACACCTTCAAGGAAATGAGCGCTGACATCGCGGCCATCGTCGACGCTGTGCTTGGGCCTAACGCGCAGGTTATTGTAGGCGGACACGACTGGGGCACTGGCGTGGCGTACAAGTTTCCTATGTGGTACCCTGAAAAAACGAAAGCGCTATTTGCGCTGAGCTACCCATATACACAGACTTATTTTGGGCCGAATGAACAGTGGGTGGATTTGCAAGAGTTGGTGGACAGCGGCGTGTATGAGACGTATGGGTATCAGCTGCAGTGGCGAGATGTATCGTTTGATCGGAACTTCACGAGCAAGGAAGACATCCGCACGTTGTTGACTGCGCTGATTGGCGGGTCGACGGCTGATGGGCGGTATGCGGTCTCGGAAAAGTCAGGTATCTTATACGACGTGCTCCCGGATATTGCACCGGACTCAGGGTTCCTGAAGGGCGAAGAGTTAGAAATCTACGTGGATGCCATATCTCGAAATGGGGTTAGAGGAGGCTGGAACTGGTACCGCACGAGACGGATGAACTTTGAGGATGAGCTGGATGTTGCGAAGGCGGGTGGATTCAGGTACAAGCTGCCAGCGCTTTTTATCCCGAGCTTGCAGGATACCACGGTGCTGCCGCGGTACTATGAGGAGGAGATGCGTGCAAGCTTTGACGATTTGACCATTGAGCCACTGAACAAGAGTCATTGGTTGCTGGTGGAAGATCCGCAAGGTGTGAACCAGGTCTTGGAGAAATGGCTTGCGGATCTATAATAGGCACAGCGTTGGGAGATACGAAATTATTGGATTCGTGCGACCGCTCGTAGAGAGCTTGTACTTCAAGTCCGACGGGGATGTTCACAATCAAGTGCGCACAGCTATGATAGATTTAAATCAATACTGCCCTGCAATTATGCATTCAAACCCCCTTCCAATTCACCTCAATTCTCAACCATAACATCCGGTATAATCAATCTCTCCCTAATTACATCCCCATTGGGCAAATCATTCGCCTCAACCCTCTTCACCGCCTCCTCCACATCCGTCTCAATCCCCGCAGCTAGATGCCGCCCTACTAGTCTCTCTAGCACCACCTTCCGTGGCGTATCCACGAACCACTTCTCCGCACACAGCGCCGCGACATCGCGCCACGGCTCCTCATCCAGCAGGACGTAATTCCCTTCAACGATGATGAGACGCGTGCGTGAGGAGATGGGTATGCCGTCTTTTACGGGATCTTGAAGGGCGTGGTCGAAGCTGGGGGCGTAGAGGAAGGTTTCTGGGGACGGGGAGGAGGGGGTGGGAAGGGGTGTGACGGCGAGGGATTGAACGAGGGAGAGGAAGGAGGGGGCGTCGAAAGTAAATGGGGCGCCGCGGCGGGCGAAGGCTTCTTCTGAATTTGGTAGAGCGGAGAGTTGCTTTTTGGTGAGGTGGAAACCGTCCTGCGAGAAGTGTAAGCGATGTTGGAGGACATGGCGCGAGTCACGTCTAATCGATGACATCGCTGCACTGACCCGCTTCCTCTAGGCTATATTCGTTTGGAATGTCTTCATTGCGACGCAATACGATCACGACGAGCCCGGAAGGCAGCAGGAAAACAGAACATACCATAGGAACAACAGCAACATCGGCTATCCCTCTTGCAGCAAGCTCCACCAGCAGCGCTGCCGACACGGTAGATTTTCCGGACCCGGGAACGCCAGCCAGCGCGACTAGGATCCGGGATGGCGTGTCGGAGGACGCCTGCCGGGCGAGGAGCGCCTCGACGCGCTTGGCTAGATGGAGGATGGTGGATTTCAGGCTGCTTGCAGGCACCGCGTGTACAGTCGTGTCTTGCGCCATTGCGTCTTTTCTTTCAAACGTAGCGATAGAAAGCGTGATTTAGGAGGTCTGACCAGGTGGAATGGTTGTCTTGTTGGTAGGTCTTGTTCGAACTAGTGATGAAATTGGGGTTGGGCTTTGTAGGCTGGTCTGGGGTGTGAAGTGGTGTTGTCCGCCGGTGTTGCTGCATGTTGTGCTTGAAAAGGATCCACTTTTTGGGCGGTCGACTGTCGCCCTTGTCGGATGTGTGCCGGCGCCTTACTCCGTGACAACGAAACTCCTCATCCCGGAATGTTCGCACGCAAGAAGCTGACTTACACGAACCAGCAACTGGTATCCCATAAGGTAGTAGAGAAGATGCACGGCTATTATTCGATAATGCAAAAGACGAAGATTCATCAGCATCGAAGTGAACGGGACATCTGAGGTACAGTAAAAGTGAATTGGAGCAATGAATTTCAATCGTTATTTGGTTTGCGCGGGGATCCTCAGCCTTGAAATACGTTACAAAACAACCTTACATGCAGCTAATCCGAGTCATACGTGGCAATGAACATTTGAAGCTTTTCCGATTCATACGTGGTATCTCTCTAAATCCAATGTCAAACCGAGCCCGACTCTACCGCAGAAGACAACCTCACTGCACCCCCTCAATAACGACCTTAAACACGCCCTCCTTCGCCGCCTTAACAAGCTCAAATGCCTTCTCCGCTTCCTCGAATTTGAACCGGTTGGTGATCAGCTTCTTAACGTCGACCGCGCCCGACGCCACCAGATGCACCGCATCAGGATAACATCCCACTGAATACCGTATCGATCCCTTGATAGTAAGCGCGCGGATGCAGGCTGTTGTGATGGGGAACACCACATTCTGTTTTGCAGCGTGTTAGCACAGTTCCAAGGTGACAGAGGTAAATGCAGCGAACGACTTACTTCCTTCCCCATACCAGCTTGCACATAAGTGCCGCCCTTGATGGCTACGTTTATACCAGTCTGAATGCAGGGTTCGGCCCCTGTACACTCAAGCACCACGTCCGCGCCCTCGCCCAACCCAAATTCCTCCTTAATCATCTTCGCGACGTTCTCCGCATGCTCGACCGAATCCACGCCCTCCTCTGCCCGCGGAGGCAGAAACGTCCCGTCCGCAGCGTACTTCCGCGCAAAGTCGAGTCGTGACTGCGAGATATCCACTGCAATGACTTTCTTCGCGCCCGAGGCCTTGGCCACAGCTTGCGAGAGGACGCCGATTGGGCCCGCGCCGAAGACGACGACGGTCTGGTTTGCGCGGATGGAAGCAACTTTGCAGATTTGGACGGCGACGGCGACGGGCTCGACCATGGCCGCTTCTTCCATGTCCATGGTGTCCGGGATCTTGTAGCAGTAGTCGCTGGCCACCGTATAATACTTCGCCAGCGTGCCATCCCACGGTGGAGTCGCCGCGAAGATGGTATCGTTGCACAAGTTGTAGGACCCTGCGCGGCAGTAGTCGCATCGTCTGCAGGGGACGCCGGGCTCGATGGCCACGCGGTCGCCGATCTTGAGGTTCGTTACTTTTGATCCGGCTTCCACGACGACGCCGGACGACTCGTGGCCCAGGACGATGGGCGATTCGAGCACGAAGTCGCCGATGCGACCGCGCTGCCAGTAGTGCACATCGCTGCCGCAGATGCCGGTTTGGGCGACGTGGACGCGAACTTCATGTTCATCGCGAAGTTTGGGGACGGGGCGATCCTCAAAGGCGACATCTTTGACGGCGCGTAGGACGAAGGAGCGATTTATTTCGGTAGTGGTGGACATTGTGAGGGTGTGAGCTGAGACACACAATTAATCTTCGAAGGGAAGAGGTAACTCAGACTGAGAAAACTTGTACTTCTCAGGACGTCTGAGAAAATAGATTTGGGATCTCATCTCAGCGACCTGCATCATGTTCAACAAATATCGGGCCTCTCTGCGCATCACCCTCGCATCGAGGGTGGAGGACCGAAAGCTAAGGGTCAACGTCACCCATCGACCCCTCCACTAATGCGGGGGAGCCCCGCGCCGTGTGGATCCCTGATGCTTCCAACACCTCGTGATGGTGTTCTACGGACCGTTGGAGTTTCCATCCTGAGGAGTCGTTGTGCTCCCGCCACTAGCTCCCGTAATGGTGGGATATCGTGCAGGACGCGTGCTGCGCGTAGGTGCACCCACTCCGTAGCTCCCCACGTCGCCCTCGCGCGCTGGATCGGCGTCAGTACGAAAGAAGAACAAAAAAATTGTAGAATCCGCGTGCAATCCCTTGCCTTTTTGACTCATCTAGTTTCTTCATCTCCTCACCATACACCTATCTTCGTTCTCTCTACTTGGGCACAACATCTCTGAACCCACCTACCATCTAGAATCACGACCATGTCTCTCGCCAAACACCCCAACCCCTCCAGCCCCGTAACCTCCCACTTCTCCCTCAAAGGCAAAGTCGCAGCCGTCACCGGCGGCGTCCGCGGCATCGGGCTCTCCGCCTCGCGCGCCCTCGCCGAAGCAGGCGCCTCGGTCGCAATCCTCTACTCGTCTACCAAAGACGCCGACGCCATCGCGTCCCAGATCGCAAAAGACACCGGCGCCAACGTAAAAGCGTACAAGGCCTCTGTCGAAAACAAGGATGAGATCGCTTCAGTACTACAGCAAATTGCCAAAGATTTTGGAGGTCTCGACATCGTCGTGGCCAACGCAGGAATCGCAAATCACCATGCTGCGGAAGACTACACCGAGGAGCAGTGGCGCAAGGTCATGGCTGTGAACCTCGACGGCGCATTCTACACCGCGCAGGCAGCGGGTAACATCTTCAAGAAGCAGGGCCACGGGAACTTGATCTTCACTGCATCCGTGTCCGCGATCCTCGTCAACGTTCCGCAAAAACAGGCTGCGTACAATGCATCAAAGGCAGGCGTGGTGCAATTAGCACGTTGCTTGTCCGTCGAGTGGGTTGAGTTTGCACGTGTCAACTGCGTGAGCCCCGGGTTCATCGCGACAGACATGCTCGACGTGCACCCCGAGGCACACAGGAAGAAATGGTTCGACATGATTCCTGCGAAGAGAATGTGCGAACCGGATGAGTTGAAGGGGGCGTATGTGTTTTTGGCGAGTCAGGCGAGCTCGTACATGACGGGTGCGAACTTGGTTATTGACGGAGGATATACCTTGCCTTGAGTGATTGATAGAAAGCTGTTGTACCCGCAAGTCCACGGGGCGTTGGGTGGTGATGATAGAATAATTCGACCAACTTTGATCAACTGTCTCTTCTTCCAGAGTAAAATATCTTCCATTTCCAGGCTACCTGTGCGATGTGGTGACTGAGACTTGGTCGTAGATGATATCAAAGACCATAGCAAAGTCCTCCGACATGTTCCGCATATTCTGACCTAGCGAGGTAGGCAGGGACTGTGCAGATTACTAGCTGCAGTTTTTGCGCGCCAGCCAGCTCAGACAGATGAAAAGGTTTAGCTTGCGCTTAGACCTGGGCACTACATCCGGCGACAGATCTAAAAGTCCAGGGTCGGATGCTCCGGTCGTCACTTGACATCGCGCGGGTCTCTATTGATCGATTCGACTTGGGAAAAGGTAGGTATCCCTGCACGAAACACGCGACAGACTACCCACTGGCCCACCGTAGTCGGTAGTCGCGGAGGAGGTCACCCTAGAACCTCAGGTACCGCCCGCATAGCCGTATGCGACTCAGAACGCTTGGCCGTTGATCACAAGACCGGCAGGTCAGGTTCCAAGAGGCTTTGCTCCAGATGTGGGATCCCTGAGTAGGCAATGTGTAGACGGTACACTGCATGCATCGCTCTTGGGACCCGAGACGAGGGCGACCCCATAGCTGCCATCCCCGCGTAAGAAACTGCTTCTGTCCAGTGTGGATGCAGCCAACATAGTAGATCCACAGTAAAAAGGGCACCTGGAGTCTTTCCTCCCTTATATAGAGTCCCAAGCCACATTTCATTCCTATTGAAATCCGCAACCTCGTCTCACTCGTTCAAGTTCTATACCCAATCTCCTTGCTACGTATCTTGCACAATGACTGCTGCCAACGGAACCTCCAACGGCAATGGCGCCACCAGGAAGTCCATTCGGGCCCCCAACCCCCCGCTCAAAGATAGCGTCTTCGACATGTTCCGTCTGGACGGCAAGACGGCCATAATAACGGGTGGCTCAGGCGGCATCGGCTACGAGATTGCCCGTGCGCTGGCGGAAGCTGGAGCAAACATCGCGATATGGTATGCGCACTCCAAGAAGGCGCACGCGCTCGCCGAGACCATCGCCTCCGACTTCAACGTCAAGGTCAAGGCCTACCAGGTGGCTGTGGAGGACTACGCTGCAGTGGAGCAAGGAGTAGCGGCCGTGGTGGACGAGTTCGGCAGACTTGATATCATGATTGCAAACGCTGGTATTCCGACAAAGGCAGGGGGTCTGGATGACCTCGTCGAGGACTGGAACAAGGTGCGAGCCATCGATTTCGACGGCGCGTACTACTGTGCCCGAGCGGCTGGATTGGTGTTCAAGAAACAGGGCTGTAAGTTCCGCTATCCCCCAAGCTCAAGATATGAACTTTACGCTGACAATGGAATCCTATAGCCGGAAACTGCATCTTCACAGCGTCAATGTCCGGCCACGCCGCCAACGTCCCACAAGAGCAATCGTGCTACAATGCCTGCAAGGCTGGTGTAATCCATCTCGCGAAGTCGCTGGCCGTGGAGTGGGCCAAGTGGGGTGGCCGCGTGAACTGCGTGAGCCCTGGCTACATAGACACTGCCATCTCAGGGGACTGCCCGTTCGAGATGAAGGAGGAGTGGTTCAGCCTCACGCCGTTGAAGCGCGATGCTGACCCGAGAGAGTTGAAGGCCGCATACTTGTACCTGGCGAGTGATGCGAGTACGTACACGACGGGAGCGGATATTGTTGTTGATGGAGGATACACATGCAGGTAGATACAGTGCTATGAACGAAATCAAGTCCTGATACCCACATGTTGCGAACTCGAATGAGTGTGAAGCCTGAAGCACGTTGGGTCTATTACTCAACTGTGAAACTTTCAATTGACTAGTTTCAAGATCTGAGGAACAAGATCAAGTTGAAAGTGCCAAAATAGAGTTGGGGCCCGAAGCTTGATCGATCGTGTGCCGCAATCCCGCATGTTAGATCAGGTGATTCCGGGAACTGCACTCAGTTGTCCGACACGAAGATATCGTGGCTATGGGAAGACCTCTTTAGTCCCAGTCTTGTGCAGTTTACAACACGTTATGGCCTTATGGATCATCGGATACAGTTTGCCAGCGCTATGGAACGTTCGTTGGAAGTAAGCGCGAAACAACTAGGGGGTGACGTCGTTCCTACGGAGAGCCGCGTGCTAGTCTGTCGACTCTATTGGCTGTCAGGGTCGGACCGACTCGAGACGAGGGCGACAGTCGCCCGCACATGGCCGTTCCGGCCAACAGTGCACCCAGAATTCCCGGCAGGTTGGCGCGGAATCTGGGGAGGCCTGCGCGCGCTCATGCGAATCGTAAGTTCTGGGGTCCCCGCGCCTGGAACAACATGTGGAGTTAGTCAATACGCGCGAGATTAAGCGCGGCGGCGAGTAATGCAAGCGGTTCTGTGATGGAATATTAAAAGCAGTCGCCCGTCAGCTGTTGAGATGAACCATTTGAGTATCCTCAGCGATCTTTTCCTTCCTTGTCAAGGTCTTCTGTTGTCGTGAGATTGTTGCCATTATGAGGGACGAACAGATTGTCGGTCGCGCCCTCGCGGAGGTGATGCCCCAGACAACCAAATACTGGTTTCAGACACCGCATCTATTGCGACTGAACTTGATCCTGCTCATCCCACTCCTTTCTTCGTCAGTGGCAGGCTATGATGGTGAGTGTGTCCAAACGAATTAGTTGGCAAATTTGACTCTCGGTAGGATCTCTGATGAACGGTCTCCAATCCCTTAAACAGTGGCAGGATTATTTCGGAAATCCCGCGGGAGCTCTACTTGGACTTATCAATGCTGCTCAATCTATCGGATCCGTCGTTGTCCTTCCTTTCGTCGGAATCCTGTCGGATAGATATGGTCGAAGATTCGTGCTGCTGGCTGGCCTGATCGGGGTCATCGTAGCTACCATCATTCAAGCAACAGCAACCACGTTGGCACAGTTCGTCGTATCACGTTTCGTGGTGGGCGCTGCGGGAATGTTCGTCGTCCAGCCCTCGCCGATGCTGATTGCTGAGCTCGCGTATCCTACACATCGTGGCAAATATACATCTGCTTTCTGGACCATGTACTACCTCGGAGCGATTCTTGCAGCCTGGACAACCTTTGGCACTGAGCAACGACCAGACAACTGGAGCTGGCGAATTCCTACCATTCTCCAAGCTGGGTATCCCCTGGTGCAACTAGCCTTCTTCTGGAATCTGCCCGAATCTCCTAGGTCAGCTTGGAAAACTTCTCCACAAACCGCATTTGCTAACCACGTGTAGATGGCTTGTCGCCCAGGAACGAACCGAAGAAGCACATGCTATCCTCACAAAATACCACGCAGGAGGTGATCCTGATAGCCCGCTCGTAAACCGGGAGATGAGCGAGATTGTCCAAGCCATCCGAAACGAGCGAGCAGCTGCGACCGTCAACTGGGGTACACTTGTAGCCACTCCCGGTAACCGGAAACGTCTTTTCATCGCCGTATGCTTGGGTGCATTTGCTCAGTGGAACGGAATCGGTAAGATACAATGGTCAACGATGTTTCGTGACACCTCTGACTGTTCGCAGGTGTCGTAAGCTATTATCTTACCCTCGTCCTCAACTCCATCGGCATCACGGATTCTTTCGATCAAACGCTCATCAACGGACTGCTCCAAATCTTCAACTTCGCCGCCGCTCTCGGTGCAGCCTTCCTCGTCGATCGACTCGGTCGCCGAACCTTGTTCATCTGGAGCGGCATCGGGATGTTGATTTCGTACATTGTCTGGACGGCATGTTCAGCAGTCAACAACGAGCAGAACAACAAGGCAGCCGGCTACGTCGTCGTGGTGTGTCTCTTCGCCTTTTACTTCCACTACGACATCGCCTATACTCCGCTCCTCATGTCATATCCCACTGAAATCTTTCCCTACACCCTGCGATCCAAGGGTATAACGTGCGAATTGTTGTCCATCTACTGCTCACTTGTCATTGCTGCTTTCGTCAATCCGATCGGTATGGAAAATCTTGGCTGGAAATACTACATTTGTTTCTGCTGTTTCCTGGCCGTATTCCTCGCGATTACGTACATGTTCTTCCCCGAGACCAAGGGACGAAGCTTAGAAGAGATTGCTGAGATCTTTGACGGACCCGGCGCTCAAGTTGATGCGCAGGCCGTCGAGAAGGAACATGTTTATGCAGACAAGGAATACAAGGAGGTGGCTTAAAGCAGGTTTGACTGTTCAGTAGAAAAGCTAAAGCCGAAGGCACTCTATCTTCTGTAGCTGATTGGTCGCCTTGTACATAGAATTACGTCTATACCCAGGAACGCTGTCGCAATTCCGGTGCTTCTGTTCTAATTGTCTTTCACTTCGCGGTGTAGCTAGTAGAGGTAAGTTTGACTCCCAGTATTATCGTGCTTTGCATCACAAGACTGTCCTTGGTTATGTCTATTGGCGCCGACATTGCCACCTCTGCTTGATGGCTAGAAGCTGTCGAACGCGAATGCTGAGCCTTGCATTCGAAAAAAAAAATGCTCTTCGAACCGACGAGGGTCTCGCCTTTTCATTCCTACTGGGCTGCTTGTCGCGGTAGAACCGACGCCTGCCCACGGAGCCACAGAAGGGTTTTGCGACATAAGCCATACGGCCATCAGACAGCTGCTGCGCAAACTGTCATGCGAGTCTAGTGTGATAACGGAAAATTGAGCGGACATGAATCTCAATCCCACGGAAATTGATTTGCACCACCATCCCCAGGTTGAGGAATTGTCGGCTGCGGTAGGTCGCTCATGCCGGTAAAGAAGTTGTTCCAAATGCCGTCTTGCATCAGTATATCCACGTCGGCAGGGTTTGCGTTGGGCCACATCATGGCATAGACGCTGTTGATCTGCGTTTGCGGCGATTCCTGCGTGGATTCCAGCGGTGGATAGCTCGCAAGCGTGGTGCTGTCGGGAGTGGACCCGGCGGCGTGGTCGTTGATCTGCGGTTGCAAAAATGGCCCACAAAGTCGTTGAATGACATTGTAGCAATCTTGTGCACTGGGGTTCAGCGTTGAGATAAGTTGCATGGTATGAAGCGTCTGATTAACCTGGGACCGCCAACTAGCGGATGACGGTGCGTTTGGTTCGTTCCGAAGACACACGCAAGGTATGAGTGAGGCCTGGAACAGAAAGTATAGGGCATACCACGCAGCTAGTCTCGTCGGTGGAGTAGATGCCCAGAATTCACTGATGGTGGATATGCTTGCCTCAGCGTCCCTTAGGCAGCGATTGTATGCTTCTTGAACAGCGCGTGGAACGACGTTGCCATTGTTGGTATCCGGTGCCCTTGCCTGTAGAACGCGTCGCATTACATACGGACGATACATGATGATTCTGAAGTTATACAGGCGCCACCACATGATCGCGTGCCCAGTCGCAAACTTGGCAGGAATCGGTGAGGTCTGTCGATACCACGGTGGAACAGAGGATTCCCATTTCCCGATCAGCGTGTCATCCAATCGAATGAGCTCCGTGGCGGAAGGGAACGGCATGGATATGACGCGCGTGTAGATATCGTTTGTCAACATGTGGAATTTGGACTGCATGATGAGAGCACTGAAGGTTGTGATGTTGTCTACTTCATCGGGGAGCGAACGAGACAGGTTAGTAAGAGCTCGGTCGTTGACATTGAGCGGCAGCGATATCTCTACATTGCGATTCGGCCAGGCCAAAGGACGACCAAAGGTGATGGCGGCCCCGATGTTGAAGACGAACATGCACCACCAAACGCGACGACGAATCTCCATGTTCAAAGGCGAGATATCCCAATCATTGAACTCCTTGTGCAAGCCGAGTCCCATGGCCATGTGGAGAGCAAGGCCGAGATAGTTGTAGCCACTGTTGGGTTTGTTACGCTTTTGGAGATAATTGGACATGAGCGTCAGCGTCTGTACAAGAGTGATGTTGCCCATCTCCAGGCTCTCGATCGACATGTTGGACTTGGCAGCCATGAAGAGACGCCGATCGGTGTCGGTAGGCGTTGTAGCAGCTGTGAAGTGGCCAATGGCGGCTATCATGAATGCCAGAGCATGCCAGCTGCGCCCAGACGGACGGGGTATGACTTGGGAGTATTGGGCCCTGAACGTGTGTTCTTCAACGAGCGGGTACGAGTTGTGGTACAGGCCGAAGTAGGCGTTGATGGCAGCGTCCAGATCGACCGAGCCCATGTCAAGCGCATCCCACAAGGGCGTGTCCAGCCAGTGTTCCGACAGACTCGGCGCAGGGGCAGCAGGCGGCGGATGGGAGACTGCCTTTTTGTACGAAGCATGCGCATCAGGAAGGAGCAGCCGTAACATGGCAGCGCCAGAGGCCACGCCTAGATAGCCCGCTTCGTGGTCGTCCACGGTCAGAGAAGCCATGCCATCGGCCGCGCCTTCGTCCTCGCCGTTGGACCCGCCCGTGGCTGGGTTCGTCTCTGGGAGGCCGCTGTCCAGTGTCTGCTCGGACCAGCTGTAGTCGGCCAGACCAGACGGCGGACCTTCGAAAGCCAGCCCAGCCTCGTCATTTGGTGTCGTGTCGTCTTCGGCGGCGTCGTGATCCGCTGTCGCTGCGGCGGTCCCGTGCTCGACGGTGCTTTCGCCATCGAGCTGCTGCAGCTGGCGCAGGCTCGCTTCGGCACGGTGAGCGCGGGCTTCGGCGCGCGCGGCCTGGAGCTGGGCGCGTCGTAGCTGCTCCTCCACCTGGGTCAGGTACTTGCGCGTCAAGGGCGTTCTGCTGTGCCGCTCATAGAGACAGTGACCTAGTGGCACCGTCAGCCTGGATCAAAGCCGTGGGGAGAAACAGTCGGCGCCTGTCTCTGCGAGGCGAGAAGGCTGCAACCAGGGTGCACCGACGGCGGTTCTTCCTGCATGGCCCGCACTCTGGGAGTGTCTTGTCGCAGCGAGCCTTGCGCCGACGACACTCATTGCAGGCTTGGTCACGGTCGTCGCGATTGTCGCTGTCCATGTGCGCTGAGGGTCACGGCATGTTGTCGCAACGGCGCAGTACCGTGACTGCTCAGAATCTCGAGCCATCGCGGGGTCTAGTCTCCGCGGTAGGGCCGCGCATCACACTGGCGGCTCTCCATGCAGCTAACTCCGTCCATTCATCACTTGCCTCCTTACAATGGTACACGCTTCACTTATGAAGGCAGGAGATCCGGGAAGCTCGGTTTTTCACACCAGCCCTTTGTTTCGCGATGGCTGTTTTAGCGATTAGATTGCGTGAGCATTCTTAGAGTATCTTCACCACTCTAGGGGTGGAATACTTGAACCAATCGCATTCCCGTTGCGCGCGGGAGTCGTAGTCTTTCTGACTCCAATAGTTCGAAGTGTAATCAAACATGCCGACGCGGTAGAACACCTGCTCCTCAGGCTCGCTTCGTTGTTCATCTTGCTTCGTTGGCATACCGAGTTTTGGCATACGAAGTAAATCGCCACTCCGGCTTTGAGCGTATTCCCGAACTTGCTCTGCGGACCAATCATCAACTTCGGCTCCGAGATAGAGACGAAATTGGTATCGCAGGGCGGCCGTCTGTGTGGAAGGTCTTGACTGTGGACCCGCCTCATCCTTCACAGATATATCTGTGTCCGTCTTCTCCTTGGCAGCTAAGCGTCGTTCCCTTGCCCCTTTTTGAGCAGAAGATATTACTTCCGAACGCAGTACCAGACCTTTAGTACGCCATTGAGATCCCATGAATAAGCTGTATAACTCTAGAAGCACTATCTCCGCTGGAGCTCCTTCTGGCATACGGGCTCGGAAGTCGGAGGTATCAAGATTGATCTTAATTTGCTGGACCTTGCAATCTTCGCTCATCTTCATTACGGCGGCGTGATTCTCTTCTGGCCGATTGTAGCGGTTCGAAGCTCGTGAGGGAAGGAGAAGCGCAGGTAACAATCTCGCTTCGAGAGTTAGGCTGCACAGATCTTCTTCGACTGCCCCGAACGGAGCGCCGTCTTCAACAAGAACCGGCTGACACTCCAGTATCTTGGCTCTTATTGCTTGCTTATTCTTGCCGTCTTCGAGTCCATACTGGCCCTTGAAGTCGATTACGCCATTTACAGACGTCCAAGACCACGACGGCCCTTGGAACGAAGTAGGTGCAGGATGTGTGTTTCCTTCCACGGTCCATAGGAGCTCTGTGAACAGTGATTTGCGCCATAGACCTGCGAGATATTCATCGTCGAGTGCAGCACAATACTCTTTTGCAAGTCCGGACAAAGCTAGGGTCCGATCAGTCGGCCTCGTGAGTTTGCGGTGTGTATAGGCCCTGACGAGGCTATACCAGTCTCTCTTGTTTTCATTCAGGTCTATTTTAGAGTCGCGCTGAGAGGCCGATCGGGTAATGTCGAAGACTCGGTCAAATACCTCTTTCGGTAAGATGTTTTTGCTCGTAGAATCAATTTCATCCGCCATTACCCATCCATTCGTCCACCCTGGTTTATCTAGAGAGCCACGGCATAGCCAGCGTACTTGATGCTCCGAAAATTCCAGCAGCCGTGGTGAGAGGAGACGTTCTTGTAACGTCCAGGCTCTCGTATCAAGTGGTTTCGAAGTTCTGTCGAGACAAAATATTGTTATGCTTCCCCTTGTAGAATCAGGACACACATAAGGTAAAGTAAATGCAGGTGTTTCTGAGTTGGGTGCTGTACGTCGATATAGAAATCCCTTGGAAGCATCACTTGCCGATGCGGCCGCAATAGTCATATGTCCATTTCTATATATCTGTGGCATCTGAGCAATCTGTTGAGGTCGGTCTCGATCGTCGTCTTGTATGATGCATAGCGCGTCTACCCATAGAAACCGAACCTTAAGGTTGCGACACACGGTAATTGCATCTTGGATAGTCCTCGGAAGCCGATGATATGGTATCGATCTCAGCCACTCGGAAATAGTCGCCTTTGTGGAAGTGATCGTTTGGTCTTTTCCCCAGCAGTAACTCAATGGGATGTAGGGCGAATGGGCTAAGTGTTGCGTTTCGCACAGGTGCAAACAATCTGATCCATCGGAGTCCAGCACCTCGATTAGTCTTTTTGGGACAAATGCAGCACTGAATGTTGGGCAGCTGTCGTTGTGGTCTTTGATGCACGAATCCCGCCATAAAGATATTTTCGCGGCTGTCTCCAATGATCCAGGCTCATCGTCTATTGGTCTCGTCGTTATGTATTCGGCAGCGCGATCACCTGCTGATGCGTCAGTCTAGGGTCAGGCATTGCTTACTCAAAGCGAACTGTACCCTCAGAAGCTTGCACTCGGAATCCGCGCCGCGTGCGATATGCAATTTCTTTGTTATCGCGGTCCCAGAGACCAAAGAATTCAACTCTCGAGATGTCGATGTCATCCTGTGCGCCCAGGAAAAGGTACATATTCTCAAAGTTTCCAGGTCTCTCCACCGCTAGCCTGCGCAACGTTTGTTCCGGGACACATGGAATCAAAGCATCAACCCACATGATGGCCTGTTGCATTGATTTCCGGAGCCGAGCGTCCGCAATCTCGCCGCATTGAGCCGATGCAGTTTCGAGGGTGATACATTCTTCATCTAGAATCCATGAACTCAGTCGACAGCCGTTGTTGCTAGCTTCGATCAGGTCGACGAAGGCAAAGTCGAAGAGGACTTTTGCCTCCATTTTAGCATCGTGACTATCGTCCGCGCTGCGATCATGATTGGTGCGACGGGGCGCTGATTGCCCTCGGTCGAAGACTACCTTTTCACACCAAGCACATGAATGTGGGTCCAGGATAATTGGCGCCATTGGTTCATTCCAGCGTGGGAGACTTCAGCGACAGTCAGTGAGTTAGTAAGTTAGTGAGCTAGATGAGAAAAACGCTCTGGCAAGTGCTGAGATACATATGTTCCTATGATTCGAAGTGCTGCGCCTAGTGCTGCGCCTCAGCCGCTCGTATTCCCTTGTGTTTGAGGCTGAAGCGTAACCTCTTCACACACATTGAGGCGATGCGGAATCCAGGCTGCTACACGAGTCGTATCATGAACGTGCTCGAAGACGATGTGCAGCCTGGTTCGGCTCTTCATTCGCTTGTCATTGTGCAGCTCTACCGATAATGCTTTCAGCCTCGATTGGCTTGATGTTTTCGACCAAAGTATCGGAGCGATACAAAGACTTCAGATACGCCCAGTATGAGGACATCACTAGGAGCCGATGTAACTGCAGAGTCGATTCGCTATTCACAAGAGAAAGTTCAACTCAGGGCAGAGACTGTGGCCAGACCACTCATGTACAGCGTGGGCACGGAGCTAGTCCGAAATAGCACAAGCGCAGAATGGAAACCATAGCGTGGCCGGAGCCGTTAGTGTCATCAGTAACGGTTGAGCACGGTGTATCGCAGAACCCACAGACTTCCCTACCCTGCAGTTACCCTAGAATCTATCCATCACGATTGGACGCAAGCTCTTGAATGATTTCATGCCTGTCCAGCTCTGCGATCCTCTCCACCTCATGCAATTGGCTATGTCCATGCTTTGCAGGCAGCTCAAACACTTCGCCACCGGCTACCTCCTCTGTATCCGTATCTTGCAGCTCTCTGGGATAAGTCTTCTCTTCGCTTGTAGCGACAAGCGCTCCGCCGTAGGCGCCGTAGGACCTGCGCTGTTTGTGCTTGTACACGAACCAACTGAGACCAACCAATATCGCAACCGCAACTATGCTACCAACAACGATGCCTGTGATTGCGCCACCAGCTAAGTGGCTCTTCCCATCTGCCCCCGCTCTGGGAACCTCTGAAGGCTGAACATCTCCAGCGGGCAGAGGCACTATATTGGGATCAGTTTCATTCCAACGAGCTGCGCTAACGTTAAATATCCCTTGTTCATAATCTACGCCGATGTACGCTTCTTGCATAAACACTCTGCCTATTGCGTATTGACTTTCGTTATCAGCCCTTCGAATGGGAAAATAGTTGGTTGTATTTGCAAATATCGGAAACGACGCTTGCAGGTCGAAGGCTGCGTATGGAAACTGAATGATGGTGGTGTTTCCACCTGTCAAGGTGTTGGTTCCGATCGTGAAAGTTAGCGTAGGTTTCTGCTGACGAAGTTGATTTCTCGTCGCATCCGAAAGAGCGTATCGCCCGGAATTCGTATCGTACTCCAGGCCAAATGCATCTTCGAAGCGGTCGCAAACGGATCGCGGCAGCCACAGCTCTGTAATCGACGAGTCAAGTGGTGCCAGAATTGGCTCAGTAGTTATCATCGAAAGAGTCCCGTTGAAAGAGTTTGTGACTAAGATATCCTGGAGGCCGACCGTCAGAGCCTGAGACAGATCTGCGTTGATGTTGATGGTTAACGGCGTCGTCGCGCGCGATTTGTCATAACCTCCGAGGACAAGGCTGCCCGGCACTCTAGTTTCTCGATATGATGCTCCTGCCTGGTAGCCATAGGTGAGGCTGGGAATGACCCCTTTGTCCTTCAGATTCACAAGCAATGAGGCGGAGTTGATCGTCTCCGAAAAGTTCAAAGGCACAGTTGATAGACCAAGTTGGCCGAGCCAAAACCCTGGCGATGCATAAGCCGTGACTGGGAAGCGATCCAGCGTGGTGTTCGATACTCTGAACGTGTCGAACCCGCTCATGCCATTACCGGAAATTCCTCGATCTCTTTCCAAGCCGAGCTCGTACAGCCCAATGGCTTCCCACGTCGACGAAACGTTCGTGTGGAATCCAGCGCTGGTTCGTTGTGCGAATGGCTGTGCACCGCGAGAGACGCCACACTTCTCTGCGTCCGCTGATATTTTAATGCATTCATCCGCAATAGGAAGCCATACATTCTGGACTTGGAAAGACGGCAGGACCCGGAAAGATTGCGGCGGAGTGCCAACATCGATATTGAATCTGTCGCAGTCGATCAGCAAGTCGGATCAGAGGCCAAAGAGCACGTAATGTACGTGGACCAGCTGCCATCATTACCAAGCCATGTGTTAGATACTGTAACTATCAGAGGAGCAACCATGATGATGCTTCGACTTCACTTCAAACGTCGAACAGTAGAGAAGGCTGAAATGCAAGCGGCCAGGCTGCGATGGTCAATCTCGAGCCAAGACGGTTCACGAACGTGTTAAGCGCCTCTTTTTGATAGTGGTTTCAAGCTTCATTTGATGACCTGCACGAGAGAGCTCGTATTGAAGACTTTATCGCCCCCGGTCTAGTCCTGAAGCCGGCAAGGCTGGACTTCTATGGCAACTATTTTCCGCTCAGAACCTGCACCCCATCAATTTCGAGACCATATTGACCAACCGGAGCCTTGTTGACACACCCCCAGATTCATAGAAGGGCCCCTGGACCCAACCCCTGGTCGATTGTAAGCAGAGCAATCAACTACATAGCCCGGGCCAAGGTGCGCCAATGCGGGGGCCAGAATGTAGCACACAAGGCTGAGTCCTGCAGAACTCAAAACAGTTTTACGTGAAGGCTTTGAGATAGAATTCTGGAACGCCAGTCTTGTGTTGTGAACTATCATAAAAATTGAAAGGTCGATCAGGGTCCTGCTCAATATGCGACGAGAGTCTGGAAGATTCGCCTGGCAAGGAGCCATATTATCGCTATGTCTCCTGGCCGGCGTCTCCTCGGGTGCGTATCGAGATGGCGGGGGCTTCCTTTTGCTGACACTGAGCTTTTAGCTTCTACGACCGCCGAATGTACTGTTGTCATAACCACTTCCGCAACTAATGCCCTTACACTACCTCCTTCAACTACCACCTCGTTTATTACGCAAACTTACGTAGCGACTACGTACTACGTGACACCTTTCAGTAATGGAACTACCTCGACCAGGACTGAGTACGCGTTTGCGAGGCATGCACGCATAGCGAAGCGGACGGTGTGGTCTGATTCATCGTTTGCGTACGTATCGAATGGGTATCAGAAATGGAGACATGGCTGATGTACTTAGAACCCCCACCAACCAACCGCCCAACAATATCACATCCACATCCTCATCCTCATCATCACTCGCCCAAACCCCGCCCGTGTCAGGATGCGAGACCTTGACTGCCACGATTACTCTGATTGAGACTATCACGCTTCCGGGTCAAACCGTCACGAATGTTATCACAACGATACGTGCCACTACGCTCTTCGACTACGACTACCTTTCTCCGGGTACCTTCGAGCCAACCGCGACGGAACTGGCGTGAGTATCCCCATACAATGTCATATAATTGGTTGGTTTGAGAGTGTATCTGACTAGACACCATCAGGCCCACATCTGCATTTGAGCCGCTCCCAGTGGAGACGCCGACGGGCCAGCCTCGACCAACGCCTCAAGATCCTGCACAAACCTCTGGCGTCCCAGTAGCCCCGCCCAACAAAGAGCCGCAAGCAATTTCTACGCCTGTGGCCACAATACCCAACACTAGACCCATAAACATTGGCCCGTCACACACCGCAATATTTGTTCCCGGCATTGGACCCGTAAATATCGCTCCCGGGCAAATCACCACCTTCGGCACCCTCCCCATCTCTTTTGATACATCCGCCTCCTTCATCGTCATCGATAACACCCAAACCATCCCCCTTCCGGCGCCCACCCCAGAACAAACCACGCTACACCTCTCGAGCCTCCTCTCGAATCTCCAGCCCGGCCAAGCGACAGTCGTCAATGGTGTGACTGTATCCCTCGACACCAGGTCCTCCGCTATTGTAGTGGGGAGTGAGACGATCGCAGTGAGCGCCGCACAAAGTGGGATCGTCGTACCCGTACCGACCTTACTTACTACGGATCTTTCGTTCGTATCTGCCTCTGGAGGTGGGATAGTGCTTCCCAACGGCGAGACGCTGGCGCCGGGGCAGGCTACGACGTACGCGGGTTTGCCGGTGTCGCTGGCATCTGGGATGGCAGGGATTGTGGTGGTGGACGGCACGGTCTCTATTCCAGTGGCGGGGAGCACTGGAGGGAGTTCTGCGAGTTCTACAACTGCGGCGGGGGATGCGCAGTTCACTGGGGGCGCGACGCCAGGGGCTGGGATCCAGACGTGGTGGGGAGAGTGCATGATGGTAGCTGTCTTTGCTGCGATACTTCCACGGCGATAGGCTTCTGCTTCAGGCACAGCAGGGTGGTATTAGTGTCTGGTATGTGAGATTATGCAGGCGTTGGGATTAGCTAGCTATGCGTGCTCGCTTTGCAGATGAAACAGTTCTACGAAAACCTAGCCGTACGCACTGCACATTTTCTACACATGGAAGACAAGCAAAATGTAACGGCTCAGTTGAACCTACAGCATTGCTGTTTCTGTCGGCCCCCTCCACACCTTCCGCACCGCCAGCTTCTCTCTCATCTTCCCTCTCCTCACCTCAACACTCTCTTCCACATCAACCGGACTCTCCAACTCCATCCCTTTGAATTCCACATCATCGGCTGCATACCTCACCCACACACTCTCCAGATCCCCCGGCCGCTTCACAACATCGCGACAGAATGCGCCCCATTGGCTAAGCACGTGCTTCGACTGAGGCAGTCTCGGAAAGAAGCTCGCAAAACTGTGCGGCAGGGCGTCGTATTGGTAGAACTGTACTGTTGCACCAGCTTTCTCCGCCCTCTTCGCCAGGTAGTACTGTTCGTCCGTCAGCTTCTCCTGCCCCGTCGCGATGAACATGGGCGGCATGTTGTTCGCCGACCACGCAGGCGCGATAGCCACGCTGACGAGAGGGTGTAGAAGCGTGCGGGCGTCCGCATAGATGTCTTCGCGCGGGGGCTTGGTGGGCCAGATGTCGCAGGAGGGATAGTTGGGTTGGAGGTGGGGAAGGAGGTCGAGAATGAATATGTCATAGGGTCTGTTGCGGATGTGGGAGGCGAAGGACATGGCGTGGTCGCAGTGCGGATAGAGCGTTGCGACGCCTGCTGGAAGGGGTACGTCGATCCATTGGTCACGGAAACGCACGCGGCCGGCAGCATGGTCGCGGAGGTGTTGGAGCAGTGCGAGGAGACTTAGTACGAGGTTGCCGCCCGAACTGTCGCCTGCGAAGACGATGTTTTGGGCTGAAACCGGTTTGTGCATTGCATCCTTGCCTGGGTGAAGAAGAGATAGATACGCGAGGAAGAGATCGACCACCGCTGCTGGGAAAGGACACTGCGGTGCAAGACGATAGTCGGGTACGAGACATCTGCCGCCTGTCTCACGTGCCAGTGCCAAAGTAGTGGCGCGTACGGAAGATGGACTACCGGTGCTGTTGGCGATGTCAGCCAGCGTCTTTAGATACAGTACTGAGTCTAAGGTTGTAGTACTGCGTTACTCCTGTTTGGGTAGCGAATTGTACTAGAACCTTCGTTCAGGTATGATCGGAGACTGGTACTGACTAGTAGAAACCGCCGTGAGCATACAGGATCACAGTATCTGCTGGTACATCCTTCATCATACCGTTGAACTTCTCATGCTCAGTGATCTCTGGCTCTGGTTCTTTCTCCTTGCCAACTGGTCTATATGCAGTCCATTGGACGTCGACGTCTTCGATGGTAAAATCGTACGTGCTATCACCACCAAAATCGAGGGCCCTGAAAGCATCTTTCAACACACTCCCAAGTTCGTGGCTGCCTTCAGGCTTTTCAAAAACAGTTCGACTAACCCACACAGGGCCCTTTGCCGGGACGTCCTGTGCCGTCACCATTTGTTGCATGGAAACAGGAGCGAAAAGAATCGGTTTAAGCTTTTCGATGAAACCCGAGGTCATCTCTTGCAGCTTCTGCTCTGCTTTTTGCCTGCTTGTCATCGTTGCTTCTATGAGACTACGACGCCGGATTGATACAAAGTTGCGGGATCATACAGTCTTTCGATGTGAGTAGATTTGGAGAATAGGTGTGAACATCAAACCATCACGTTCAGCAGAAGGTCGACTCTGTTCCACAAAATGATCGCCTATTGATAACGCACTTTGCGGCACAGTGCATGGACAAGCCACGTTCGGACGTCACTGACGCCGGGGCGAGGTTGCGCGTCTGTCCCAGCCCTGTCGTAACCGGCTCGCGGCCTTGCAGGCGAACCTATTGTTGCAGCACGACCTGGACAAACTTGCTGGGTCGGGTTCCTCAAAGATGCAAGCGGTGGCAGGCAGCGGCTATACGCAAGATGCCCCGCGGTAGGATTCTCGCCACTTCGGGCAGGAGCGGCCATGTGATAAACCGCGCAAGTCCAGAAGATTTGGGTGATAGGACCTTCCGAATGGATCTCCGAAGGAATCTCTTGGAATGCAGACTCCCCGATTCTCTTAAAAGGGAGTTAGTTAACTACGCATGTCAATCAAAATCCTAGCAGCCAATCCAATCCCGTCGACGGGGAAGCCAGAAATCGGGACGGACGCGACAGGGATTCGGACCGAAGCCCTTACCGTGCAGGCAGTGCATCCGCATCCGCGACGTATCCGCGACGCCTCCGCTGCGCTTCAGGAACGGAAGGACCGGACCGAACAAAAGAGCCCGTTTCTTACACGGAAAATTCGACATTGAGATTTGGCCATGCTCAACACTAGGGTCCATCAACTGCATGATTGTGACAGGGTTTTTGTGGCTGTGTGAATCTCAGAACATGAGCATTTCGTGGATGCACGTCAAGCTATACCCTAGCCACTACATTCACATGGGTCACCAAGTGATGGCACGCCGCTGACCGATTTGGTCTCGGACTTCGTATCGAAGCCGATATGCTGGCTGTGATTTTATTTGCTGGGACTGTGTAATGAAGGAACTCAAGTGAAGGGTTGGTCCGGGGAGCAGCCAGCCAAACCCGATTAAATAGATTCAAAAGACTACCTATACGTGACTGCCTAGTTCAGGCCTAGTCCAGCCTTGCGACCCACCGCGACCGCAATCGAGTCCAAGTACACTGCTTTCAACCTTAACCATACTCTTCGTATCGCGCCTAGTCGATTTACTTCACGGATTCGCCCGTCGAACTACGTATCCGCCCTCGTGCGAGTGGACATCATGTGGTTAACTAGTCGATGTCATCCCTTCCAGTCCATGCACGTGGATGCATACGTATATGGAAGGTCACACATCAGATTTTTCTGAGACCCTTGGGTTACAGAGACCAAGACTTTCGACCCATGGAAATTTCTGGAGGCGGGGAAGGGCCGCCTTTATACCACATGACGCGATCACGTGGCTTTGCATCCTCGTTGTCCGGTTCAACCCATTGGCACTTTGTGAAGGCCGTCCAGATACCGGCGAGGAAAGAGCTGTTCCTATCACAATGATAGTGAGATCCCAGCAAAGGGACTATCGCCTTTGTAGCTTCCTCGGCATGGTAAAACGGGATCCGCCTGTCACCAATCAGTCGATTATAGAATTTGAAGGACAGATGTGTTCTTACGAAAATAAGTGGTGGATGACGTGGTACTCAATTATACCGTGAAAGAGATATCTTCCAGTCCATCCGAAGTCCCGATCCATCGTGGCAGTGGCCCCTCTAACAAAGCTCCATGCTTCATCCTCGTACTTCGGAAGACTCGGGTGGGTGTGGTGGAGGTATGTTATCGCAACAATCCAGTTATTCACCCACAGCCACGGCTGGATGTATAGTAGTACGACGGGGAGTCCAAGCGACTCTGAAGCATACCAGAGAACACCGGCCATTGCGAGCAAACCCAGGTCAGATGCGATAATCAGATGAGCTTCTTCGGGCCTGAACAGCGTGCTTCTGGGCGCGAAGTGGCTGTTTCCGAGGAAAGAGTCCGACCTTTTGCGGTGCAGACTTCCTGGCGAGCCGGTGATGTTAGTCAGTAGATACCAAGGGAATCCCAAGAGCTGTTGTATCAATATTCGGAATATTATCACAACCGGCGAGTCTTCCGTGAGTTCTTCTAAGCGATTTGCCTGGAAAAGAAGGCTCTCTGCGTATGAAATGCGTGTAGGGGGCACATAGTTGTGATCCTTTGCGAGGTTGTTTGCGTATATGTGGTGCCGGCGGTGGGAGGATTTCCAGGAGAAGTATGGAGTCAGCAATGACGAATGAAGGATGAAGCCCAGAACATCGTTAAGAGTCTGGGATGGAGAGAAGGCCATGTGGCCACATTCATGACCAAGGACCTGTAAACAAACATGAGTCAATCAAGCGTTGCAGTCAAGAAGGCTCCCTCACCCAGAGTCCCGTCAAAACGAGACCTTGAAGATAGCCGTACGAAATCCAGGCGATTGTCCGTAAATAGACACTGGGAAGGCTCGGTATACCAGTGTGAGCTACAGTGCCAAGGACCGCGGCTAACATGATGTCACGACTGAGATAATAGATCGACTTCGTGTACGATGGTTGGAAACAATGAGGTGGAATCTTATCTCGGAGCTGCTTTATGTCGACTTTCGAGTTGATAGTCTGTACATTTTAGCATGAAGTCTAACGACAATACCACCTCGTACACTCACACCAGACCCGACGAGCTCGGATGGGTGACTGTCATAGTCAATCGTGCTCGAAGACTTTCTCTTGGACATGTTGGCCGACTTCAGGTAACCGATACTCTTTGCAAAACGGATTGATCTTGTCGTATGTTTGACTTGCGCTATATATACATATTCGGGCCTCAGTAGAGTCATAGACATTGACCAATAGCCGGGTATCAGATCAAGACCTCGCGGATAGATCAACATACTACGCCGTGCTGCCCTCTCACCCCCTCTTGCATCCAGAGACCAAAGCGGACGGAGGTTTGCTTTCGGGGCGGCTATCATTCCGAGCAGTAGGCCCGGGTTTGTAAACCCAAGAGAGGAATATGATCTTCTCGATATTACTGTACGCCTTGTGTGGCAACACGTTCATCGCCGTTGACACTTGTTTCAAGCACCTCCACGGACTTCACAATCAACGTCCGTTCCATAAAGCTGGGGTTCTTGCAGGTTCGGGGTTTGAACAGAGACGACTGATTGGTTGATATGCATGGATGCGCCAATAGTCTCCAGGACTAAGCTAATGAGTGCATATTAACGAACCTATGCAAGCAAGTCTAGATCGCCGTTGTCATGACCGTAACTGATGTCTGCGTATTCGGCCCCCAGCATCCCCAGCCTCGCATTTTTCCGGTAGTGGTAGCTGCGCGAGAGGAACAGGGCTACCTAATGCCCCTCAGCGCGGAGGTTAGGGTTATAAAACTCTAGACTCTTTGCGAACGAACGTTGCTAGATATCCGGCTGATTCATGCCAACTGCATTTGCGATTATTCGTGATCCTTACCAAATTTCTTCACCATGAACGCTGTCAGAAATCTGCCTCCTGATGAATCACGTGGCCGTGAGCTCATCAACATAGCAGTTGCTTTCTTCATTTTAGACATCTGCTTCGTTTGCATGCGCATGTGGTCACGCCACATTCAGCGCACAAGGCTTCGACATGATGACTTCCTTGTCCTTGCGGCATTGACTGTCATTACTGGAACATGTGCTACTTCCATATGTAAGCATAAGCTTTTCATTCCGCACCAGTGCATGTCTTTCTAACATCTTTAAGATGCGGTCAAACGAGGCGGCGTTGGACGACACTTGCAATACGTACCCAAGGAGCAGAGAATCGAGTGGCTAAAATCGGTTTACGTTGCCGCGCCATCACTCTACATCATATCCGCGGTGCTGCCCAAATTGGCTGTGATTTCCATGTATCTCAAGATCTTTCAAAGCAAGTTCTCCCGAGCATGCTGCTGGGTGGTTGTGTTTGTCCTGGTCGCAACACCGCTGGCCTGTGTTCCAGTTATCATCTGCCAGTGCCGACCTCTTGAATACCTTTGGAATAAGACTATCCCAGGCGGCCACTGCGTCAATCAAGCGTTGATGTTCCGCTACGGAAGTCTTCCAAACATAATAACCGACGTTGCTATGCTACTGCTTCCGATGCCTTTGGTCTGGAATCTTCACAGTTCATCCAAAGTAAAGTTTGGTCTGTTCATCACCTTTCTGATAGGGAGCATGTAAGTACCCACTTCGAAGCTTATATGCCCTTTTCAGGGATTAATGATTCGTAGCGGTTTGGTCACATCAATCATTCGCTTTGTCGCCTTCTTTACACCAATTGTCGACGGCACCTGGGCCGCCGTGTCCCTCTTAACCTGGATCATCATCGAACCGAGTATCTATCTGTGGGCTGCATGTATGCTCGCATTCAAGCCCCTGCTCCGACATCTGATTCACGAGAGTTCGTTGTCTCGGATTATCGCTCGATCACGGTCTGGTGCAAAGACTTCTAGCGACGAACAAGGTTCGTTCGGGCGCCGGGACCAAAGATCGGATGCGAGCGCTATCAGACTCCCAAGTGACGATTCCGAGTCTCAGAGGAAGATTCTGCGCCAGCGCGAATTTTGCATCGAGCACTCCGCCACCAGTACCATGGGCACAAAAGGCAGCGAAGAGTTTGACATGCACCCCATTGCAACGGTATCCAGGTGAGGAAGGCGCTGTAAACCGAACCCCGAGTTCAGTAGTTTGGAATACGGCCGTAGTAGGCTATATTGCGGGGCAGACGCATTTATCCCTGCCCTCAAGTACTGGAGGTGGACGCGGATGAGTTAGGGGTGAGGAGATAGTGGCGTTGCCATGGTAGACTAACGCACGCACTCACGTGCGTTATGAAAACAAGTCCGAGTTGCCTCCAAGACAGCCTTGAGATAAGACTAATTTTTCCTCCTCTCATGTTCAGTGATTATCTGCAACCCCATGAGTGGCTTACCTGTAGGATTGGGATCCCGGGCGCCAGGCGCCGGATAGAACCACTGCGTCGGTTTACCCTGACCGGGAAAGTCTTTGCACCTGAAACGAGGCGAACCGTTGAACAGCAAATCTACTGTTTTCCTGTTTCCTAATGCGACTCACGGGCAAAACTGCCCGGGCATATGTACGCGGCCCAGCTCGGTTATATGCGCTCAATTTGAGGATAGATTGGCAGCATGGGGCGTAGCTGTGAGGCGCAACGTTTGTGGTGCATCAGTGTCGCGAGCGACACTGTGTCAATCTTACTCCTAACGCGTTCCCGCCTCTGCTTGTGATTTGCATTCGCAACGTAGCGGCGCCTACACAACTGCTTGTTCGATTCTCAACTTCACCATCGACACTTGAAACGCTACTTCTTTGCCGAACCGCGTTCTCAACGTTGGGATCGCTCCAATGAAGATTCTCGATGATCGAATCGAGGAACAACAAGTCTTGCCTGAGGAGCCACCCAGAGGCACAGTTCAGAACGAGATGGAACATTCGGGGTTACTATCAGGGTGGAGGCTGCGTGCAGTTACCTCAAGGTACGCGGCTCATCCCCTCTTCCGAGAAACTTGTTGATCTCAGTTCAAAAGTATCGCTCTGGCAATGTTTCTTGTCAACATCGAAGTGTCCGTAGTTGCTACCTCGTTAGTTGCTATCGTAGATGATTTGCAAGGGTTCAACCGCATCGGCTGGGTCGTAACGAGCTACCTCGTCACATATACCAGTATGTATCCACACATATTCAGGCCTCACATTGCTGATACTACGCAAGGCTTGATCATAATTTGGTCGAAGTTCAGTAACGCTTGGGGTCGCAAAACGTGCATGGTGTGCGCCCTCTTCTTGTTCGTCGCGTTTTCGGGCGCCTGCGGAGGCTCCCAATCTATGACACAACTGTAGGTTATATTGCTCGAAAATATTTCCAAGGATAGCTGATATATGACCAGAATCATATTCCGCTCGTTTCAAGGCGTTGGCGCGGCGGGTTGCGTCTCCTTGGGACTGACTATCGCGTATGAAATGGTTGCAGAGCACGACTACCCCAAGTATGCTGCTATCATCTCCTCATTCAGCGCTTTTGGCAGCTTGGTCGGTCCATTGCTAGGTGGAGCATTCAGCGAAAAGGTTTCGTGGCGGTGGATATTCTTAATCAAGTAAGCAATCCTCGACGTGCCCTTCCCTGCTAAAATCCTATTAGTGTGCCCGTTGGAAGTCTGATTTGTGTTCTCTTGTTCTTCAGCATCCCCAATCGATTCCCTTATCAGAACCAACCCATAGCCACCTCTAGGGACGGCGTTCATCGTTCGAAACTTGCTCGCTCAAGGAGCCTCGATCTCCTGGGAGCCTTCTGTCTGCTTGGGGCGTCCTTGCTATTGGTCACAGCCTTGCTGGAAGCAGGGGTGACTTTCAAATGGAAATCTGCACCAACGATATCTCTATTTACCCTATCTGGAATACTCTGGATCGCATTCGTACTCCAAGAATACCGTCTCTCGAAATCAGTACACACAACCACCGAGCCAATCTTCCCGTGGGAATTCTTTCAGAATCGGGCGTGGGTGGGTACGCTAATGTAAGCATCCTTTTTCTTTGGCCTATTGAATCATATACAAGCTAATCCGAATTAAGGCTCTCTTTGCTATCCGGTGCCCCCTATATTGTTGAGATCATCGACATTCCGCAGCGCTTCCAAACACTCGGTGTGGATGCTTTTGGGGCGGGTGTCCGATTGATACCTTTCAATCTCCTGATCGCTCTTGGAGCTGTTGCTGTCAATATAGTGGCTGGGAAATCCGGAATACCACCCATTGTTCTACTATCAGTTGGCGTGGCATTTCAGCTGACTGGCGTATGTCTTCTGTCAACATTGACCAGTGTGACATCAATACCTAGCGCCATATATGGTTACCAAGTACTGACTGGTCTGGGAATCGGCATAATGTTCGGGTTGTGTCTTGTCCTACCCCCTGCGGTTGCCAAAAGCAGAGACCTGGGTGAGTGGCTCGCACACAGTGATTTGATCAACGGCTAATACAGTAAACAGCCCTTTGCGCGGGAGCGGTTCTGCAGTTCCGGGTATTAGGTGGAGCTTTGGCATTAGCTGTTGCGACTACAGTTTGGAATAACTACGCCACCACCCGCCTCCAGCATCTACTACCACCGGACCAACTGTCGATGATCTTGAAATCTACCGGTGCAGTGTCGCTATTACCTGAACCAGCCAAACGCCAAGTCATGGAGGTCTTAGTTCGTTCGTACAATCAGCGGACACGAGTGCTTATCGGTTTTACGGCTGCACAATTTGTCGCTGTAATGATGCTGTGGAGGAGACCGCAGATATCTTTCACCCAGAAAGATTCTAAGAAAACTGAGAAAACTGAACATAGCTCTATCACGGATGCTGCCTTGAAGAGCTAGTGGGTACCGACTTGCAAGGTTCAGAGGCATCAGAATGGGGTATATGTCATGTGTAGTATTGTGGGCATCAGAGTATGGGGTAATAACTAGTTTCCCGTGCAATTTCCGCCTGCTCAAAACGGATAGCATTTGTTGAATGTATTGTCAAGCCCACTAGTACATGATTTCTCCTAGGGGCTGATCCAGCAAGCAATCAATGCTTACACAGACTCACCATATCTCTCGGACTGTTGAAACCCCTTTCGTATGATTTCTTCAGAGCCATGAATGAACCCATACCAAGTCAGCTGAGCTTGGGATAAAGTTTCAAGGATTATCATCCCAGCTACATTATGGCTGCAATGCTAGGTTCATTGCGCGACACAGGTCCCGAGAGAATGGATCCGTGTGTAACACCAAGACAAGGAAGAGGAAGGCACTAATGTCCCTCGATATTAGACACGCGTGCCTGCAGACCGTTACGGACCTCCTTTGAGCATGCCGATGGATGATCCAATCTATCTCGGTGACCGAAACCCTTGACTGGGATTGTGCAGCTATCCTTGCAAGGCGTGCATCCGGGACGGCCATCGCTTCCAGCGATCGCTGTGCTACATGTCGCGTATCACGTTTTTGGGGGCCGTCTATTGTCTTTGTATTGTACCAGTTGATATGCACTCGCTGGCCCCTTTAGCGGACGTTGAAAAGCATATTTGGCTTTAGCCATCTGGCTCAATTCAGGCTATTGCTTCATATTCACTCTCCAACCTCAAAGAATCGTTAATAACGTGATCAATGATGGCTTTTTGGGGGTTGCCAACGCTCCTAATCAAGGTTGCGATCGGTGTACTTTTACTTCGAGTAGGTAAAATCCACACACTGTCAGTTGGTGACTCCACTGACAGCGAAGTTTATAATCATCTACTCCCATCGCTGGTTTCTCAACGCACTCTCTCACGAACCAGGACCCTTCATCGCAAAATTCACCGACTGGTACGGCGCGTATCATAGTGCTCTCGGCCAACTTCACATCCGCACACTGGAAGCGCATAAACGCTATGGTATATATACACTCTTTCCAAAGCAAGTATTGAGTTAGTCTAAGGTTGGCACAGGATCTGCATTCCGCGGAGGCCCCAACAAGATGGTGTTCAACACGGTCACCGCTTTCCATGGTAAGCACAAGCTATGCCATGCTACCCAGAACCCCACTGATATGGCGCGGACATCAACGTCAACAAGACAAAGCTGGTCCAGAAATCCCGCGGCTATCTCTCTATGCTCCCAGCTCCTGGGGTCTTCAACATCCACACGGCTATCGACAAAGAGCTGCACAGGTTCAAGCGCCGCATGATCAGCCAAGGGCTCTCGGACCCGTGCATGCGCGAGTTCGAGCCCAGCCTGCTCGAGCACGTGGACAAATTTGTCCGGAACATTGCACGAGCCGCCTCGGCACAACCAGGGCAATGGTCGGCGCCGGTAAACATGTCGGAGCAGTGCAAATATCTCGGCTTCGATATCATGGGCGAGTTCGGCTTCGGTCAGTCTTTTGGCTTGCTGGACGGCCCCACGAACCGCTTCTTGATCGATGCCGTGACAGCAGCAAGTCACCGGTCGGCGGTATACGGCCAGTTTCCTGATCTCGCCAAGGTCAAGTTGGAAAAGATACTGTACCCACGCGCCTCGTCCATGCGCATGAAGTACATGACTCTGATGACCCGGCTCCTGCGCGAGAGACTGGAGGCTGAGGAAGACGGACGCGCCAAGCGAGACCTATTCTCCTTCATCGTGCACGCCACCGACGAGGAGACGGGGCGGAGTTTCTCGCAAGCCGAGCTCTGGTCTGAGGCACGATTCCTACTGATCGCGGGGTCAGACACCACCTCTACCGGGCTCACGGCGCTGTTCTTCTATCTCTCGAGGTATCCGGAGTGCTATGACAAGGTTGCACGGGAAGTGCGCAGCACGTTCCGCTCTGGACACGAGATCCATTGCGGATTGAACTCAAAGATGCCACAGTGCGTCTATCTACGAGCTTGTATCGATGAAGCGATGCGCATGACGCCTCCTGCGGGAGGAGTCCTGTGGAGAGAGGTCTCTAAAGGTAGCGGTGGTATTGTCATAGACGGCCACTATGTTCCAGAGGGCTGTGACGTAGGGGCCTCCATCTACTGCGTCCAGCACAACGAAGAGTACTTCCCGGACTCGTTCTCTTTCTGTCCAGACCGCTGGATCGTATCCGAGGGCAATCCCAAGGAGAAGATAGAGTTGGCGAGACAGGCTTTCGTACCGTTTTCTCTGGGACCGCGCGGGTGTCCAGGAAAAACTATGGCTTACATGGAATTGAGCACTGCGATGGCGAAAGCGCTGTGGTACTTTGATTTTGAAGCTGCAGATGGGGATCTCGGCGTTGTTGGTGCCGGGAAGCTCGGCGGGCCCCCGGGCAGACAACGTCCGAACGAGTTTCAGCTCATTGATCACTTGACTAGTACCCACGATGGCCCATACATAAAGTACAAGCTACGTGAGGACGTCTCGGAGCTCCTGCGGTAGCTTCAGCTCGTTGATAGCAAGCCATGCATAGAGTATGCGCCTATTTGACGGGGTGAACAGGAGAATGGCTCTTGTACTTTCGGACGTTTGAACTATGGAAGCACAACTGTCAATGTCGTATCGAAATCATGTTCGGTCATCTATGGAGTCTATCATAAACAATTCACAGACAGTCGTAGCTTGCTAGCATCGCCAAAGGAGTTAGTCATGAAATTGCCCCCATTATCCATTCAAAAAAGGGAACCCATCACTCCCACTCCGATCAATGCTTTTGCTCATCCTATATCGCTTTTTTCATGCACAAATCTGCCTCTACGATGAAGGCTCCTCGACCTCGTCCGGCTTCTGCGTCTCCGCGTCCGTCATCTCAGCGTCCTTGGGCTCGGGCGCGTTGGCCTGCTGCTTGGCCTCGGCCTCGCGCTTCTGGCGTTCGATCTCGGCCTGCTTCTGGGCGGCCTGCTCCTCGTGCTTCTTGCGGATCGAGGCCTGCTCCTCCTGGATCTTGTCCCTGTACCGCTGGATGATGGGGCCGGCGATCGAACGGATATCCTCCGACTTGGAGACGTACTGTGCCTTGGTGGCGTCCTCGCCCTCGTCATATAGCCAGTCCTATGACCGGGTTAGCGTGATCAAGATGCGTGGCTCGGAGTGCTTACCTCTGTCTGCTCGAGCTTGGCATTCAGCCGGGCCTTCTCGTCATCGCTGGCGAACTCGGCGTATACATCGAGGATCTTGTCCTTGAGCTCGTAGATGAACGCCTCAAGGTCATTCTTCTGGTTCTCGGTGTCTTGGACAAGCTTGTCCTCCATGACCATCTGATTCTCCCTCTCCTGAGCCGTCTCCTTGTTCGACAAGTCCAGGGTGGCGGTGCCAGAGGAGATGGGTAGATCGCCCTTGCGCTGCTGCTTCTTGACCTTGCGCATCTTCGGAGGCTCCTTGGGTTCCTTAGAGTCGACGTCCATTGCCTGCCGGTTTTTTGTTAGCGCCTCGTCAACAGCCAAAGAAACAGAAGCTTGCGATACGCTAGTAGAATTCGATTTGCGTCTTTTCGCAGCGCGCTCTTGAGGAGACTCATCGGACTGCTGCTCGCTACTCGGATCGACAGAATCGTAAGGCGAATCGGAAAAAGCAGAAGTGGAAATACGTACGTCGCCCTCCTTCTTCTCCTCAGGAATGGGTTCTTCAACCTCAACCTCCTCCACGTAGTACCCGGATTCGACATTGAGAATACCGTGCACGTTGAGACGCGCCTTCAGCTTGCAAATCATGAAGTCACCCTTGGGGTCCTCCTTGACGCCCTTGACCGAGAAACGGCCAATCCAGGGGTTCATTTTTCCGGGCAGATCCTCTGGTTTTGCGTACTTGGCTTCCAGGTCAAAGGGGTGCTTTCGGTAGAAGGTGAGGATCTTTGTTGAAGGCATGACGTTGCCCTTGTTGAAGACGGTCAAGCTGGTGTCCTCGTCGGGGATGTCCTCGGACTTCTCCCACGTGAATTCGATGGGGTAGCTGACCATGTCGTGTACAGAGAAGTCGCGGACGCGGAAAACGGGGGAAAGGATGGCGCAGCTGAAAGCGCAGCCACGAGCGACGGCCTCGTCCTGGTTCAGGGTGAAAGACAAAGGCTTGCCGAAGAATTCCTGGATCTTGTTCTTAAGGGCAGGCACACGCGTGCAGCCACCGACCATCTCGATGATGTCGATATCCTCAGGCTTGAGCTTGGCTTCAGCGAGAGCCTGCTCAAGCGGGACGGTGGCGCGCTCGAGCAGAGGCTTCATGAGCTCCTCGAGCTCCTCACGCTTGAGCATACCGCGAACATCCACGTCGTTCATGACGGACTCAATGTTCAGGGGAGCAGCGCTGTTGGCGGAAAGAATCTTCTTCAGCTTCTCCACACCGGCCTGGACTCGGAACTTTGCCTTTGCGTTCTCGAAGATGTCAATCTTGAACTTCTCCTTGAACTCCTTGCCAAAGTGCTCGACGAGGGCCTGGTCAATGTAACGACCACCAAAGTGGCGGTCCCAGGCGGTGGACTTGACGGTCAGCTCGCCTTTCCTGAACTCGACGATGGACGCAGTGTAGTTGCTGTGGCCAATGTTGACGAATGCTACCCGCTTGGGCTTCTCTTCGGGCGCGGGAAGATCGAGCTTTGTGATGCCCCAGCCAAGGGCGGCGGCGGTGGTGTCGTTGATCAAGCGCAGCGTCTTGAGTCCGGCGATCTCGGAAGCATCGAGCAGGGCTCTCCGCTGGGCGTCGGTGTACCAAGCCGGGACGCTGATGACGACGTCGGCGACGGGGAGCTTGAGCTCAGCAGAGGCGGTCTGCTTGATCTTGGTGAGGAACATGGCCTGGATCTGCGTGGCCGTGAACTTCTCCTTCTTGCCCAGGTAGGTGACCTCGGCGCCGATCTGGCCGTCGACATCGACCAAGGGCGCCGAGACAAAGTTCTTCTCGACCTCGACATCGGGGTCGCTGAGCTGGCGGCCGGCAAGGCGGTTGAAGGACGAGACGGTGTTCTTGAGGTTGGACACCTCCTGGTTCTTTGCGGGCTCGCCGATGTACCTGCTCTTGGGGCCGAAGCCTACGAGAGAGCTGCAGAGGCGTTAGTGGTCTGAGTTTTCTGGGTAGCGTTGCGAGGACCTACGGCGTGGCGCGGTTGGAAACTTCATTTGTGATCTGGGAACAGTCAGCATTGCGTGCGGCGCATGGTCGGGGCAGGGGCACGTACGACGTCGACACCGCGATTCCGGGCAACGGCAATGACGGTGTTCAGCGTCCCCAAGTCTACTCCCACGACAGACATGTTTGCGTGTATGCGATGTGGCGGGGTATCGGGCGGGTTTTCAGGTCGAAGCGCGTGCGGTCCGGGGTACTCAGGGTTTAAGAGAGCGTCGTGGAGGAGTGCAGGCAAGCTCTGTACAGAATTTGAGCGGGATCTGGGGCTGCCGGGTCCGCTGGGCTGAGTGTTGCAGAGGCTTCGAGCGTCTTCGCCTGCTTTCTACAGCCAACTAGACTAGCCGCCAGCAAAAAAAGGTGGGATGGCCAAGTGGGCTGTGGCACGGGCCAGCCACACCCAGCCACACCCAGCGCTCTCCACGCCCACACGGCACCGCAGGCCTGCGTCATGGCAAGCCCACCGTCGACTCGAGCAGCCCTGCCGCCGGCCCAGACCGCCCGCCGCGCCCTGCGTCGCTGACCTGCCGCTGCGACTGCGGTTGAGACGCGTCGTCCTGCAAGCAACCATGGCCGACGTCCCCCCCTATCCGCTGTACGGCAGGAGCTACCTGCTCTACCGCGTCTCGCCGCTGCACCACGGCGACGCGCCGCTGCTGCGCGAGCCGGCCCTGAACACACACGCCAAGCGCCTGCGGGAGCAGCTGAAGGGCGACAATGTGCGCGGCGTCGACGTCGACTTCGCAGCGACCGAGGGCGCGCTGCCCAACCTGGGCCCGCTCGACGCGTGCAGCTGGGACGTGATTGGCGACGACGACGCGTGGATCGACCGCCATCGCCAGCTGCTACATCCCGACGCCTCCCAGTTGACCACCGTCGTGCCTGCAGAGCATGCCCGGGGCATCCACGTCAGCCTCGACTACGAGACCCAGTCGTACAACGCCCTGTTGCTGCGGGATCCGTCCTCCACCGCCGCCCCCGATGGCTTCACCTCGCTCCCGCTGTTGCTGGTCAAGATGCCCTCGGCCATCCGCGACATCTTCCTCAACTACATCCGCACCAGCTTCGATGCCCATGTGGCCCCGCTGAGACTGTCTTCGGCCTTTGTCACCTCCACCCTCGAGACCTACTTCCGCCGCCTGACCGCCAGCACCTCCACGCAGACGGTACAGGACGTGATCAGACAGCTGCAAGTTCAACTATCCTTCCCGACTGCTACGACACTCCTCAGGCACCTCGACGTGACCATGGCGGGCCGCGATGTTCCCGGTTTCTTGAGCCGCGGGAGGCTGCTGCGAAACGCAAAGGACAGGCCGTTCACGGCTGCGTTAGCCGCCTACATGAGGGAGCACCTTGCTCTGGACATTTCCCATCCCAAAGTCCGCATCTCGCGGATATCCTGCGCCAGCTTTGTCCTGGCCACCGACCGGCTGAAGCTCATGGCACCTGACATTGCTGATGTATCCATCGTGGACAGCGATACGCCCGAAGGGAGCGCGGGGGAACTTGCCGTTCAAGACTTCTACGCTTCTCTAGTCAAGGAAGCCACTGGGACCGGCAAGTTCCTATCCGAAGACCTCACGATGGACAGGAGATCGTCGACTCCCTCGTCCTCCACGAGCGCGAGTGCGAGCCGCCGAAAACGTGCGGTGAGCAATGTGGCCGCCGGGTCTCGGACCTCGAAACGATCAAAAGCAAGAGAAAAGGAAAATCGCGACGGTGTGCTTGGTGATGCAGAAATGGCTGATGCGTGATAATCTCAGTCAAACTCAAGGCACCTCTTGCACGCGCTCTCGGTTTCCGGCTCTGGCCGCTGTTGCCTCCCGTTCCGTTTCTCCTTAGAAGTTATATACCCCTTCCCTATCCAATTAATTATTTTGATCGCTTATTTATCCTTCCCTGACACGGCATCTTCGAACAATTCCCAACAATTCCGTTGCGAGCAGACGTTTATTTGCGACACGCAAGTCCCACGCGAGCGCTACTTCATCTTCGCATGGAGGCCCTCGCGTCTAAACGTGTGACATACCTTTATCCTACACTTGTGTTTCAATGAGTTGCGACCTAACTACTATGACAAGTGCCTGCGTCCTGATAGGTTTCTCGGCTGCTCTGCTCACGCCCATTCAAAGCTTCGCGTGCCTTTCGGCAACGCCAACGGACTGCTCCTCCCCAGCTCTGCTGCCACTAACAGCAGACCCAATGGACTTTTGAGAGTGATTGTTGGACTGGTCAATGGCTCTGGAATACGGTGAGCGGTACTGGGACCGATGGATGTGTGCGCGTCGGCGCTGCTGGGCCTGGTGCCTCAACATATGTTCCCTCCCACCACATCACACTGAGCGCGTCATTCAACACTCTCCTCCTCTTCGACGCTGATCGACAAAACAACAAGATCCCATATACTCCTCAACTACGTCTCCCTTTGCCGGAGCGCCCCAAAGATGCCCACGCACGAAGAGCTCGAGGGCTGGAACGTCGAAAAACAGGCCTCGGACGCAATGACAGCCAGTACACTCGCACCCCGCCCCGTGACGCCCGTGCATGCGGTGGACGCCCCTTGCGGCATCACGACGACACACAGTGTCTTCCACGTCCCATCGAAGAGATATCTGTTTAGGGCTAACGACCCTCGAGGCGTGCCGAGCGACTTAGACGAGGAAGAAATAGCGTTGATGGAGACCACGGCATTTGGGCCGCCGGTGGATGGACGGGCGGTCGAGGCCATCCGCGCAGAGTCCTCGTTCGCAGAATTTGCAGCTAAGGAGACGGAGGAGGACAGGAATGGTGAGTCACCCCCTTTCTTTTCACTACTCCTTACTCACAAAGGCTTGTACTTACTAGCTACAGCCGCCCTCCTCGCCGCCCGGCGCAAGGATGTACAGCGCGACGTACGCAATCTCGCGCGCCTGGATGCGCAGCTTGAGGCACTGCGCTTGAGAAAGAAGCTCGTGAGCGGCCTGAAGAAGGAGGTCCTTCATGGGGGAGATGTGAGGGTCGTGGATGCATTGGTGGGATGGGAGGTGCCGCGGAACTCCCTGGGGAAGATAGTGGATGGGGAGTGGAAGCCCAAGGTGGCAGGCGGCGAGGCGATGGTGAAGAGTGATTCGGGTCTTGGGGCCGTTGGCGAGGAGGACGATGATGACGAGGATGCGGATGCGGATGAGGATGGGGATGGGGAGGAGGATGAGGACGAGAACCAGGACCAGAACGAGTGGGAGAAAGATGACGTTGGCAACGACGACCGCGAGGAAGTGAGCCCCAGCGTCGGACATCCGCTCTGAGCATCGCTTCCCACCTCACCTCAGCCATGCGCCGCGGAGCCCACGACCATCACGAACCGAACGCAAACTCCATCCCAATGAAGCAGGATTAGAAGAAAGAAAATATAATGCAATCCCTATGCCTACATTACTATACATCCCACATACCATAGTCCTACACCCCCCTCCCAACCCCCCACTTCTTCTCCCACTATACCAGCTATGAGACCCCCTTGGCGAGAATATTCCCAATCTGCCTGCTCACAAACTTTGTCCCCTCGGCCTTGATCGCAGGGACTGCGTACTCGTTAAACAGTTTCTTGCCTTCCTTTTGCCACTTGCTTTCTTTGCGCTCGGGGCGGGGCCGTCGCCTGTCGTCGTCCTTGTCCTTGCGGTGCTCGCGGGGTGCATGGTCCCGGGGCTCGCGCCGACGCTCCTCGCGGTGGTGAGGACGGGAAGGAGGCGCGCGCCGATGGTGCTTGTCGTCGGAGAAGTAGTCCTCGTCCCTGTGCCGGCGCCGACGGGGTGCGTAGTAGTCGTCTGCTGGGGGCGAGCGGTCGTGGTCTGGAGGTCGGGTTAGGAGGCATTGCTAGCTGGCTCTGCTATGTAAAGGGGATGGTAGGGCGCTAGACGGGCGCAAGCACGATGCAGAGGATGTCAAGGGGACTTGGGTCTGGGTTTAGATCTAGGCCGTGAGACTACTTACTGCGAGGGGACCGGCGTGGGGGCGGGTGCCGCGGTGGTGGGCTGGTGGACGAGTGCGAGGATGCTGGGGGAGGGGGTGCCCGGTAGGTGTGTGCTCGGCGAGGACGGTCTCTGTCTGCACCGTCGTAGCGTGGGCGGCGGGGGCGGGCGGTGGATGCACCTGGTGGTGGTGGGGATGGTGCTTGGGGATGGGGTTGGGGAGGATAGTGGCGGCCTCCATACTCGTCCATGTCTGCGGAAGTATCGTTAACGTCAATCCCACAAGTTATAGATGTATGTATGTATGTATGTTTGATTTGATACCGTGGTGACTTACGGATCGTTTCGGCGTACCTCCCTGCCATTTTCTTAGAGTGGGTTATCTGATGGCTGATACCGGGCACAAGGTAGTGTCTCGTAAAATAGTATACAAGATCTGAATTGCGCGCGGTATGATAGAAGAAGCGTTGCTAGCGACGTGCTTAGTTGTCTTGATGGTGTTGAAGCTTTCGTCGCTCTCTCGCGTGCCTGCATCTAAGCGTCCTCATCACCTCCCTATAACTCTTCCCTCCCCCACGTTCTATCCCACACAGCCCCTGCATTTCTTCTTCCCCGGCCTCACACCCCGCATGTCGTCATTCCCACGCTCCCATCAATAAAATACCGCGAGCTTCTCCAGTCGGAGAGAATGTCGTGAGCGCTGCGCTCCAGTAGCGGTTGCAGTTCTTGGGGAGTATGCAGAGGTGTGGAGCGTGGGCTTTGCGGGTGTGTGCTGGCGCGCTGCGAATGGGTCGTTGATCATGTGTGCTGCGGTCATCGTGCGTCTGCGGCGACGACGCTGCACGCGATAGGAGCGGCCCGTTTCTGCATTTGCCGGCGTTTATATGTAATTCATCTTTTTTGGATTATCGACCATCCTGGGTGCGGTATTCGTGGGGCGAAATACCGATCTCAGGGACTACATGTGCGGAAGGGACGTACCAGGCCCAAGTCGGATAACCAGAGTGGTGCATGTCGCAAAACTGCCCTGTCGGGCAATTATCGCAAAGGCATTGATTGCAGCTGTTTTTAGTGCCATGCGTGGTGCTTGTTAGCGGTGAGCTTTATTAGACAGTGTGGTGAGCCTATTCTGGCTAAGAGAGTGTTTGAGCGAAGGATGGTCATGCACCAGTGCGGCGCTAGATCGCCTCATTTGATGGGTGAGTTGCTTAGTCCTGACTAGTATTAGACCTATCGAACATTGTTCTCTTATTCGAAGCAAAACCATATCAAGGCCGCGCTATTTGAATGTTGTCACCCGGGTTCGACGAGGGTGTGAATACGATATGCGAACGGAAGCTCTGGAAGCCTTCGACTTGTGATTGTATTCTACCATTATTTGCCTGGAAATCAAATGTTCCCAGATCAAGATCCAAAGGTCAGGTTCCCATGTTTCTCCTACAAGTCATTTACGGATGTCTGAAACAGCAACGTGCAGGTACATAACATCGCTGGCCACTCTTAAGGGCGGGTGGCGCCTGCTATTATTGCAGGTCCGTGCACGGTTTTGGGGGCTGATCTCCGTGAGAGGCTTGGCTACGTTCACCAAGCAACAGCTATTCACTGTATCTATCCGCATCGCAACACCGCTACTCGTATGCTCAGGACACCTCTACACGCCTTTATATGGCAGTATGCAGGCTCAACGAAGTCGACAAAGGACTGAAGTCCGGCATATTCGGCTGTCACGAAAACGCCTCTCGACAGGAAGCTCAATCCTGTTTCCCGAACCGTCACCCAGCCTCAGCTTGCCAAGACTGACCCGACAGATGCAATTTAAGCCTTCTTTCTGATCCTTCTATAGGCTTTGCGCGATCTTACGCCGCGATCCAGGCGTTATACCAATTTCCAAGTGACATACAGACTCCCCCAGATGTCCTTCGTCTCATCAAAATGCCAACGACGGCAGGCTAGTGCACAACCCGAGTGTACCATTCCCTGTTATACTAAGCGGCACGGGCTGGCGATACACACGGGCATGGAGAACCAGGCTGAGCGCTTCCGCCCGCGTGCTCCAGCCCTCTTATTCGCCCCCAAGCATAGATTACCTCGCTCTTTCCGGCCCTCTGACAAGGGTACGCAGTTTTATGGATGGATTCGGTCTTGGCTTGCAAGGTACATCTGGGTGGCAGTGCCCATGTAGTTGCGAAGTTCTTCCCGGTTTTCCTCCCTCGTGCGCGAAGTCCACTTCCACAGCTTCCCAACATGCGTGTTTTTCCTTCTCTAGTCTTGTGCTCTTGCTTAGCGACTGCAGTCCTTGCATTTGGCTCCTCGTCATGCTACTACGCCAATGGCACGGAAATCAGCAACACCGAGATTAAGCAATGCTCAGATGGAGTCACAACAGTATGTTGCGCATTAAACCGAGAGAACACACCAGGGAACGAGACGAATGAGATGGGCTGGACTCAGGATGAGTGTGTGCCCAACGGTCTGTGCCAGAATCGCTATATGACAGATGGTGTACCGCAGACGACCTGGTGGCTCGAATACTGCACGAATCCGGACCCGACGAGTAGCGAATGTTTAGACGTGTGCCGACACACTCGCGATGCAGCTGGTGGCTCGAGAATGACACCGTGTGGAGCTTCTTCAAATGGTGGCTACAACGCATTGGACGATACCCGAGATTCTACGAGGTGGTGTTGCGGCGACAGTGACTCATGTTGCACCAACAACATCGATGTCGTCGAGTTACCAAGGAATTTTACTGGACATGCGGTGACGTCGAGCGCTTCTTCCTCTTCCTCGACGCCTACAGCCTCCAGCACATCATCATCCCAAGCCTCGCCGACATCGTCGCCTACGCCGACCGACACCAAAGCATCGGAGGCAGGGAATAATGGTCTATCTACAGGAGTCAAAGCAGGAATTGGTGCTGGCGCTGCTGTCGGTGTCATTGCAATCTTGCTTGCGGCTTTCTTCGGCCGCAAAGCGTACGGATACCGGAAGCTGGCGAAGCAGCGCGAGGCAGAAGACAAGTATGCATTGCAACCTCATCTCTACGGGCAAGAACATAAATACGCACATACAGACTTTGCGCCTTCTGAATTGTATTCAAATACGAGTACACATCCAGCAGAAATGCCAAGTTCAGAACAACCGAGAGCACCCACCGAACTTCCGGGGTCGCATGAACGATACGACCAAAATTGATGACGTGTTTCGTCCATATAATCAAGACTACAATTTCTTCATCACGACGATGCAACGTCAACGCGACTGGGATCACGAAACACGAAGCGCGCACCGCATAGAAGCGTCATGACGAGCCGCGATTTTTGTTGGTCAATTTGACTTGTCCGTAGTTCCTCCTCAATTTGATCGGCGGAGACGGGCGTCAGCGGCTCGCCGCAACAACTGGATCACAGAGGAGGAAGCGCGACCAAGTCAGACGTGCGTGAGATAATATATAATTCTACGATACCCAATCCATTACATTTGCCTCATTTGCACCTGAAGCCACCGCTTGATCACATTCCGCCGCTCTTCCTCGTTGGCTTGTTCATATTCAGCTTCCCCTAGAGTAAGGACCACATTCCGGGCCGGCAGGTTCCCGCCCGAGGCCGAATTTTGGATTTCTTTGTAGATGCCGTAGGATGAATAGCCAATAGTTCCGCAAGCAGCTGGATACGGTTAGCACATCGAACGAATGTACAGGAAGGCAGACTCATACCTTCGCCAAAGTTGCACATCATATTACCGATACCTTTGCAGAAGCCTTTGCCCGCTCCTACTACGCCTTCTTCCCGCGCACCTTTGACGGGCATCCAGAAGAAGTCTTTTATACCGTCATATGTGCCGAGAACAAGTGTCTACGGATTGTGTCAGTCTCGCACACAAAGTTTTCGGCAACACGTACCTTTCCTCCGACTACCAGTCCACTTTTCAAGTCGAACACCTCTTCACGTGTCCTCAAGTTTTCTCCATACAGTTTCGGTGTGTTGTGGAAACCCCTCGTCAAACTGTGCGTATAGATCATGGGAGTCTTGATGCATGTCTCAACTATCTTTCGACAACCCTTGTACGTGCCGACACCGTAATGCACGATGGCCTTCGGACCCACCATGAGCGCATTCTCGGTCGGGTTCTCCCGCGACCACGTTGATCCTTGAGCCAGGCGAGCCAGTGCTGCATTGCGTTCCATCTCGCGTCCCTGGGGCCCAAGCTTTTGCCCTACTTCTATCGGCCCTCCAACAGCCCCGAGCAAAACATCTCCGATGACATCGTAGCTGCTTATTATGACAGCTGACAGAGGGTCTGTGGGATCGTGTGGGTCGCATCTTGGGGATGACGACGGACGATCAAGTAGCGATGGTACGAGTTGCAGATGTTTGGTGCTGAGGATTCCCTCTCGTAGCAGCACGGCCGCGGCTAATGGACACAGCGCCATCCCCCTTTTCTTCTTCACAGTCCATGTGGCTGGCCGGTCGTTGAGAACACTACATCGGATAGCATTCGCGTTGTCGTTCGTCCACTCTACCAGTTTCCGGGCAGATATGACTTGGGAGGAACCTTGCGAGGATGGCCGTTCGACTCGAGAGCCAGAAGCTGAACCTTCAGGTGTGTACGATGGAGATGGCCGGTCGTTTCGATTCGCGGACTGGGATCGCTCGAGAAGGGGAGTTTTTTCAGGTGTGAAAGCTTCCGCGTCGAGGCTTTCCTCGCCTGATGTGGTCATGACTGTGTATGCTGGCGGGGCGTAGAGATCTGGGTTGCTCTGCACCTCTTCACGCGTCGATGAGGCGTCATTATGCTCTGACTTGTGTCAGCCTGCTCGTTTGATTTGATCTTGTGGGACTCACCTCCAGCATTCCGGTCCCCTTCTTCTACAAGTCGTACGTTCGAGCCTTCTTCTACGAGTTGTACGCTTGGGCTCGGGGCTACCATCGTGTGATCGGTCCCTGGGGAAGCCTCTCGTATAACTGTGTCAAATGGAAAACAACTACCGAGATAAACGGTTTAGTTGACCATATCAGCGACAGCGAGTGTCCTCAGCTTCTCTTTATGTCATATATCGTCCATCGGAGGATTGGGCGGTGACATCTTGAAGGGGCAAGCGCTAGTCCTAATATGTTGATGCTTGAGAGAAACCATCTGCCTAAGTCTCAAGGCGCAGCAGGAGACGCGTCCCCCACCATCGCATTGCGGAATGGTCCCATGTAGCACCAATAACAATGGCAATCTTCGTGGCATGTCACTAGTAGATCCGTGGACCAGCATTTTTGACACTTTGGATGTTTGAATCGTCCATGGTGGTGAAGCCCCATCACGGCTGGCTTCAAGTTGCCAGCGATGTAAGATGTATCATTCCATCTGCCTCGTTTCTCGAGACAGGAGACGCGTAGCTGGTCTGGGAGTGGCACACCGGGAATTGCCAAAATCATGTAGAGAACTCCAGGGCCGAGTCAACGCTAGCAGGGGGCCGTTCCGCTTAGTCACCCAGATCTCTACCATCGTCCTAGCCTCATGTCGCTGGTTGGCTGTGAGTTCTCGCGCGATACGAATTTGGTGAAACGCAAAGCGAGCACAATTCGCAAGCTCTACTATGTGCGGTATAGCGAAAGCTTCCTAATAACGACGTGAATAGTTCGAGTCGACCTCGCTCTTTTCACTGCAATAGGATGGCCGGATTAAACAGTTGTGGTCGCACTTGCGCCAACGACTCACAGGCGGACATCACGAAAGCGCGTATCACGGGATGGTTATTGGAGAACACTTTCGTGAAGGTGATTCCGGAGGCGGCAATTGTGGAGATGACTATGCCGGAGGCGGCGATTGCGGTGGCGGTGACTGTGGCTGTTGCTAATAAGAGGCTACGAAGGAGGTTAAAACTTACTGAGAGAAGATTCCCGAGTCCCTGGCAATCTACAGTCGTTCACGGCCGGCTTTTCCGTAGATAACGTCGAAATCATCGCCTTTATTGTTTGAAGATATCTCAGAGCACTTTGATCATCTGCACAACTACGTCAGAAGACTCCACTCCACTAAATCGATACTAATGGTATTTCCAGGAACCTGGTATTATTCGTATCACTATGGTTGTATAACTAGCAAGTCTGAAACGCTTGCGGACTCTGGTGCTACGCCACATCTCCGCGTTGTCGTATCTCGTGTCTACCCAACTTCTCGCCGCAGTCCAATTTGCCCTGCACCCTTCGGTTTGGATGGCTCAAGAAGACAAAATTGGTGTATCACCGTTTATCACGGTGACTCGAAGCACCAAAGCAATTGACTACGTTTGCACTCCACTCAGTCGCAGTAAAACGAAGTGTACATCTCGACCCTGAGTCAAGAGGCGATCAAGATTATTCGTAATCTAGAATGCAAGGTCAAGATATGAATAACCTGAAAAACGCGCGGAGACTGTGTATGGTGGGCACATGCTCACATATAAAGAGGGCCTCCCCATCTCACAAGTTTATTTACTAACCACAACTTTCGAACCTGACACATACGCCCAAGATTAAGCCAACATGAAAGTAACCTACCTTGAATTTTTCGTTCTCGCAGCTCCTGCCCTGGCTGATATGTGTAAAAAAGACCCGCATTATGGAAAAGGGTACTATTGTGGTACATTTCGTTGCTCCGAGTAAAGTCGTATCATCCGAAGCATTACTCATCTCGATGATAGGCCAAATCGCCAACAAACTCGGGCGCTAGCTGCGCTACACCACCGATCCATCTCTGTCTAGTAGTGGGCCAAAAAGTGTAAATTCTGGAACTGGGTCGGGCAGTAAGTGCTTCTTCCAACTTGCCTTCCCATATCCCGTAGCTCTATCCACTTCCGAGTTCTCTGCCAGTTGCTCATTAATGTTCATTGCGACGAGCCCGTGAACTGCACCCAAAAATACATTGCGACTCGCAAGACAGCTGGATCAGGATATGTGTCAACACCATGAGTCGATGTAGACAGATTCACGTTCGCCGATGTCGACTATGATTGCGATGGCCAACTTGTCGCGCGCAGGGTGTGGTTCAAGATATCCTCGAATGTTAGGGTGAAGTATCTGGGCCCGCCGTCGAAGCCGAGTTGCTATTCTCGCTGATAGTGATGGTTTGGTGGAGCTTAGTGAATGCTGAGTGGATTGGTGAAGCGACAGAAAGAGTGGCACTTACCAGATGCCCCTATTATCCTGTATCTGCGTTGTGATGCAGAGTTTTCGAGTAGATAGCCGATTCAGATATTCCAGGATGCTCTGCCACCTTCCTTCCCCACGCGTCAAGCTGCGCTTCCCCGCACTCTTCGCCCGCCAAGCCCCACGACCAACCTGCCGAGAGTTCTTTACTACTCACTGCCTATGGAACGTTGTACACCAAGCTTGCCAAACCTTAAGCCAAGTGCATTTCCCCAGATAGGCCTCACGGATTTCCTGAAGTGGCAGGTGTGAGCAAGCATGCACACCCGCGTGAGCATCCCGAAGGTCGTTCATGTCCGAAACTTGACCGCGCGATGCGAATACAAATAAGATGATGGGAAACACGGCCTGATCCTTGGTGTTGTGTGGGTACCTATATTTTTTTTTTTGTTGGGAAGGGATTACAACATCGACCGACACGTTCACAAGAGCGTTAAAATTGGCTGTCCAAAACGACTCGTACGATACTGAGAGTATCCTCACCAATCTAGCAGTATGCCATGGAATACTCATGCAAGTGGCACGCAAGATCCGCCCGAGGTGCGTAACTGGCGCATACACATGATTGCATTGGTGGCCTCGATGTCTGCTCTTGCGAGTAAGTATCTCACTCCAGTCCTTGAATACAATCGTTGATGGTATCACAGTGGGCTACGATACAGCTGTGATTGGAGGTACCATGGCACTGAAGTCATTCATTCGAGACTTTGGATGGGAAAACGTATCCAAGTCCACGCGCGACACGATCCAGGCCAATATCGTATCGACGTTTCAAGCCGGGTGCTTTTTCGGTGCTTTGTTGACGTTCCCGATAGCTGAGAAGATTGGGCGCAAAAGAACCGTGATGATAGCCGGCCTGGTGTTTCTGCTCGGTGCGGTTCTTCAGACTGCTGCGCAGGGCAATCTCAATCTGATTTACAGCGGAAGAGCTATCGCAGGCTTGGGTATCGGCGCGTCGTCGCTCACGGTTCCTGTCTACATTGCTGAAGTTGCACCTCCGTCGATCCGAGGGAGACTTGTTGGTATCTTCGAGATTGCCTCACAAGGTGGCGGCATGCTGGGTGAGTGTATACATGCAGTTGGCTCTACGCTTCCGTGTACTGACTATGGTAGGGTTCTGGATCAACTACGCGACGGACCAAACCGTCGATGTCAACAGCAAGGCGCAATGGATCATTCCCTTGTCGTTACAATTAGTACCCGGCATGTTGCTAGTCGCGGGCATGTTCTGGTGTCCAGAATCGCCGCGCTGGCTCGCTCGAGGCGACAACTTCGATGCCGCTGAGAAGATCCTGACCACGGTACGTAGCCTACCCTCTTCGCACCCCTACATCCAGCACGAAATGGGTGAAATCCGTGCACAAGTCGAAGAGCGCAGCACAAACCACTTGAGCAAGTCAGCACAATTCAGAAAGCTGTTCCAGAAGGGCACCCGCAATCGTATGGGTATTGGTCTAGCCTTGATGCTGATGCAGTCGTTTACGGGAGTCAACATAATCACGTATTATGCTCCCCGCATCTTCGAGACTCTTGGTATCTCCGGTACTTCGCTGAAACTCTTTTCCACCGGTTTCTACGGTATCGCGAAAACCCTTGGAATGATCACTTTCACAATCATCATCGTTGAAAAAGTCGGACGCCGTAAAGGCCTCATCTGGGGTGCTGCTCTTGGTTGTATACCCATGTGGTATATCGGTGGTTACGTTATGCGCGCAGACCCTGCCGCAGCTGCTGCTCGAGGAGACATCAGCCGTGATGGGTGGGGCTATCTCGCGATGGTCTGCGTTTATGTTAACGCTTTCATCATCTGTGCAACCTGGCAGGGTATCACCTGGACCTACGCGTCTGAGATCTTCCCACTGGATATTCGCATGCTCTGTGTATCCCTCACAACTGCAGACACCTGGCTGGGCTCGTTCATCATTGCGCGCAGCACGCCGTACATGATATCCGACCTGGGGTACGGAGCCTATTTCTTCTTTGCGTCGGTTCTCCTGTTGATGGGGGTTTGGGCGTTCTTGTTTGTGCCGGAGACGAAGGGTGTGAGTTTGGAGGAGATGGACGCACTCTTTTCAAGACCGATGCATCAAGTTGTGTGGGCACAAATCAGGAAGAAACCTTTGCCATTGGATGAGGCTGAGGCGGAAAGAAAGAAGAGTTTGAGATCGAGCAGTATGGAGAAAGAGATTGGTTATGAGCATGCTGAGGTCGAACACAAAAGGCAGATTTAGGAGGCGAGATTGATTCGAACTATGTAGAGACAGGAATCCATTGCTTCTGAGAATCTCCAAAGGCAGTCTATACTTAAGAAGCATGCGGGGATGTAACGAACAGCCCGCTACACTGCCACCACCACTTTCTGGTTGCTTACTCCCGCCTTGAGCACCTTCAATCCAGCTTGGATCTTTCCCACGCCACCTTCGATCACACGGTATGGCGGTGGCACAATGGCACCCGTCTCAAGCCACTTCGGTAAGTGTTCGTGAAAGATTGTGGACCCTAGCTGGATCATGTCAGGCTTATACCAGACTTCCTCACCATGAACCATATCAGTCTTGATTCCGTCAAGCTTTGTGAGTTCTTCGGGCCAGGGCGCTGTGTGCGCAATGACTTTCGCGATAGCTGTCGAGTTGGATAGTACATCCTGCACGGAACTGAGTGTCGCCGACGAGGCGATGGTGTCTGCAACATAAGCGATAGGTTTTCCCTCACTCTCAGCTGCAGCCACGGCATCCTCAATAACAGTGTCGGAATGGTAGTCAAAGAGCAGATTGGCTCCAAGCGATCGCAAATATTCATGATGTTTCTCGCTGGCTGTGGCATACACGTTCAAGCCGGCCAGCTTAGCGAGCTGGATGGTGAGATTTCCCACGATCGAAGCGCCTCCCCAGATAAGCAATGTAGCGTTCGGCGGCTGAGCATTCGATTCAGGTTTCGGCAAGCCAAGCAGATGAAAGAGCAACAGGTATGAAGTGACCTGGACAATACAGTGAGCATGATACATGGGCGCCGGCTCTTTGGATGGAGTGCCTTACAATGCCGGTGGTAAGTGTCGCAGCCTGCTCCAGACTCACATTCATAGGCAACTTCGAAGTTGACGATGCGCGGAGCGTTGTGTAGGTCTGGTAAGACGCATTATCTAGTTTGTGAGAAATCATGCCATCTGCACCTCCAAGGACACGGTCACCGGGTTTGACGTTGCTAACGTTCGAACCTACGGCTTCCACAATGCCGCTCAAGTCTAACATGGTCAGTCTCTTGCGCACATCATGCACCTCATGAGCCCATGGAAGCATCTAAGTGCTAAAATGCACTTACCTGTGCCTAAAATGGCGGGATAGGACGGAACAAACATTCCAGTGAGCTGGCGTTTCCAGTCGAGGGGGTTGAGTCCGATGAAGTGGTTGCGCACCAGGACCTCATCAGGACCAGGTGTTGGTATCGGTCGCTCTTCAACAACAAATTCAGCTTGAGGGGCAGGCAGAATCGCCGCGAGGTTCTTCCTTTGGGTGTTCATTGAGAGAAAGAGATAGAGTTAAAGGATCAAGGGTTTAGAGAATTGTTAGCAGAGAGCATATTAGGTCTCGACTGCACTTCCTTTATACGTTTCCATGACCATTTCAAGATCGGATTTAAGTCTGTTGATTTGTTTCGTATACTTTGCAATGTTGTCGTTGCGGTGAATGTTGAATGGAGCGGGCAAATGGCCGAAATGACCGGCGAATTTGGCCGGTAGGAGTCAGGCGTGCCATTTATGGGAAAGCGCGCTCTGTTAGACACCTTCCTTCACAGGTCGGATTTATCGATGCTCCGAACGCTGCACCGTGTAAGCTGGAATCGGGGGCGATGGACCCATCAAACACTCAGAGAGAGGGAATCTCCCATCGTATCACAGCATTTCTACGAAAGTTGCCCAGCAGCACGTCTTAAACAAGTCGAGGCAAAACACACCGAGGGCTGCGTCCACATCATCGTCGACTGGTTGCCTATGGTACTCAAAGAGTACTGTGCAAGCCGGGACTACAAGGAAACTACCAGTAGAGATATTTGCGCCACGCAGACGTCATTCAGAATGTCAGCCGTAGATGTTTTTGAACCGATCAGCCAAACTACGGAACGATTGCACTTTTGTTCCCTCTGCAAAAAGCCGTTCAGTCAGGGTATGCGACAATCGCCCGAACAACGTACAGACAGGCTTATAGCGCATGATTAACGGATGGCAGAAACCTCATGTGCACGGCACATCAAATATTGCCGGCGCCGCGCTTCTCAGCAACGGCAATCTCGGCCCCAGGCTTGTCATACATGCCGGTTGGCCAAAACAAAATGCGATTTCAAAGATCCATGCAGTCGTTGTGCCAGAAAGCAGCTTGCGTGCTCCTACGGGGGTAAAGTTGCTCCGATTCACGACTCTCGTCCCGGTCAAATTGAGAGAGTGCCCTCTCATGGGACACTTTCACCCGCTCATCCGGAAAGCGACAGTGTGACGGGTCTTGGAAGGTCTGAAAACGCACCGCTATTCTCATTGGACGAATTGGCAGACATCGATCTCTTCGATTCCTTCAGCGCAGTATATCCACCTTTAGGCGACTTCCAGAGAGGCTCAACTCCACGTAAAGATCTTTCCCTACCGCACATCTTCGTTAACGAAGCGGGCAGAGGAATAAATCCCTTCGAACCTAGCTCGGCTTCCACTCTCGCCTCATCTTCTCCCCACTCCCTTCTATCTCAGACACCACTCTCCCTTGCCGTTCCCATCACATCCACAATCACCCAGCCAACACGACCGCCAACCTTCCTATCCAACGGCACCCGCAACTTCCTCCTCTCGATCATAAACTCCTACCCACGCATGCTCGCCCAAGGCACCATCCTCCCCCCCTTCATCCACCCCCTCGGCAGCCGCCTCCACTTTGACGGCCGTCCCTCTGATGCCCACACAATCAACCCTGACTGCTCGAACACTGCCACAACTCAACTCCTAGAACCACTCGAAACACTCACAACCATCGCCCGCCTCTTCCACTCTCATCCTCCATCCAACACCGACTTCCTCTGGCGCACCATCTCTACCGAATCAGCGCAAATTGACTCCACCCTGCGCACTCTCTCCCTCGGATCAACCCTCGCTGCGCTCCAATCCACCATGCTCTATGGTACTATGCGCGTCCTCCTCTCAGGCCGTTCCTACGCCGCCATAAACGCCGGCATCGTGCGCTCGATGGAGAAGCTGGCTGCGCGGTGTGTCGCGCTCACGGGTGCGGCGTTCAGCGTGCGGCATAGGAAGGCGGGTGGAGGTGGAGGGAGGCCGAGCTGGGAGGAGTGGATCTGCGAGGAAACAAGGAGGAGGGTGTCAGTGGTTTGTTTCATTACTGCGCTGACGATTGGGGCGCAGGCGGATGATCCGATCGTCAACCCGAATAACCACGTTCTGCCGTCTAGTAAGGCGCTTTGGGAGGCGCGGACGAGGGAGGAGTGGGAGGACTTGTATGAAGGACAATACACCAGTGACAACCGACCGCGGCTCGAAACAGTCGGTGACCTCGTCATTGCGAAGCTTGGACGTGGGAGTCGGAACGAGGGGCGTGCAGGTAGAGGCGCCGTAGATGAGATGGTGGGTCAGTGGTATGCGGAGATGGACGGCCTGGGGATGATGCTTGCAGCTGTAGTGGCTAGTTTCTAATCCTCATCCCTTCCATGCTCTACTAACATACTCCCAGATACGACACCCATCTTTCATCACGTTTTACTACCGCCGCCTAGACCCACGCCATGTAAAACACTACTTTGCTTTCCGTCATCCTCCACCACTCATTGCTCATCTCCCTTCATCTCCCTCGCCCTCGCCCTCGCCCTCGCCCTCGCCCTCACTCGCCTCCTCACGCAACACCAACACACAAAGAGGTCTAAACCTATCAGTGCCCTATGACCAACACAAGCACACAGTGAGGAGCGACTTACCAAAAGCTCTCAAAGTGACCAGGCCCAGCGCCACACCCACGCCCACAGAGGGCCAGTCCAGTCCAGCTTCATCTTCGTCACCGACAATGCAAGGCGCCCGAACGCCGGCTCGGTTCTTGGCGCAGGTGTAGAATGTCATCTGCAGTAGCTCTATCGTTGGTCGTTGAAAGGGACGCTGGGACGGCTTGGTGAGGTGTGGAAAGCAACGGTGACGGTGGTAGTGCTATCGTCTCCGCGAACGTGAGATTGCAAACGGCTTGGGAGTTGAGAGTGACGGGCTGGTTGGAACGCGCCAGATGAGGGTTTTTTTTTTTTTTTTTTTTTTTCGAAGCTGCGGTTGGTAGACTCTGGGTGGTGGGTGAGTATATACACGCGTTCGCGACTAGGACAAAGCTTGCGAAGACAAACATATAGCAGGCTTCACGACTCTGGAAGGCCATGTCCAAGCTTTGCCTCTGTCGGGCAGCGAAACAGGTAAGCCACCAGGTAAGATAGACACATCATTCGATTGCAGGCCCATGCAATGCATCTTGAAACCCATCCCATTGCACAAGCTACAGACACGACGAACAGTACGAGCCTCCCGAGCCTAGGCACACAATCAAAAGACGAGTCCAAGACCAGAGTTGATTGAAATGCATAACATATGAGATTAAGCTTCTATCCCTAACACGCGCAAGCCGCAATCAGATGGTAAAAGAACTGCCATTCATTGTACAAGATCTCTGCCAAGGCACCGCTCGCTCAGATAAAGCTTACACATCCGCAACGCATCCCTCATGTCGACCGCAATCCAACCATGCCCCTAACTTCTACAGCCTAGAAAATTACATCGACATTTATAGCATGAGCTCTAGCGGGTTCTCAATTGCCTTCTTGAGCTCCTTCATGAACTCGCCACCGACGGCGCCGTCGACAACCTTGTGGTCGAAGCTGCCCGTGATGACAATCTGGTCGTCCCACTCTACGCTCGGTGTGCCGTCTTCTGAGAGCTCGCCGGGTACTGCGACCTTCTGTGTTGTGCCGATTGCAACGATGGTGGCCTGAGGGGGGTTGATGACGGCAGTGAAGCGGTCGATGGCGGAGTTCATGCCCATGTTGGAAATGGTGATGGTTCCGCCCTGGTACTCCTCGGGCTTGAGCTTGCCGTCACGCGCGCGCTTGCCGAGATCCTTGATCGACGAGGACACGGTCTGGAGACCAAGGCCGTTCACGTTCTTGACGATGGGGGTCATCAGACCGACAGGGGTGGCAACAGCGACGGAGACATCGACAACGTTATGCTGACGGATGACAACCTGTCCGGCCTCCTCACGCCATGAAGAGTTGGCAGCAGGAACCTTGCGTGCGGCGACGGCGACGGCCTTGACGAGGAAGTCGTTGACGGACAGCTTGTACTCGCCCTTGGACGAAGCGTTGAGCGCTTCGCGGAGCTTGAGGAGCTTGGAGACGGAGATGCTGGAGGCAACGAAGTAGTGGGGGTTCTGCTGCATGCTCTGGGTAAGGCGGGCGGCGATGACCTTGCGCATGCTGGTCGCGGGGATGTCCTCGTACGTGGCAGCCGCTGGGGCGGTCGCAGGAGCTCCCGCAGCGGGCTGGACAGGCTCGTCCTTCTTCTTCTGGTGGCGGTCGAGGGAGAGCTCGAGGCGCTTGCCGGAGGAGTCAGATTCGATTGCCTGGAGGGCAGCCTCCTCCTTTGCGGGCGGGGCGGTGCCGGATCCCGACTTGGGGGGCTCGCTGGCCTCGGAGGCCTCGCCCTCCTTGGACGGGGCAGCGGGCTTCTTCTCGCCGCCAGCATCCTCAATCGAGAAGGATTCGAAAGCGGAGACATCACCACCCTCCTCAACGAGGACTGCGATGGGCTGTTTACAGTTAGCTCTGCCGCAGCACCCATTTGCAATCCGGTGTCTTTTTCCGAAATGCAATCCGCATGTCATGACTTGGGCCGAGTGAAAAGAGAACTCACACTGCCAACTGCGATGTCCTTCTCGCCGGAGTCTCTGAGGATCTTGGCGATGAGGCCATCCTCCTGGAACTCAAAGTCCATCTGGGCCTTGTCTGTCTCGATCTCGACCAACACATCTCCGGGCGCGATGGTGTCGCCGACCTTCTTCTGCCAGGTGCCAATGTTTCCGGCCGTCATGGTAGGGGACAGGGCGGGCATGCTGATGACGGTGTGCGAGGGGAAGGCTGTACATGACACAATCAGTATTGGGCAATCCCGGGGGGTCTGATCGAACAGCGGGCAGGGCGTGGCTCACACTTGGAGGCATAGTATCTGGCGAGAGCTGCGAGAGCTGGTGTTCGGCGGCTACAGCCGGTCAGCAAAGCTTGTCCGGGGGCGCGATGCGAGCGGCAGCGCAACGTACGAGGCAGTCAAGCTCGCGCGCAGGGTAATTGAGCCTCTGGAGGCCAATTGGGATCCCGCGCGGGACAGAAAAGTCGTGGTCGCAGGCATTGTGACGGGATGCCGATGGGGCCTCTGAAAATTTCCCGGGCACGGAGGAGCGAAGGCAGGCGGGACCGAGGGTGCGGAAGGGGCGAGGGAGAGATGTAGGAGGAGAGCCCGCGCTCAAGAATCGGAGAATCGATGTGCTGGGAGATGGAGAGATTGTCGCGCCCAACAGAATCAAAGTGTTTAGCTGTTGGCCGTAGCGTTGCCGGCCAAGACAGAATCGTTAGTCCCCGAGCCAGGAGCGCGCAGGGAGCAGCCACAGCACGGCCACAGTCGGAGCTGCGACGGACGCCGCGCTGACAGGGATGCCAACGTCGGTCGGGTTAGGAGGCTGATGCGGAAGACACTTTGTCATTCCACGTTGGATTGCACAGCACTGCGCTCCATTGCCGGTTTTTTTTGCGACTGTTCTCGCGCCATTGACGGCCTTTTCTGCGACTGTTCTTTGGTCGTGCTTTCCCCGGCAGACCCCACAGACAGCTCCTGCTGCTTCCGCGAGCGCTGCCTCCGCAATGGTAGCTTAGCTCTCCCCCGCCAGATCGCAAAGAAGGAACGACCCAGGCACACGGCACATCGCGAGCACACCCACAGTACACAATGGCCGACACAGAGCCTTCGCCAGGCTCACCCGAGGCCGAGGATAGGTGGCCCGGCGGCCAGACGCAGCAGGAACCACCCGCCGCAGACCAGGACGAGGACACGCACCACGACACCACCGCGGAAGACGCAGACGGGCACGCCCCGCAGACGCCGTCAGACATGCCCACGCCCACGCCACCGACGCCCAAGCTCCACGTGCCTGAGCCTGAGGAATCAGACTCGCGGCGCACCGCCGAGTTCTTCGACCAGCGCATGCACAGCGACGCGCGGCCACGCACCGATTCACAGTCCACGGCAGCCACGGCTGCAACAACCGCCACGAGACCCTCGACACGGAGCTCGCTGGTCTTCGTCATCACCGCGCTGGAAACCATAGCTGCGTCCAAGGATGCGAAGAAGAACAAGAAGCTGGGCGACTCGGTCGCAACTGCCTTGGCAGCTATCAAGGCAGAGGGCGACCCGTCGCGCATCAACCCCGAGATCCTCTTCGAGCCGCTCCAGCTAGCCTCCGAGGCTCCCTCTGTCCCCGTCTCCATCGCTGCGCTCGACTGCATCGGCAAGCTCATCAGCTACTCGTACTTCTCCGTGCCTTCGGAGCAGCAGGGCGACACCGAGGCTGTGCCCCTCATTGAGAAGGCCATAGACACAATATGCGCATGCTTCCAAGGCGAGGCGACGCCGCCGGACGTGCAGCTGCAGATCGTCAAGTCCTTGCTGGCCGCCATATTGAACGACAAGATCGTGGTTCATGGTGCTGGACTGCTGAAGGCTGTGCGGTTGACCTACAACATCTTTCTCCTGTCCAAGTCGAGCGCCAATCAGCAGGTTGCGCAGGGTGCATTGACACAGATGGTAGGCACCTGCTTTGAAAGGGTCAAGAGTAGGCTGGTAGCGAAGGAAGCTAGGCTCAATCTCTCCCGCGTTTCGTTGAACGACAAGGGCAACTCAGAAGAGAATGTACACGAGTACGACGACGATGAAGGCGAGCATACGAACGGTACCGGGGATGCCGCAGAAGGTGCCGAGGAAGAACAAGACGACCCTGAGTCCGGCGAGCCTAGCGACAAGCCAGTAGACGTGCACACCGGACCCAAAATCACGCTGCAGAGCTTTGAGAACAACATGAGCTTCAACGACGATCGCATACACGACAACGCACCGACCTTGGTAACACGGATAAAGGGCAAGCAAGGGTCACGACATGTGTCCGGTGTAGAAGCTTCGCCGATTCCTCAGGAGGCCGACGAAGAGGAGGAAGACGAGATATTCGTAAAGGATGCCTATCTTGTTTTCCGCGCCATGTGCAGGCTGAGCACCAAGACCCTGGCGGTCGATCACGCCCTGGATGTAAAGTCGCAAGGCATGCGCTCGAAGCTACTGTCCCTTCACATTATCCAAACCATCTTACACAACAACATTGCAGTCTTCGTATCACCATATGCAACGATAAGAAGCGGCAGTGGCGATGAGCCCACTACGTTTGTACAGGCCATCAAGCAATACCTTTGCTTGAGCTTAAGTCGCAACGGTGCGAGTTCCGTCAATAAGGTTTTCGAGGTGGCGTGTGAAATATTCTGGCAAATGCTCAAATACTTGCGCGTTATGCTTAAGAAGGAAGTTGAGGTATTCATGAAGGAGATCTACCTGGCCATTTTGGACAAGCGGAGTGCACCCGCATTCCAAAAACAGTACATCCTGACTGTCTTCCGACGGCTAGCAGCTGATCCCCGCGCTTTGGTAGAAATGTACCTCAACTACGATTGCGATCGTACCGCGCTCGATAACATGTATCAGCGTGTCGTTGAGCATCTTTCCAAGATATCTAGCACACCGGTCACAGTGTCGCCTATGCAGCAACAAGCCTATCAGGAACAACGCGAGAAGCAGTCAAAAGCCTCGGATTGGCAGAGCAGGGGAACTTTGCCTCCTTCTTTATCTACTGCGTCAATGAACGTTCCTCACGAAGGCGAGCACGCGTATCCGCCAGAATATGCGATGAAACAAGAATCCTTGGAAGGACTAGTGGAGATTTTGCGATCGTTGGTGGACTGGTCAGAACAATCTGCCCCCAATGCGGCTAGAAACTCGAACGTGGATCTGAGGGGTTCGGTGGACAACCTCAGGGCCTCCATCGACAACAGAACCATATCCGAATCTCCGATGGTGGGAGGAGACTCCGGGACTGTGACACCAATGATGGAGGACGACTACGGCGAGTTGGAGAAGGCAAAACAGAAAAAGACGGCTCTGACAAGGGCTGTTCGAGAGTTCAATTACAAACCCAAGCGCGGTCTGAAAACGCTGATCAAAGAAGGATTCATCGCGTCAGACTCCCCCGACGACATTGCCAGGTTCTTCCACGAGACCGATCTCCTAGAAATGGGGCCGCTTGGTGAATTTTTGGGAGAAGGTGACCCCGAAAACATTGCGATTATGCACGCTTTCGTGGACCAAATGGATTTCAACAAGACGCGCTTCACTGACGCGCTGCGACGTTTCCTCCAGAGCTTCCGACTACCGGGCGAAGCCCAGAAGATCGATCGATTCATGCTCAAGTTCGCCGAAAGATATATCACCGGCAACCCGAATGCCTATGCCAATGCCGATACCGCGTATGTTCTTTCATACTCAGTCATCATGCTGAACGTGGATCAGCATAGCAAGAAAATGAAAGGGCCTCGAATGACACCAGAGGACTTCATTAAAAACAATCGAGGTATCAACGACGGCGCTGACCTGCCCGAAGACTACCTCCGGAGCATCTACGAGGAGATTGCTCACAAGGAAATCGTGCTGGAAACAGAGCAAGAAGCAGCAGCAGACAAAGGTCTCATACAGCCCCAGCAGCAAGGAGGTCTCGCCGCAGTTGGTCAAGCCTTGATTGGCGGCGGGCGGGATCTTCAGAGAGAGGTCTACGTGCAGGCATCCGAGGCGATGGCGAACAAGACCGAGCAATTGTATAAGCAGCTCCTTCGCGCTCAGCGAAAGACCACAAGGGCACTGCCAGTCTCCAAGTTCATTCCTGCCTCCTCCTCTAAACACGTGGGACCCATGTTCGAGGTCACCTGGATGCCTTTCCTTACCGCACTGTCCGGCCAAGCCCAAGACCATAATATTGAGATTGTGAGGCTCTGCATTGAAGGCATCAGACTTGCCATTCGCATCTCGTGCATCTTCGATGTGGAGAGTGCCCGGCAAGCCTTCGTTGCATTCTTGGCTCGCTTCACTAATCTCTATAATCTGAGCGAGATGAAAGCCAAGAACATGGAAGCTCTGAAGGTTTTGATTGAGATCGCCAATACAGAGGGCAACCTCCTGAGGGAGTCTTGGCGCGAGGTGCTTACCTGCGTCTCCCAGCTCGACCGCTTCCAGCTAATCTCAGCCGGTATCGACGAGCGCTCAGTGCCCGATGTCTTGAAGACTCAATCGCCAGGTGGAGCACAGTCCCGGAAATCGCTCAACGTACCAAGCAACAGACGAAGACAGATCTCACATACGAACAGCATGCAGTTCCAAGCGGATGTTGCTGAGGAGAGTCGGTCTACTGACGTAGTGAGAGGTGTTGACCGGATATTCACGAGCACTGCCAACCTTTCTGGAGAGGCCATTGTCGACTTTGTCAAGGCGTTGACGCAAGTCAGCTGGCAAGAGATCCAATCGTCCGGTCAGAGCGAATCGCCCCGCACGTACAGCTTGCAGAAACTCGTGGAGATCAGCGGTTACAACATGACCCGTGTGCGTTTCGAGTGGACGAATATCTGGCAGATTCTTGGGGCGCACTTCAATGAGGTCGGCTGTCACACCAACACGAATGTCGTCTACTTTGCTCTCAACTCGTTGCGGCAATTGTCAATGAAGTTCATGGAGATTGAAGAACTTCCTGGTTTCAAATTTCAGAAGGATTTTTTGAAGCCGTTTGAGCACATCATCAGCAACGCTAGCGTCGTGTCGGTCAAAGATATGGTGCTACGTTGTCTCATTCAAATGATCCAGGCGCGAGGCGAGAACATTCGCTCCGGATGGAAGACCATGTTTGGAGTTTTCACTGTGGCTGCACGTGAGCCATACGGTAAGTCTGTCCTCTTCTCGGTGGTGCAATACTAATTTGGAATAACAGAGGGCATCGTCAACCTGGCGTTTGAGAACGTATCGCAGGTCTACAACACGCGATTCGGTGTTGTGATTTCGCAGGGCGCATTCGCAGACCTGATTGTTTGCCTCACCGAGTTCTCCAAGAACTACAAATTTCAGAAGAAGTCTCTTCAAGCTATTGAGTTACTGAAGTCATCAGTACCGAAGATGCTGCGGACCCCAGAGTGTTCACTCTCGGCCAGGGCAGGATTTGTCAAAGAGTCTGAGAAAGGCTCATCAATACCCAAGCAACCGACTCGGCAGACGCAAGAAGAACAGTTCTGGTTCCCTGTCCTGTTCGCGTTTCACGATGTCTTGATGACAGGCGAAGATTTGGAGGTCCGATCAAGAGCATTAAGCTACCTCTTCGAAACTTTGATCACCTACGGTCGCGACTTCCCGCGGGACTTCTGGGATATGCTCTGGCGACAGCTTCTATACCCCATCTTTATGGTATTGAAGTCGAAGTCAGAGATGTCGAAAGTTCTAAATCACGAAGAACTGTCTGTTTGGCTTTCCACAACCATGATCCAGGCTCTACGAAACATGGTCCGGTTGTTCACTCACTTTTTTGAGTCGCTGGAGTACATGCTGGACCGGTTCCTAGATCTTCTAGCACTGTGCATATGTCAAGAAAACGATACACTTGCGCGGATAGGCAGCAATTGCTTGCAGCAATTGATCCTGCAGAACGTCCAGAAGTTCACACCCCAACATTGGAATCAAATCGTTAGGGCATTTGTCGACCTTTTCGTACGAACGGAAGCAACCGCTCTGATGTCTGCTGCCACGGCAGGCACGCCATCTCACTACCAAACCCCGAATGGCTCCAACGGGGTAGACGGCGAGAAGACGCCCACAGCGAGTGCGCATCCGAAGGACCTTACGCTCGGGACTCCGGGCGCAGAAGAGTCAACGAGTAATAACGCCCTTGGGATCAACGGCCTTAACAGCCCACGTCGGCCTTCGGTCGTAACGAACGATTCCCAAAATTCTCTCGCTGCGGAGCAGGCTCGCATGCCATCCCCACTCCCCAAGCGTCAAACGCAAGAACTCGAGGACTATCGACCCGAGGACCAAGACGTCCCACAGCCACCCGTGGTCGTCACCGCCGCCCGCCGGCGCTTCTTCAACCAAATCATCACCAAATGCGTCCTGCAGCTCCTTATGATCGAGACGGTCCAAGAGCTCTTCACCAACGACGCCGTCTACGAGAAGATCCCCTCGGGCGAGCTCCTCCGCCTGATGGCCGTCCTCAAGAAATCATATCACTTCGCCAAGCGCTTCAACGCGGACCGCGACCTGCGCACGCGGCTCTTCCGAGAGGGCTTCATGAAGCAGCCGCCCAACCTGCTCAAGCAGGAGTCCGGTTCTGCATCAGTGTACGTCAGCATCCTCTTCCGCATGTACCACGACACGTCGACCGACCGCGCGGCCTCCCGCGCCGACACCGAAGCCGCGCTCATCCCGCTCTGCGAGGACATCATCGCATCCTACATCGAGCTCGACGAGGAGACGCAGCAGCGCAACATCGTCACCTGGCGCCCCGTCGTCGTCAGCGTGCTCGACGGCTACGGTAACTTCCCTGCCGGCGAGTTCGAGAAGCACATTGAGGTGTTCGCGCCACTGGTCGTCGGCCTGCTGGGCACCGAGATGGCGCAGGACATTCAGCGCGCGGTGCAGGCGCTGGTCATGCGGGTTTTTGAGAGCAAGATGGGAATCAAGAGGGAAGGCGTGGCGCTTATGACGCCAGCGGTCGGGGGGCGGAGTCCCAGGGGCAGTTTTGGGAGTCCGAAGGTGGAGCGGCGGGCAAGTCGGGGGAAATAAGGAGCGGCGCGAGATGGGGTGGGCCGCAGGGTGTTGTACTTGCCTTGACTTGCGTCTGTAGCGTTTACCAGTTCTGTTCTCACGTGAAGTGCGTTTTCGATTCATCATCAAAAGAGGTAGATTGTGCGCGGGGGCGTTTTGTATATTATATCACTTATTGTTGTTGCGGAAATGTAGGGAGTGCTGGTGTCTGGAGAGCAGAGGCGAGAAATTGTATCTATATCTTCATCTTTACGTGCTCACCCTTGGCTGCTGGCCTATCTCGTCGTGTCGTGTCTCGAAGCGGCCCGCTCTCCGGTTTGTTCGCGTAGCCAGACAACTACATGGCCCAGCTGAACTCGCTAGACGGCATCAGCGTGGTGAAACGGCGAGGGCGAGTGTGGTAGACGGGTGAGTGCGGACAACGGCGGGTAGGCAGGCAAGCGTCAACACATGGCACAATGCGACTCCTCCCGCACGATGCCAATGCACGAGACGAGGCGAGACGAGACGAGAAGTGCGCGCGATCGGCCACAGGCACGGCCTGGAGGATGCCCAGCTCACACGTGACGCCCTGGCTCACCCGGCCACTCCTCTCACCATAGAAAAAGCATCACGAATACTTATACATGTCCGAGGCCGAGCGCCCGCCAAATCGGCAGACGCCCTCCGCACCGACAAAGCACAGTCTGACGTCTCAGACGCACCTCCGCGCATCCTCGAGTATACTCTCCCAACGCTCCGTTAAGAATGCACCGTATCAACGGGATCCCTGCGGGGCCAGCGCCCCGCATCGTTGGTTTGAAAGTGTAGTGTAGTGTGCATTTGCGTCCTTTCCCCCTGGTATAGTGGCATAGCATGTCAGGTAGAGAAGGCGCGATATACTTTGGAGGGGCATCGTAATCGTACTTGAGGAGCACGACATAGACGAGCAGTGCAAAGGACAGCTCGGATAGGGGGAAAAGGTGTTTGTGGTATCATTGAATGTATGCAGGGCATGTGCACTTACTAGTCCAGTCCGTCAGTCAGTCTTCCGTAGCTGCCTGCGCCCGATATCGATGCAAAGAAGGCAGCCGTAAATCGTCAATTTTTCGATCCGGTACGCCGCCCCTATGCCTTCCGCGAAAGTCAAATTCACACCGTGGCGCCTCGCTAATGAGATCCAGAACATGAGAAATATACCACAACCGCATCAGTTGCAGATGAGACTTTATACTCGGACGATGGAATTTAGTCGTAATGCATGAAGAGTTGCGAGATGCTCTCGCCGTGGTGGTTGCGGCGGATCGCTTCAGCGAGCAGGTTATCCACAGGGAGGATGACGAGCTTGTCGCGGGCCTGAGCCTGCTGCTCAGCCGGGATGGGGAACGCGTTGGTCACGACGATTTTAGTGATACACTCGCACGCCACCAGCTCTTCGAGGGCGTCGCCGCCGAAGATGCCGTGCGTGGCCATGCAGTATACCTTGGTAGCACCGCCGCGCTTGACCACCGTTTCTGCAGCCGCGATCCACGATGCTGACTTATCGAGCATATCGTCTACGATGAAGACGGGTCGGTCTTTCACGTTTCCAACCAGGGTGACCATGGTCTCGAGATCAGGGTTCCTAAGATCCTCCTCTTCGTCTTCAGAAGACGCAGCCGCATCCATTGTGCCTCCCAAGGCATGCGCATGAGCATGCTCAGAGTGTGACGCCGTGGACATGAACGACGACATCATGTGCGGAGGGACATCTGCGTCATCGCCGTCGGATGGGGCGCGTTGCCGCCACGAGTTGTGCGATACTGCGGACATGGATGGTGAAGGGTGAGTATCTTCCACGATGTGTCCCCGCACAAGCCGGCCGTGGGTAACGTCTCGCGCGCGCTAAGCTGATCAGCATCTGTTCTACCGATTTTCTCGACAAGACAAACCTCGTCAGTGTATTCGTCTGCCTCTACTTCGTCGCTGTTCTCTTCCGTCAATGGCTGCTCCGACTTCTCGTCTGGTTTAGGAAGGTTCTCCTCCTCCTTTGTGCTGACGATAGAGGCTGCTCGCATAGACTTCGATAGCGGGCTCTGTAGGTTGGCAGTCCCGTTCACTCGGCGCTCTAGTGGATTTGACGGGGCCCGCGACCGCAGCTTCGGCTTGCCCGCGTCTGCCGCCGAGTTGTGGGACTGACTAGGAGCAGGTATTATCTGTGCATCTGCGTCCAAAGCGGCAGCAATGAGCTCCGGCGTCTCGTATGTGCCATCCAAGCGCAATTGCTCAAACATGGCGCTCTCGTTCCAAGGCACCGACGTAGCAGCTCGCCGCCTGTCCGTTGTGACTATGCCGAAGCTGAGCTTCAGTGCGTCGGCCAGCGATGTGACACGCTTGGTGCCTCCCGGGTTCTTGCTGACCACCACGGCATCTCTCCAATTCGGCACGTTGACACGGATCCAGCGGGCAAGAAGCGGCTCGGCGATGAGGTTGTCGACAGGACACTTGAAGAAGCCCTGCATCTGCGACGCGTGGAGGTCAATGGTTATGACGTGGTTCACGCCAGCGATGTTGAGTAGGTTCGCAACCATGCGGGCGGTAATGGCGCCGCGGTGCGACTTCTTCTTCGACTGGCGGGCGTAGGGGAAGTAGGGCATGACAGCTGGTCCCGTTAGACTCGCCAGATAGGCGGCAGAAGCAGTGATTACCAGTAATAGATTTTGCAGAACCGCCTTTGCAGGCCGAAACCATAATCAGCAGCTCCATAACCGCATCATTGATCCTAGAAGATCAGGTCAGCAGTCAATCTCCTCGCGAGCTCTATGACCTACTTGGGGCTCCCGCTCTGCACGATGAAGACATCCTTGTCTCGCACCGAGGTGTCTAGACGCTATCAGCACCACATCAAGGCCAGAGCTGGGACGACGGACGGATGTGCACTGAGGTCTCGCCATTCGCAAACTTGCTAAGCTGCGCGGTGCCCCGCTTCATGCCCAGACGGTCGCAGATGCCATCGACCAAGGTCGGGTGGGAGGAGCCGCTGAAGACAATTGCACCACGCATTTTGGGTGGGCCTAGCAGCGAGATGTTATCGTAGTGGAAGAGCTCCAGTGCTGTGGGGGAAAAGTTTCGAGCTGACATGGCGGGCAGGCACGCGCTAGGCCATCAAAATGACGAAAAAGGTAAGATTAGCCGGGTCGTTCCTGCCCTGGCTGGCAAACACGAACAGCGCGCGACCTATCTGTCGATACGCGACCTAGAGTGGACTCGAGCTACTGCGAGCAGACAGGTGCGGTGCGGGTGCGCGTCTAGGAGTGAATATTGTTACCATGCCCGCACCTCTCTTTATCCTTTATCGGCGCAAGACTTTCCAGTGCGCTGGCAATGGCACGCGACCACAGCTGTTTGGCCATCGAATCATGACTGCCATCCAGAGCACGCCTCGCCTGCACTTATGCAGCAGTGACAAGCCTCCTTCGCCCGTCAATGGTGCTTCCCACGCTACCAACGCCGTGAAACTCACCCCTTCCCAGCGCTCGTGTGCCTGCTCCGTCTTCTGAAAGAATACTGCACAGCGCCAAAGCTTCTACCTCATCCATACGCGCCGGCCTCCTCAGTAGCAGCTCAACAAACTACCCAGTATGAGGGTGTAGGATATGTCTTCGTGTGATACAGACCAGTCCTCTCAAGCGTACAGCGTTGATTGGGTGGCCCGCCTGGAAGGCACATGCCACATTGATGATGCACCACCCAATACCCCCATCCGCCTGGGCGTCGAAGTGATGTATAGAATCCGTAGGCGCCTTCATCGAGCCAGTGCGTGTGGAGGGTTATTGGAAGACTTGACACCAAGCTCAACTCATGGGAATTCTTGACGTGGACCTGGTCGAGAGAGGACGGCTGCACGCTCCTGTAAGGTTTGGACTATGTGGTCACAACTCTCCCTTGTGCTTCTGCGACGCCGTTATCGGCCGCTCGTCAACGCCAACTGCCAAACTCGTTGGGGCGGATCTTGTATGGAACTCACCGCCTGTGCGCTGTCATATGCAGACCTTTGCTTAACGTAGCTCATCCTGCAGTACTTCTATGGACTGGAATAGAACCGGTTGGCTGTGCTCGCTCTGCGTTTTGGAAAGCTCTTTCTTGCCATGACCCTCTGTCACTCGTGGCAGTAGACCGACTGAGTTTATCCGTATGAAAACGCCGTAGCCCTCACTGTTTCTGGCTCGGAACCTCGTGAAGCAGAGTCATGCGACCCCCGATCAATGTGCGCGTGGCGGAAACGCGCCCAGTCCGACGCGACCCAGCACATCCAGAATCACGCCCTCGATAGTGGATTTACAAAACGGTGGGAAAGGGCGACATGGCCCAGTGCGGCGTCCACGGACGAAATCTGGCACCTGCTGTTCTCACGACGCCTCGATGAATATTCTGGACGAGAGGCTGCGGTGGGGGAAATGAAAGTCGTCGACTACGGAAAGGTAGCACTCGGGGCTATGAGCGGTGAGATGTGTGACGGTCGCGAGGTACGTACCTTGATGGTTCATGATACAACGGTCCAGATATAGGACAGTCACATCATGCGAGGGTCTGCTGAGGCAGAAGCTAAGGGCGCCGGTTCACACAGTCGGATGTGGCCCAATGTCGTGAAACTCGGATGATTGGCAAAGGAGACCAGTGGCTTCAACAGCGACACAAAAATTACCGTCCGAATTTCTCCATTCACTAAATAGGCAATTGTGGCTGGAAGAAGCCCGCAAGGCTGGTTGAAAATGCCCCGATTGGTCGTGCACCGACGCGTGCGTGCCATCTATCTGTATTGGGCTTTGAATGCCCTAAAATTTGGCTTTTCCGAGCAAACAATAGCTTTTACGTACGCGGCTAAGTCCCTGTGCATCTTTGCCATGGCAAGATGACAGAAAACGGCACGCACAGCAGAGATTCGTCCAAACAGGTAACCAATGATCTTGCGGTGGACAAGTTTGATTCGCTCCATTTACCCGGTTCAGAGCTTGACGAAGGCTTGACATCGGCAGCTGGTGCTTTGTGTTGCAATCGACGCAAAAGCGTCTCGGCTTGCCATTGTAAGCATCTTGTATGATCGGCCGCAGCCGTGGCGCGCACAGCGGTGAAATTCTGGGTACCTGATATCGCGATAGGGACCACTCTTCTGGTCCGATCGCCTTGCCCAAGCGCACTAGAGGGGTTAGTTTTGACGCAACATGATTCAAGAATGCAAATTTCTGGAGTAGGTGAATGAGAGACCTTATCGGAGACCATGTCTAGCGAGGTTCACAGTTCTGTTCGGTCGGTCAAGTGGTTGCAGCAATGTCTTGTTGCTAGCGGCAAGGCTTGGTAGAAAGGAGAAGCCTTCGCACGCATCGCCGGTGTGATCTTTTGACACTGTGTTAGCATTTTCCGTTCTCAAATTGTAATTGGAAAATTTTGTGCACTGAACTCACGTGTGAAAGAGGCACGCAAGGATGATAAAACGACTGACTAACGAGAACTTGTGGAATAGGCGGGCGGTGCTAGGAGATGACGCGCATCGATCCTGGCTCCAAGTGCGCCACGGGCGCCTCTAATACGAACGAATCCACAGTGACACGCATCTTGCATACCTGGAACCGAGCACCAGGTCCACTCGATCCCGTGTAACAGAAACAAACTTCTAGTGTGATAGCGATATGGCGCTGTACGACATTCCTAAGATGGTTCTCCTCAGAGTGATTTCCCGTAATGATGTGCTTGCTGGAAGGTTCGGATGATCGCGAGACAACCTGTGCGGCCAACTAAGATTTCCCTCAGAGTGCACGAGACTGCTCTCTCTCTGACGAGGGAAAGTTGCAGATTGAGTCCGAAGCTGATCGACCATGGCCGATAAGGTATATGCGTTAAGTGAGCATGGTGGTGGGAAAAAGGACGGAGATTGAATCGCAAGGTATACGCGACTGGTCAATGACCGGTCATGGCGCCACCTTCACATTCTTGGTGACCACACCAACGCACATGCGAAGCTGAGCGGTAGCAGAAGATAATTGTCGCGACTCACGGTCAAGGTCCGAACTTCTCCTCAGAAGACCTTGCAGGTCGGACGTGAGGTCCGATCTTCAGCGTACGTGGGTCCCGTCTCTTACCAAGCGATGCGGTTCGCCAGGAGTTTGATTGATGCGGCCGCTTTTTTCCCACAAGTACGCGCGGGTTACATGGGAGCGTAGATGAGCAACCCCGTACCGGGCTCCAGGTAGTTTGCGCCACCTCGCTCCCGTAGTATGCGAACACACCCGTCAGGGAAAGATAGGTCCCAAAGCGGAGAGTGGAGACCCCGGGCAGAGGCTAGCTATGCGATCAGTAAGGTGTTGTGTCACAGCACCGGGAGCTTGCCATGGTGAGGCTGCATGTAACTGTTCAGGTTCCAGGTAGACCGGGTTAGAGGTTGGCAGCGTGTCGCAGGTGACGCTGCATCGGCTCAGATGCAGGAGGCTACGCCGCGTTTCTAGAAGATAGAAAGTCGCCAGCCGCGCGGGCTGTAGGGAGAAACCAGATCAGATCATTCGACCCAGGGGGGCCATTCTGCGGCCAGGGTCTTGATCCGTTCTTTGTGCGACGTGCATGATGGCCTCTTGGCGGCGATGGCGGCGGCCCTCAAGCCACACCCACGGCCTCCTGTCAAACGCAGCGGACCAGCGTCGAGCGTGGAGCAGCCGCTCGTCTGGCGGTCGTCGGCCTGTCTGGGAGAAGAGCAGAGCATCCGGATCAGAACGTAGCAGGCAGGAACGGTACAGAGGCGCCTGCACCAGAGCGTTTTGGGATGCCTTGTGCTGCATCGAGCGGCGAGCCGCTGCGACCGCCGCGCGACGGCGACGGGGCCTCCAGGATGTGCAGTTGCAAGGCAAAGAAAGCGGACGTCTCGCGGTGCTTTTGCCGGACGCGCAGCGAAAAGAAAGCATACGCAGAGCTGGTGAGGTGAGGCAAGGTCTGACGGCAGGCCGCGAACTCTAATTGCCGACCCCGGGAGCTGGGTGCAGGCGGAAAGGCCGCTGTGTGGCCGCCGTGGCGAGGCGTTATGCTCCTCTGGGCGAGGCCTGCACGCAGCCCTGTGGGCTCAACCAGAATGCCATCATCGCGGGCGGGCGTTTCAATCGCGACCTGCAGATACAACCATGGATCCAACCATGGCCGCGGCTGCGGAACCGCCAGCCCGCGTCTGACAAGGCCCGCTGCAGCCGTTTGGCTGTCCTGGCTGGCGGCGAGGTAGCAGAGGCTCTCCGAATCCATCTGGTGCCGTGCAACGCGTGGTGTATCTACTGCTGCATCCGTCGCAGACACATCCACATTTGCATCCCACGCGTCCAGGGGAGCAAGACGAGGGAGGGGCGCCCGTTGTACACTGCTGTGTCTGCCTGGTTGAACTCAAATCACACACGACACATGAGTGGGTAGGGTCAAAGCTATCCGTAGTCTCCCCTAGCCGCAAACTGGTCAGTGAACCGTCTGCGGATGCGTATAAGATGGCCCAAGAGCCGCGCTGTCGGCGACCTCACCAGACAAGCATCGGCCCTGATCTCGTAGACCCTGTCGGCAATCACCAGTACTGACACCAGCCGCCAATTTGCTTTTGCAGCCACCACGACTCAAGAACCATTCTCTCATCCTCGGGTTTACGCGCCCTTCACTTCCATATCAGACGGCCGCGTCGCCAGTGGTGAGCCTTTCAACTACATATACGACGTGGTCCCGGCAAGAAACTGACATCGCCGCAGTGCCGCTTCATCTCTCCGGCTATTCGTCCTCGTTCAATCTGCGTACCTCATCCGTCCACACGAACCACCGCCGAACTGTATCCTAACAATGGCCGCTCCGGGAACCTGCACACACACGTGGAAGATCATCAAGTCCGACACAAACATCATCGTGTGGAACTGCAATGGCTGCCACTCAGGGCCACATCCGTTCATCTACGAATGCGAAAAATGCAAGGTGCAGTACTGCCGTCCTTGCACATCCAAGCCCCGGGCGTAGGTATGTCGAGCTCCTTCTCATGGCACCCCTGTCTCTCGCACGTGGCCTGTCACCCAGGCGTGAAACGCCTCCGCAATTTTGCTTCCTTCTCCTCTCTCACCCCAGCACGGCGGCAAGCTGCGACACCGAGTTATGAATCTCAGTGGTTGTTTAGTGCCGATGCTGACTCGCGTACAGATGGCTTCCGGTGCGTGCGCTGCTGCAAGATTGATCGACAACCCGAACCCAGCGCCTCGGATTCGTAACCCGCCTGGACCCCGGCCACGCAAGATCCATCTGTCATCCTGGCAGCACTCGCATGCCAACTTTCACCTCCCAACCTTCCTCTTCGCAGGCGGCGTTCCCTGGCGACTTTGTATGTCGCCAGGCCTTTCTCACTCGGTCGGTCTCGTACGGCCTTAGCATGGCGTTTCGGCGGCTTCCTCTTCCGTGTCACACTGGAGTCAGGACGGCATTTAACCACTTTATTCTTCTCTTGGTCTTCGGTAGATCGGTGCACAAAAGCAACAGCATTCTAGAACGGTTTCAGTGGTGGCGTGGGGGGGTTGCGCACGTTACATTCTCACCGCCTGTCTCTACCATGTCATTGGCTGGCGCGTCCGTTTCAGCGACTTCTTGTACCACCCTTTCATTCTCTCTAATGTACTCTCACGGCTCGGTCTTCTCACGATTTTCCTTTTGCACGCAGCATTACTTGCGCATATCCGGTACCATACTCTGCATTCAGCGCCGCTGGCTTTGCGGGCTGACTTTTCTCTTATACTCAATAGTTTGAATGGAGACGCGCGACATGCAGTTTCAGAGTCGCTTCACTGCAGCCGCCCGGTCATCAAACCAATCCAGCGAACGCGTTCGCCCTTTCAAGCTCTACATACATCCGCTTTCCGTTCTAGGAAGGCTCACCATACTAATTGTATCACGTCACGATTTCAACATGTCACGCGCAGCCTTGCTACATGGGCAGCATCATCGTACCGTCTTCCGCCGCGACAGCATCCTCCTGAAAGACCAACCGCGATACCACACACTTGCATGGGTGGCGCTATGGCCGACGATACTTGAAAGTGTTGACGTGGTTTGTCTTCACAACCTCGTCATAGCATATCCGAAATATGAGTCTACAAGCAAGGTTGATTACTGTGTTGGACTCGCACCACCTCTCAAATTACATGACGCTTGCCAAGAACATTCCATATTTAGACACATGCTCCGACACACCAGGATTCTTGAACCAATTGTACATGCGTCGCCCAATCCTGCTTCGCGGAGCATCTTAGCTCAATCTCTGGAGATCTGCTTGCCAGTTGCCTGCTAAGACGTGCTTGCGGCGAGCGCCGCGTTCATGAAAACTACTCGCCAATCTCACTGACTAGCTGGTGTCACCTGCCCTCCAGTGCCCGGAAACTGCTGAGCTGACAGAAACGGCATCAAGAGCGACCCGCTCCATGCCGAACAACCAGGATACCGGGATTGCAACCCGATCGTAAAGTCGAGGCCTGCTGAGGCAAGCTGAGGTTTGGTGTGCTTCAGCCTTAGGGAAAAGCAAAAACGCGGGGCTTACGGTTGCCTGCGAACAACGCAATCCATGAACACGCATCCGCTACTTTATGCAAACAGCGTAGAACTGGAACGCGTAATACAACTCCTTGTGAAGGGGGAAGGATCACATTATCAGGGTCATTATGGTAGGGGATCGTCGTATTGACATCGATGCGAACCATCGCACCTTCCCCCTGGATTCAATGCGGGGCATCCAATGCACGGACCCAAAGGTCAATTCATGTCTCTTCCGAGTTGTTAAACTCCCGACCTCTTCTCTCCCTTCCTCAATCCTACCCTCCCACACCTTTCATGGCACATTCTCCAAATCTAGAATACCCTGCTAACGTGCCGTTGTACATGATGGAACCCGGCATGCTTCCAGTCTGCGGAGACGGAAGCCGGTCTATCCGACTCTACATAACCTTGATCAATCCATTGGCTCATCCGTTCGCTCAAATCCATGTGTTGGGGCGACAGTCACCGCTTAGAACCTCCTACCGCTATGGTGTAACGAGGCACTGATTCAGTCAGCACAATTGGCGGCATTGGCCTAAAGAGGTTAATGAGGCTCTGCGTCTGTTCGGCCCCCAATGCCACCGGGTCCCATTTAGACCTGCCACACGCTCAGAAGCACTGTGTTGCCCTTGTTTGTGCTTTGCCATCTTTCGCAACAGTTTATCCCCGAGTGCAACCACTGCTGCATCGTCTTGCTTCTTCACGTTTTGTGTTCCCTGCCACAAAAGCAAACAACTACTCGGCCGCACCTTCTAGGCCATATTCCTTCACTGTGAACCGCGTGAACATGAGCTCTGTTTCCGGCTATGACAGCGCCAAAGGCCCGCAAGAGGAGTTGAACGACTTCTGGGAGAATCTCATCACCAAAAAGCCGTCCAAAATCACCAATATCTTCCCGCCAAGCCTATACGCAGATCTTCTGCCACCGCCAAACATGCCTGGTCCGGCAAGAGGGAAAAACGCTGCTGAATCCTACGAGACAGCTGCGAGAGATTGCTGTGCTCGTGTCCGACAGATCATTCGTGAATGCCATCGCACCAACGAGAAGGTTATACATCCAAACATTGAGTCCGCCGGGTGACGACTCGCTGATACTCCTAGTTTACCGATCCAGAATTTGATATCGAATCTGATATGCGAGTGAGGAACTGCCTCGAGGGTCTGATTTCATGGTATAATGACCCATTACCCCCAAAGTCGCGCGTAAGCCCTCGCCGCTTGTGCGAGGCTCTGGATACCTTGGCCGAGAGCAACCTCCTGGCTTCGCAAACTATTCTGGCCAACCTTTCCACGGCTGCAAATATACTGGATGACGACGATTCGTCTGACCGCGGTGGGCCTGGGTCGGTCCATCGAATCGACTGGATTTTCGATAAGCCTTCGTTCACGGTCGACAGCTACTCGAGTTCTGACGTGAAACAAGGCGCCAATGGCGACTGCTGGTTCTTGTCTGCGGTTGCCACCATCTGTAGCAACCCCAATCTCATGGACAAGATCTGTGTCGCGAGGGATGATGATTGTCAGGAATGCGGCGTGTACGGCTTTGTATTTTACCGTGACGGAGAATGGATTTGGACGGTTGTTGATGATAATCTGTACGTCCGGGACCAGGACTTCGACGCTTACGGCGATAATTATGATCCAACAGGTGTGAAAGAGAGGAAGTACAAGAAGAACAACCAGACTGGTTCCGATGCCCTGTATTTTGCGTCTTGCGCGGACCAGAACGAAACATGGCTTCCCTTGCTGGAGAAGGCGTACGCCAAAGCACACGGGGACTACAACGCGATCAGTGGAGGCCACAGGTTAGTGTGCAGTGTAAAGTACCGCTCTTTAACTGAATATGAGCAGCGGTGAAGCGGTAGAGGACCTTACCGGAGGTGTAACCACAAAGATCAAAACCAACCGAATATTGAGTAAAGAGCGGTTATGGAATGAGCTCAAGCAGGTGTGTCTCAAATATCGACAGTCTACGCAATATCATTTGACATGCTGCAGGTCAACAAAGAATTCTTGTTTTCCGCATCCTCGCCAGGTTCATACGGAGACGACTCGGATGCAAGGCGAGGCCTCGCTTTGAGTCATGCATATTCGATCATCAAAGCTGTCGACCCGAAAGACGAGCAAGGGAATGAACACAGACTCGTTCTTATCAGGTGATTGCTTATTTCCAACCTTAATTTCTCAGCTTGACTGATCGTGATAGAAACCCATGGGTTCGTGTTTGTCGTAAGAACAGGCCGTCGTGTTACTGACATCTCAGCAGGGTGAACGGGAGAACGCAGGCATGGGAGAGTGGAACGGTGCATGGTGAGTCTCATTTTCCCTTGTCCCTGGTGCATTCAGGTGACGGTGTCTTGCAGGTCCGACGGGTCGAAAGAATGGACCCCTTACTGGTTAAAAGAGCTCGATCACCGCTTCGGCAACGATGGCCTCTTCTGGATGTCATATGACGACCTCTGCGAGCGCTTCCACCTCATCGACCGTACACGTCTCTTCGATAACGAGTGGACCGTCGTGCAGAGCTGGTCCAGCGTAAGCGTCGCCTGGGTAACAGGCTACCTCAACACCAAATTCGTCGTCGAGATCAAAAAGGCCGGGCCTACGGTCTTCGTCCTCTGCCAGCTTGATGATCGGTACTTTCGTGGTCTCGAGGGCAAATACAGCTTTGATCTGCACTTTGTGCTGCAGGAGGAGAATGCGCCGTCTGGCGACCACATTGTCCGCGCGAGAGGGGCGTGGTTCGGGAACCGGAGTGTCTCGGCGGAAGTCACGCTGCAGCCTGGGAGATACGAAGTCGTTCCGAAGATTGTGGCCGATCGCAATTCCGATGCGCTGGATGTGTTCGAGGTCGTGACTAAGGTGGCCGATCGCAACCCCCAAAAACTCCGGCAGATTGGAATGAACTATGACATCGCGAATGCGAAGGGCATTGTGCAGCTTTCGGCTGAAGAAAAGAAGAAAAAAGAAGACGAGAAGAATGCGGCTGTGGAGAAGAAAAGGAAGGATAAAGAGGAAACGGACAAGGAAAAGGCTGAATTCGAAACATGGAAGAAAGAGAAAAGGGAGCGGGAAGAGAAAGAAGAAGCGGAGAGGGAGAAGGCTGGCTCTGCAGATACAACCTTCAACACCCAGGCGGATGAGTCGAAGCCTTCCTCGACCATTGTAGACAGCGATCCAAAGCCTTCTCCCAAACAGCTAAAGAACTACGTTGTCAAGGACATAACCACGCCAGCCACACAGCAGTCTTTCAAAGATGACGATGCCGTCAAAGTCGAGCAACCTGCTAGCGGTGACCTTCCTTTACGACCCAAAGACGACCCTTCCACATACCCCGCCCCCTCTCCAATATCCCACCGCCAACCCCCGTCCCATCTCTCTCGTCCACCTCCTTCGGCCTACGGCGGTAGCATCTTCTCCGGCCCACCCTCTCCCACAATGGGTCCCCCACCACCCATCTACTACGCCGCCAGCGACGCTGGGCCCGTTGCGCCCCCGGCCGCGCCGCCCGCAAAAGAGGGCGAGAAGAAATGGAATGCGATTTGCGTTCTGGGACTGCGGGTGTACAGTCTGGATCGCGAAGTTAGTATTAAGCTTGTGGAGCCAAAGGATGCGGAAGAAGGGGCGCTGTTGGATGTTGATGGGGTGGGGGCCGGGGCGACGATAGCGTAGACTCGTAACCATGGTGACTTCCTTCTATTTTATTTCTCGAGTGGGTGTTGTTACCATTGCAACCAGGCTCTCTCCTCCCTTCTCCGGTTCTTCCATGCATGCATCTTCATCCCCAAAACCGCACCTCTCCCTTCATCATCCTCTCTCATCTCCCTCACCTTCTCTCAGAATCAAATCTAGTCGACTTCCCATCCCGCCCGCCTTTTCTCTTGTACTATGCTCGCCCACGCGACGCCCGCGGCTACCACGTGCGCGAGACCAAACACGAGGACCAGGGCTATGGGGTCGTTGCCCTGTTGTATCCAGCCCGGCATGTGACTAGCGTCGCAGGTGCAGTGGGGCGCGGCGCCGGAGGGGCAGAATTGAAGCATGGTAAGCTTTCCCTGATTCTGTAGTGCGGGTCGATTGGTATTATTTTAATTACCGTTTCGCTTTCAAAGAGACTCGTGGTTTTGTCAATGATTCGGGTTGAGGCGGGCTGTCGGTGCGTATGGAGGTGGTGGCTAGAGCGGCCATCTGCACGCTCAAGGAGATGAACTTGCGCAGCGCTTGCGACGGCGGCGGGCGGGATGTTGAGAGGAAGCTCTGGATAGCGCGTGCGCACGCGGATGGTGAGAAGTGCGTATTGTTCTATTATGCCAGCACGCGCCCAACTGACGTGTTTGCTCGTCACAAACGCACTTAAGGTGCTAAGTCACGAGTTTTGTGTGCTACATGCGAATCACAGCTTCCACAGTCAAACTTTGACGGAGCAATTACATTTCGTTCGTTACACCCAGTCCCTCGAGGTTGTACTCTCGATGTAAAGAGCAAGCCGCTAACCCTCCCCTTGAATTGAAGCAGCCATGAAAGATCACAATTCCACCCTCCCACCAATAAATTAGAAAACAAGTGCGGCTGGACTCCAAGCTACAATCGATCAACCTGTATCACACCCACTTATCCCTTCCTCATGTTTACCCAAATTTCGGCCTCACATTAACACCACACTACCTACCACCTCAGGCCGAAAGCCGGGAACCTCAGCCATCGATGTGTTGCTCATGCACTTCGAGGTGAGCCCAGGAGCCTCTCTCCCTCGCATCCGCCCTCACCACCCCAAACCCGCCTGTACTCCCTATCCCTCTTTCCAACCTCCCACACGCTCCAAGCAAGCCAGAACACACGACCCAGCAGCATGACAGCGCCGAGGGTCCAGGCATTCTCGTGCATCCAGGCCACGAATGGGCCGTCGATGCGGTTGACGGCCGAGTTCGAGGCGGAGACGGCGGAGTTGGAGGTGAAGAGGGAGTTCACTACGCTCGCGAGTACAAAGTCAGCTTGTCGCAATGTGGGTTCGTTTGAGAAGTATACATATATGTAACAAGGGCTTTTAGACCGGAGAAGGGGTTGGGATTGTACCGAAGTGGGAGACGCGGCTGCAGATGGAGCAAGTCTGGGGCTTGCAGGTGCAGGTCCAGAGGTAACGTCCCTCCACGCGTGTCGAAAACCCACCTGTGCCGAAACGAATCTGTTGGTTTGGCAATGTGATACTCTCACCTGCTGTTCTCCCACGTCATAGATGATAAAATAAGAATCTCCCTATATTTCTGCCTAGGATCCGTTATTTAAATAAAAGATTACACAATTGCTGATCATGCTATCAAGCGCCATGTTTAAAGAGTTTGATGCTAGGATAACTTTGCACCCCTGTTTAATCAAGCAACATTGCATAATAATTTGCGTCGGTGTCTTTATATACAACTCCTATAAGAATAATGTTGTACTATGACTCTTAGATACGCCCAAGCCAGTGGACATACTCTGTGAAAAGTTTCTCCGTTGAGGGCCTGGATTCCGTATTTTAGCGCATTACCGAGCCCACAGCTGAAATACACGTTAAGTGTACTTACCGAAGCACGGTTAGCTGTGGCGCGGGAGTCTACGAACCCTCTCTTTTCGCTCGGGCGGTTGCGCGTATCAGCTATTCTTAGCAATAATCGTAGAGTCATTGTTCGCTGTATCTTCATCTTCTACATCATAACACTGCTAGCGTAGACGAGCTAAATTTCGTCTTAACGTATATAGGACTACTTATGCCAGAGTTTTAGGAAAAAGAGGTCCCTTTATAGCTTACGCTGCGTGCAATCACGCTTCCAGTTTTCGGCGCTTCACAAACCTCAACTCTGGCTCTCGAACATCTGTAGACTCATCTTGACCTTCTTTTGGCGTACCAGACGTAACTTGCAACGCTTGAAGTCGATATGTAAGCTGCTTAGCCCATTTTGAAGTAGGACCTTGGACAGCTGTGAATCCAGCTAATGTCTGACTATACATTATCTTCGCCTTGTCTTCACGACCTGTTCGTGAGAGCAGGTCACCAAAGGAGAACATCGTGTTCAACGCTGGTAAATACGACGGCAGAAGTTCTGTTCCAAGTGCTTCCTCGAAACCTTGCAGCGCCCGACTGTACATGGCCTCCGCCTCGGCCAGCTTGCCTTGGTTGGCGTAGAG